GCCTGAAGGTGTAAAAGAAACCCGGATTCTGCTGGTGCCAGAGACCGATTTGGAAAGTGCGTCTCGGTACACGATGACCGCGAGACTTCGCTGACGGCCTGCACAGAGACCCGATCAGAGCTTGAAGATGGATCCACGGCCCATATATATAGTCTGGAGGCTGGTGCGATTAAAGTATGAGGCCCCCGTACACTTCAAAGCTTCTACTAAAGCAGGCACAGCTTAGCATTCTGTCTTTGTGCAACCACGAGGTTGTAGCAGAATATACAGACGAAGATCCTCTGGAGCGATGGAGAGTGTATGGTTCAATACGAAACCAACACATCAAGGTATGAAAACTAGTCACATATACTTGGACACGCTAATTTGTTTGTAGAAAAGGACTGCAAAGTATGCCCCTTCTACTGCTTCATCCAAGCCCGCTACGAACCCCGTTACGATGCCTGTCACAAAAGCTGCAATAAGCCTAAGCATGAAAGGAAAGGAGAGCTCGACATCTACAAGGAGAGGAAGCGCATCTGAAGATAACACATCCGGTCGTTCAACACCACAACCCTCTGCCGGCTCCGCTACACTCAAGAGGAGCGATTCAAAGTCCGGGGCGAAGAAAGACAAGGCAACGGGTGATCTGTTCAAATCCTTTGCAAAGGCTAAGCCAAAAGCGAAAGAAGCAGAGAAGTCGCAGGAGTCTACGCCGGCTCCGGTTGAAGATGGTGCGTAAACACATCGTCTTTTCTGGCTGTATACGACTAACTTGTCTAGAACCCATGCAAGGCATGTCCGAAGACGAAGGCGATCCCGATGACGAACCTGAAATCAAGATCGACGAGGAGAAGAATGAAGCAGCCCGCAAAGCTCGAGAAGAGCGAGCCGAAAGGCTACGCAAGATGATGGAAGACGATGGTAAGTACTCAGAGCTGAGGTGGTTTTTGTCGTCTAACGTTCGTAGACGAGGAAATGCCCGATGCGCCAGCCACAGCAGATTCACAGCCAGAAGCCCCCTCTACAGCGGCCACGGATACAACTGAGCCAGCTGAGGGCGAAGCTACAGTTACCGTTACGAACGGTCGTAGACGCGGCCGAAGACGAGTGATGAAGAAGAAGAAGGTCAAGGACGAAGATGGCTATCTCGGTTAGTAGTCAAAGCGTCCGCAAAGCCCACCAACTAATTGCGCACAGTAACTAAGGAAGAAGCCGTCTGGGAGTCCTTCTCCGAAGAGGAACCCACGACAAAGAAGGCCAAGCCAGCATCTGCCAAACCATCAAGCTCAGCGAAAGGAAAGAACGCAGGCAAGAAAGGACAGGGGAGCATTGCTAGTTTTTTCAAGAAAGCTTGAGATGCCCATAGACAGATACGCTTGCTAAGATATTTTCATGTATGTCACGATGAAGACGGGAATGCTCCTGAAGTTTTGTCCGGACAGTGCAAAAGTCGAGCATAGTGTACTGTACAATCATTCAAGCTGTCCCCAGGCATTTCCAATGACAGATATTCCATTCATACCTGCCAAATGATTCGGCCGTTTTGCAACGGTAAATGCCCTGTAATTGATGCAGCAAACTACTGCAAGTTTCGCGAAGCGAAGTTGTTCAGGTCGCCGACTTGCACGACTTCATACGCCCACCGTACCGGATGTAATGTTGTACACAGATCTTGACTTGTTGAAAGGCTCCGTGGCGCTGTGATGTTATACGACACGGTTGGCTTAGCTCAATGGGAAATCCTCCTCATTGACTTGCGTGCTATATCCGATTCGGATCCACTTCGTGTTGTCTTCGTGTATCATCCAGCTTGCTGGTCCCCTGCATGAGATTGTCTGTGTTCTGGAATCGCACTGTTGGTGATGACAGATTCGGTCCCTCCTCGGATGCCCCGCAGAACCGGGGAAGTATGTGCTTCGCCAACATCTACTTCTTCGTAATTTGTACAACCATAAAACCGTGTCAACATTCTAAGCTTCTCTACGAAAGGCGGGTTAAGAGCCGCACTGGCACTTGCACTAAGCCATACAGAGGCTACTGACCTCATTGAATCTGCACGATTTGGCAGGTACAGATCTGGTTGATGACGACATCATTCTTAGACAACATCAAATAGTCTGATGCTTCGCAACTCTTAACTGCTTCAAGCGCATCGCAATCAATCAATTGTTCTCTCACAATAGCAACCATAGCTTCACGCGCAGCATCCCGTCGCCTTTCGCGATTCCTACGCACCATGTCTACTACAGCACCCTCAGCATCGGCCCTCCCGCCCGCGCCATGGAAGTCGCTGTTCAGCGAGCATATCTCCAAGATGAAGTCGCCCGAGTTTGTTCTCGGAACACTCGATTCAGCACCCAAGGGCTCACCCACCCCTTTCGTGCCACGCGTGCGATACTGCATCCACCGCGGCTTCTGGGCTGAGCTACCAGAGAACAAGCACAACGATGCGGAACGCAACCCTCAAGTCTACCAGAGCGATTGTCCTACATTCACAACAGATGTTCGAATGGAGAAGGTGGGACAGATATTCGCAACGAGTGCCGGACACGCAGAGAGCAATGATCAAATACAGGGTAGTGGTGGTGGAGGCCCTGTGGAGGCTGTTTACTGGAACGCTGATACTGGCACACAATGGAGAATCAAGGGAAGGGCATTCGTCATCGCTGACGATATCGAGGGTGATGAGGAGAGCAGTGGTGTGAGGACTGTCAAGAGCGAGGTGGGAAAGAGGATGAGAATTGTTGATGAGGGCAAGGAAGACCAGTTCAGTTGGCAGAGGGAGCTGACAGGATTCTTTGGCAACCAAAGTCCTGGCATCAAAGGTAGGAAATATTGCTGTGTTTGAAGCTCTGGAAGACTCTAACGCGAATTCACAGGCTCGTTCAAGAACCCCCCGCCTGGTCAGCCTACATCCAAACCTTTCGACGACAAGAACCTCGCACTTGGGTCCAAGGTAGATGACTTGAAGGACCCCGTTGCACGCAAGAATTTCCGCCTTGTGGTCATCGTACCAGACTCGGTGGAGCAGACCGATCTCAGCAACCCCGAAAAGGCACGGAGATTTAGATATACATTTGACGAGAGCGCAAAGGCCAACGCCGGATGGAGGACTGAGGAGCTATGGCCTTAGAAGCGCTGCGAATAGGTGTTTATGAGTACGCATGAACGGACAATCGAAAACAAATTGGCAACCGAATGTTCGAAACAATACCACAGAGTTCCCTGATGTTATTCGATTCCTTCGTAGGGCCGAGTGTATGCATTGTTGTTGTGTAACTCGTTTGTCGCAGCGACCCTTGCTTGCTGCACATGCATGGTTTCGATGCAGTCTTCCCCACAACGTGGCTCAGGTCGGCGACCACGACCGTGGCCCTTGTTGGTTTGAACAGTCGCCTAAAGGTTGCAAATTTGTTGAGCGTGCTTCAAATCGGAACATGGGATTTTCTGGCTCAACATTAGTTCCATCGAACAAGCTGCTCGCTGCACATTTCTTCGTGTTCAAGTACGTTGGATCAGACTTGGACGCGAGTTTCGTGAGTCACAGCGTTCTGGTCTGACGACATCAGAAAAGCAGAGGTGCGAAACGAAACGTGTGTTGAGCAGGCCCCTTATCCGCATACTATTTCTGTCGTGTGGTTACCCCAACGGGAAATCGATGGGTAAAGAATCGTCGGCAGCCTAGGATGATCCCGGAACGCTAATCTAAATAATGCTACGTGTGTTAACGTTCATGCTACAGCTGTTTGTGTGGTAAACTTCGACAGTTGGAGATCCACTGGCATTGGTGCATATCAACAGGTCAGGTGGGCACACCCGCCTTCCTAGGCTGGCATCGTTCGCGAGCACAGCAGGTCGGTCACTGGACTGTGCACAGCAAATCATCATCTTACACAGAAACAAGATTATGGAAAAAGTCTCCGTCACGTACGTGTACTGTGCGGACGATTGGATACGGACGGCATGGACGTCTGCATTCACTCCTTGGTCGTTTGAACTACCACTTTTGGTATGTTATTCGCAGGTTGAAAAGAACACAAAGGGCGCCACGGTTTCGATCCGGCTGAGGCGCTGCGGCACGGGTGTAGCTACGCCGCACTGGTGCTTATTGGGAGTAATAGCCGCCGGGCGGAAGTTCCATGCGCGCCATCGCCAAATCGATGAATGGGGGGTGAGCTGGCAACCGTTAGGCCGGCGGCGGGTGTAGGCGGTGATTCGAGCTGTCATCGCAACTGGAGGAGTGGAGCGAGCCGCGACATGGAGGGAGATCATGTGCAAAGCGCAAAGGACTAAGAAGCGATCCCCATGCGCGTCTAGCGGGTCACGACAGGTTCGGTATGTAGATGCGTTATCGTGGAGCCATGCGAAACACCATGACAATGGCATCGATGCTGTACTCGGTCGGCCATGTGGCAGCGCAACAACAAACTCCGCCGTGCAATGCTCAGGAGTGAGGCAATTGAGTCTTGTAATCTTGCGACTCGTCCCTAATAAGGCCGAGCGCCCTGTTCGATCACCGCCAAGGGTACGGAACCGTTGCTGCGGTACCCCATACCTGTTCAGAGCGGAGTATCTTCCTTGCACCTTGCACCCGCACCGATGCAAGTCCGTGACTTTGCTTTCTGGCTGCCCCCTCTTTCTTCTTGATGCAATGCACTGCCGTGGATTTGTACCTCCGTCGTCCCACGCTGCATGTCGGTAGACAGGACAAAGTTCAGTCTGGCCCCGCTGATCGCATCTCATATCAGGCGCATTCCCCTGCTCGCCAGCCCGTCCCTCTCCATAAGTAATCGCTGATCGTCTGTCACTATTTCTCCGCCGACCGCTGGACGCGCAATTACCCCGACCATATCCTCTTTCCACTGCCACTCTGCACACCTGCCTCGTTGCTCGCTGGCCGACGCTCACATCGATATCGTAGCAGTTGCATGCAATCGTCCGTCTGCACCATTCCCTGCCACCATCACCCCTGCCGCCCTACGCCGGAACTCGGATCCTCGCCAACCAAGACGCCCGCCATGTCCGACATCGAGAAGTCGTTCACGTACCTCCAGGACAGCATACCGCAATGGCTTCAGGATATCGCCAGCGTTGAAGAGAAGGTCACGGCCATGCAGAATGACAACACAAAAGTGCCCATGTCACAGTCGCCATTCGGAAAGCGGAGGACAGACTCGACCGCGTCCATACGACCAGCACTAGATGCCATCGCCGAGGACGCAGCGCCTTCGAATGCAACCCCGACAGACCCTGTGGGCAGCCGCAAGCGCAAGTCCCTCTCCGTCTCATCCGGTCGCGTTTCAGGCCCCTCGCGCCATCGCCCTCGCACAATGGTCGTTGTGAGCTACGATGGAGATATGCAGAAGTCTTTCGAGCTGCTAGTGCGCGCGATAGGAACAGGGCGCAACTTGCTGAGGAAGGCCAAGATGGAGGCTCGGATGAACGAGATGGCTACTCAGGCAGAGTCGAGTGAAGAGGACGACGATGTCGACGACGATGATGATGAAGAGGTCGATCTATCCAAGATCAATTACCGAGCACGTATGTCATCACTACGCGCGATGTCAGCAGCTAGGAGAAGCGGGCGGCTTGGTGTGAGCAGCGGAGTAAAGACACCTGCGGTGTTATTCGACACCTCTGATAAGACACTGGAACAAGCTCAAGAGTCGTGTGAAAGGGCAGCGCATCTCACACTACGCGACGGCGACTGCAGGAAAGAGTTGGAAGGAGTACGGAAGAACTTCGAGGCTATGCTAGAGATCGCAAGGGCCGAGGTTGAGAAGTGTAACGCACGCAAGTCACAACATCCGCCTGAGCTGCAGGCACACGAGACCTCCGACACATCCATGTCATCCCTAGAACCCGAAACACTACATCGAAAAGACACACCACAAGCCGCACTGCCGTTACCTGAGTTAGGTGTCCAACCGAAGACGACGCTACCACAGGAATCTTCCAGTGCGCCTCAGCCCCCCAAAATCGTCGATATCGAGGTTGATGAAGAGGATGACGATGACGATTTCGTATTGCCGCCTGTCCGACTAACATCGCGACTCAACCGGCGAGACTAAACCTTCATGTCCCATTCATTCGTTACTTTTCCATGCGTTCAAGCGATTCTCGTCTCAGTCACTGCTTTTGGTACGGCGTTCTCATGGTACTAAGTGAGCAAGCGAGCCACTGTTTCTCACGTCATGCTGGGGATGAAAAAGGGGCAAAGGGTATCATATCCATATACATCATCAAGCAATTATTGTGCATCGGCGTCTTTTCGCGAGATATTGTTGCTGCTATTGTTCACCGGAGTCAACCTGACCTGAAGCTCTTTGTGCTTACAGTTGAGAGAGCAGTGTGTATTCGCTGATGTCTTTTGTGGTTTGTTTACATTATATTAATCACCGTCGTCACACGATCGAGGCCTTAAGTCACGTACTTCATTCTCATCTTGCTTGCATTGTAGTTATTCGTTTAGCTGCGGGCTGTTCTCTCATTAAGCCGATATCTTTGACCTCGTGGTACATGATCAGTGCTTTCCGTTGTTGTCACTTCCTCGCTCCTGCCCAATGTTAAACGCGCACTTGAGGAAGGAACAAAAACGAAACGCAAGTTGCTCCACTCAATGCAACTGCCTTCTGATGCTTAACGTTTCTGCACGCGCCTGATGCCCTCTACCGCTATACTCACACAAGCTCCACTCACCTTCTTTGACGCGGCCCTACTATCGGTGGGCCTGAATGGCTTCTACGTAAGGGAATACAATCACTTCGTTCAAATTTTCTGCCTACTTAGAAGAGGCTCAAATGGCGGGTGGAAATGCTGTGCGAAGTAGCGCTGTAAGTGAATCCTTTGTTTTCTACCTTCACTCTCATTACTAATGCGACGCAGGTGACTGCCCCAGAGAGAGCAAACATCGATGAAGGGCAAAAATATGCTTCGGACTCGCATCGGACTAATGAAAATCTCGAAGACAGCAGAGAACCCTCCGTCGTACCTGACGAGACTATTGATCGACGTGGATCTAGTGATACTAAGGGCGCAGTCAACATCGAAAAAGTTGTCTTTCGGACCCCAGACGAGAACAGCGGAAATTCCCAAGAGCCCGTCAAGAGACCAGTAAGTCTATTCTCGTTCGACCCGAGGTAGAGATTGACTATGCTTCGCAGCATCTTCCTGAGGTTCCCAAGAAAGACCGCGGCGCCAACCTTCCGTCTGATATCGACCTTGAGAACTTTGCCGATTTGAAGAAGTCAGGTTGGACTCCACCTACCTCTACCATCTCCGTATCCTCGTACGATCTGCGCAACAGAACGCAGAGCAAGCTAGTGTACGATGTCAAGTATCACCCTATGGACGATACCATCCGGCCTTCTCAAGCAGCGAAACGTCGTACAGCCCACGGAGAGGTGCCAATACTCGATTTTGATGATGCGAGTGATGCCTTCACCCTAACTGATACCGCAGCTAGCATTGGAGAGTCGAGCGATACGCGAAGCGAGGATTATGAGGAAGCGCCAATGCAAAGCAAGCAAGCCAAACGACGCAAGCAAACCAAGTTGCGGCCGTTGCCTGCTGAGGGCACAAGACGTTCCACACGTAAGGTCTCAAATCAGAAGACATCGTACAATATGAATATCCACCCTCAAGACAAGTACCTAGTCATATCCAGCGATGATGACGACAAGCAGACTCCAAGCAACAAGCGTAGGGAGATCACTCGTAAACGTCCCAACGCCGACGATAGTTCCGTACCTGACATTAGAATGGCAAAGAAGCCCAGAGTTTCTTACCAGGATCGATCGCGCCGCACAGACCTTGGTACTTCTGAAAGCCTAGACTTCAGTGGTGTGCCCATAATGCATAGTGTGGAGACTGGTGGAGCTACCAAGCACAGTACGTATATGCAGTTACAATATCCTCATGCGAGCTTCAACTGATCGTGTGCAGCCATTGATACTACGACGTCTTCACATTCTTCGCTTGTTAACAGTCTCCCTGACCATTGCATTCGGCGCCGGGAAGGTATGGACGTCTGGCACTACCCTCCCGGAAAGAGATACCTTAACCATGGTCGGGATTATTGGCCCACTCTCCCAGATCAGGCGTTTGAGATCTTCCACGAGAAGCTCGAAGATCAGCTAGCACGCGAAGCTATGGAAGCATCACCACCCAATTACGAACATGACAACAAGGAAAACATGAGCAACGCAGGCCTTGAGCCGGGATCTGATGACTACGGTGGCATGTCTATCATGCCGTCTGCGCAGTATCTACAGTCAAGCGATGAGCAGCAGCTGGCAGATCATCGTGCCCTTGTCTCTGAAGCTCTTTATTCTGACACCGCTCCGCAGTCATATGGGCTGGATGGAAGTCATGGCACCTGCGAAGTACAGAAAGATGGCCTGGTAGAATACATGGATATCCTCATATCTGGTGGACACTTGCCCCCGGGTCCTGCACATGCTGAAGCACAAGCGGAGACCCAGGATTCGGTACTCGACTCCGACTCTGCAAGCGAAATCTGAGGGTCAGAGTTGTAGGCCTGTCAGCGCGCCACACACCAAGAGGTCGAGTCGGTCGTCTCACCTGGTGTTTCTGTCAGCTGTATCGACTTGTTTCTTCAAGAATCAGCTCTAATTGCATTGTCATGCTTGCTGACAGCTGTATCGCTATATAGCTAAATGTACACTTGCAACTACCTTGTGTTCCATTTCTTATCCTCACCATATATACTATGCATTCCATAAGCCATTTCCGGCACACATCATATATGTATGACTGAAGCTTAGCTCACTTCGTGCTCATTGTCTGCAGGTATGGGAGGAGTGTGTAGTTACAAAGTACTATGTTTTAACGTACAGCGGAGCACTGCACAAAGCCGGCCAGTTTCTTAACGTTTCGTAGTCAAGTTGTGTACATCCAGAATGCGATCTAAGTCTTTGGCAAAGAAGAACGTATAGAGCAGAGAAGACGTCCTCTAGTCAAATCTGGATACATGCTATATCCAGTATAGTTGATCGACCTTGATGGCATCGCCGATACAGTCCAGTATGCAGGACCAGAGAGACTCTCCATATGCCTTCTATGGTCTCGTATAGCGAAACAGATCGCCAACTAAGAAATACTATACGTATGTCTCCGTCTAAGTCATGTTAGTACAGCACAAGCCAAAGTTTGTTACGGCGCCCGTTAGATACGAACGCTTCATGCTACTCGCCAATATCACATGCAAACTTGCTGCATTTCCCTGTACCGTCATAGAAGGTTGACAGCGTTCTGTATATGCCGTGTTCCGGTGACGGTGTTGGTAGGCTGTCTACAATGTCAGATCGGAGGTGATGAAATTCAGGCGTTTCAGCCTATGTTGATCTCTCATTAGTAACATGCTTTTGGCATATAAATGATATCCTCTCAAAAAGGACGCATGCTCTTACTTCTGCAGTTGCATAGTGCTTATGAGGAATACAATCTGTAATGAACGCCTCAGGTGCAGCCGTGAAGGATTAGAAAATCTGCATGGAAGGACGACGTTGCAACCTCAAGAACTACATCATGGGTCACCTTGCAGTGCTGATCTCATCCATCCTCGAGCTCGTATGGGGTTTGCTCACCTAAACTCTAATTTTCCATGACGTTCTTCCACGATAAAGATCGTCTTCGGCTTTGAATCACGATTCGATACGTTAGTCTGGACAGTAGTGTCCCGACAGTGTGTACCTCTTGCGTATGTAGGTCAGCCGAGCTCTGTACCAATTCATCATTGCAGTGTTCCAGACACATGATAGAGTCCCTGCATAGTGTACCTGCATAGTGTACCTGCCCACGAGACTTATATAAGTGACCTCGAAACTGCAGTACGCCGATACAGTACCAAAGTCCTGTCTACAATACGAAAGCGAAACGCGTCTTCTATATTTGACCGTCCGGGCGAGCCCGGACGCCCGGTTGCCAGGAATAAGCGATGGCGCGCTATTGCCAGCGGAGCGGCCATCTAGTGTCGTTCTGGATGCGATCTACGTCGCGGTCCAAGCGCAAGGCTGGCTGGAGACGATCTTGGTGTCGGTTATGGTGTTGGTGTTTTTGGGACGGAGGAGAGCGAATCTCGGATACACGGATAGCTTGAAGACGGCTGGCTGCCGCAAGTTCGCAAGATCGTCGTCGGGAGCGCTGGCGCAACTACACCATGATGCGTGCGGACCGCCAGACAACAGTACTATCGTCTGTCCAACACCGATTATGTGAACTTTGCCACTTCCGCGCGCAAATGCAGGTTGTAGCACGTGGGGACGCTTTACTTCCTTTTCGGGCATAGTGGATGTATGGCAACTGTGTTTAGTGAACTGGCTTAAGCCACGGAGGTTGATCTTGTCCCGTCACGACCCCACACCCCATCGTCTCTGACCAAAGGTCGATCAACACCACGATGCCGTACGCCGCCGGTGAAGCTGGCCGGATATCGTCATATCGTATCGTATTGCGCGGAGTTATCTGCGATTTAGGTCTCAACCTCATTCCATGGTACGAACAGTCTCGTGGGACGATGTACTGCACCGCGACGTCGAGCGCGCGAATAGCTTGCTTGAATACGATGGCGCTTGAATAATTTGGCCTAGAAATTGTGGTCTCGAGGAATCTAGTCTATCGTCCGATGTCATTGTAGGTTTCCATCTCCGCTGTTGCATGGCGGAGCGGCCGTTCTGTCAAGCAGAGTGTCATGCACGTTTCCTGTCGACCGCAGATGTGTTTCCAGTTCATCCTTGCTTCTCCCGCTCTCAGCCAAGTGGTAGCAGCGCAACGTCGCAAAGACCAATGGGAGGCCCTCCTCTTACCACAACCTTGAGCACATCTTTGCTTGGTCTTGCGCTTGCTGTCAGCCTTTTTGCACGCTTGTGCGCCCTGCAGCCATACTAAGCTCATCTGCCGACACGCGAGCTTTCTCATCTGGTTAGAATGGCGTCGCACGCATGGTGCTTCCTGGCAATCTATGACGGCAGGGCTAGACTTATGAGACCCTGCAGACTCAATTTGGAGGAGCTTATTGAAGATTGAGGCTTGTAAGTGGACGTGGAATTGGTGATGGCTACGTGTTGTCTCTGTTGTTGTCTATGCCAAATCTCACGTCCTCTGCTACTGAGCGTATAGCATGAAGAGATGCACACTGTTCATCGCGTTGATGACAACACTCATTGTCCCGCGAGCGGCTCAGTGTATTCTGGGCATACATTCTAGTCCCTCGTCTCGCCGATTCGAGCAAGCGTTTCAATTAATCTATTCCCAAAAGGGCCTTGACAGGGATCACACAGCCAGCCTTGCTCCAGCCAGGCACAGCCGCTTCCTCCTGCTACGGCGACTAAGACATCGTACGCCGCACACCGTCACTGTATCTCTGCTCTAGTCTACGATCACAATGGATGACGGCGGGTGTGGAGTGAGGGGCTTAGGCCTAGAAACAGTGGTCAGTCTTCGGCTGGCTACTCCGCCATCAGTCGTCTGATCACATCTAGCGTGCACCACACTGCGTCTGGGAATTGGATATAAGGTGTAGGTCCATTTCCTCAGGATTTCGATATTACAAGCAAGCATCGATCAAGGTTCTACAGCAACTACTGCTACTACTAGTACCTCGAATCTTGTAAACTTATATTGATTGGTCTCCTGACTCTTTTCCTTTTTCAGTATATTTATATACTCGTTTACGGGAATATTCACACGGACCTCTCGAGTTCGGTGACTGTTATATACGTCTACATTACTTCCGGTGTCACGCAAGGCTCCTGCCGCCTTCCAATTCATACCTTACCTGGTAGCGCGAAAACAAACGGAAAAACGGACGAGGACTTCTCACGCGCACGGAGTTCGCCACCGAGGATTCATTGCACGCCGCTATCATTACCTGATACTGTGAATTTGGGCCTCTCGAGTTCCTTTTCTTAATTACAGGATTACTCGCCGAACGACTGCGATACAACTACTCCACCACTTCACCACTTCTATACATCACCCATATACAAGATGGTCAAGTTCTCCACTCTCGCTCTCGGGCTCCTCGCCATCGCCGGCGAAGTCTGCGCACAGAGTAAAGTAAAGGTCATGCCCTTTGGCGCTTCCATTGTTTCGGTACGTCCTTCGCTTTCTTCACTCAACCCTTACGCCTGCTAACCCTACCAAAGCGATGCTGGCGCGCCAATCTCCAGACTAGTCTTAGAGCTGGTGGTGTTACGAACTTCGACTTCGTTGGTACTCAGAAGAGCAGTTGCGCTGGTACCGACATCGATCAAGACCACCAAGGCCACCCTGGAAAACAGGCCGCGGAATTCGTAGCAAAGGGTAACCTTACTGTCTGGCTCAACCAAAACCCCCCGGATGTCATTATCATGCTCCTCGGTACCAACGACGTCATCATCGGAAAGAGGTCTGTCGACGACATTCTTGCCTCGTACGACATCTTAATCGGACAAATGCGCAAGAAGAACCCCAATATGCAGATCGTCTTCTCTAACCTACTGCCTCTGGACCCAGCGAAGTGGGCTGCGTCTGCCGTAAAAGGAATCAAGGACCTCAACACTGCCATAGCCACCTACGCGCCGAAGAAGAGCACCGTGAAGAGTCCGGTGTACTTTGTAGACAACTTTAGCGGCTTCGATCCAGTCAAGGATGCCGATTCGGACGGCGAGCATCCCAACCTGACTACGGGCGTGCAGAAGATGGCAGCCAAGTTCCTTGACCCTACCAAGACGGCAATAAGGGCAGCAGCTGCATTGAAGGCGAAGAGGGTCAAGAGGGCTGATAGGATGTTGAACTTGTCTGAGTAATAGGATGTTGAACATATCAGAGTCAACAGAGACAGATGTATATAGTAACGAATTCATGATCTTTCATTCTTCTCATGACTGAGCTTGGGTATCTTCAAGTACTTTTTCGAACCAAAACGCCGTTATAATTGCGCCGCCAGACGGATACTACGAGCCGAGGAACGACTACGTGCATTTATCGAAATGGTGAGCGGAAATTTTCAGGGCTTCTCCGTACTGTCAGAGTCGCCCTCAGACGCGTATGTATCCGTTTGCGCGGCAGCTTGCTCCCTGGCGGCCTTTCGCGCGGCCAGAATGCCACGAGATTTCTTACTCCTAACCAGCTTGGCTTCAGCAGCCTCAGCAGCCTTAACGGCAGCGACTTTCTTTGATTGGTCAGTATGCTAGTCGATCTAGGAGATAGTCAAATACTTGCGGCTGCCTCCGCCGCCTTAGCAGAGTGCATTGCAATGGCTACAGCCGCCGCCGAGTCCCTTTCATTACAGACGTATGTGGTGTCGTATCTAAAGACCGGTGTACAAAGTCAGTACGTCTCTCATGCAGTTCGTACAGAGGCATTACTAACGCGCCCCGGCCCATTTGGTGAGGATGTTGTGAATCGCCTTGGTGACTACGTTGCAGTCCAATATGGCTATGGCCGTTAGTAAAAGGTATCGCGAAGCCATGCGACATGCTTACAGTGATTGCGAATGTGGTGATTCTCCAACGACCACGGTCAAGTCAGAAAATTTGTATACAGCTCTTTCTTGTGTTAGCGCCATGGTGAAGGGCAGTGTCTCGAGACTGCCCTTCACCTCTAGTGAAAGAGGCATAGCGGCGAGGTTCATTTCGATGGTAAGGAAAAGATTTACGAAGGAGCAAAGGGGACTACGGGGAGAGAAAAATATATATGAGAGTCAGCTCCAACCATTAGCGGTCGATAAACTCGCCGTGAATGCGGAATACGGAAGATGCAAACGCTCCAAGAGGGGTAGTATTGCAATGGCCGGGCGATATGCAGGGACGCTGGAATAACAGAATCACAATAGAAAGAGCCGGGAGGAAGAATATTGAAAATCTAAATCAATGCAGTATGTACACATGCTATTCCACGTCTGCCAAAACCAACTCTTGAACTCTTATTTGGTGAGAACGATCTTGAGCTTCTTGGGCTGGTGAGTAAACAAGTTGGCATAGGCCTTGGGAGTGGTCTTCCGCTTGTTAGGCTCCTGGACAAAGTACTCGTAGCCCTGCTTGTTAGCAAACTTGATGGCATCCTCCTTGGACTTGAACTGTATCCGGTGGCCGTTCATGAAGTCGGCCGACGACTGCCAGCCCATGAGCGGGTTCTCCCATCGGTGGCCCTTGGGGAGAACGTCCCAGTCCATCAGCCAGTGTGAGGCGTTCCAGTCGCCGGATTGTGTGGCTGTCTTGGGGGGCTTGTAAATGCTGCAAGAAGTCAGTACGGGGGGCGGCGTCGGATGCGGGGGTTGCCGTACCGGACAGTACGCGCCTGGAGGTCGGTGGGAGCGCCGGAGAGGACGGCAGCGGCGACACTCTCACCGGGCTCGCTTCCATCCATGACACGCTTGGGGACGGGGGAGAAGTTGCTGGGGACATATTAGCCATATGCTCCCGTGGTTATTCTAGTCGCGGGTTGACGCACGAGGTCCGGTAGTCGATGGCGACATTGTAGTCTGGCCGGTGCCTCATGCCCTCGGAGGCGGACTCTTCGCGGATCTGGGTCGAGTCGCTGTTGAGCTTGACGGCGGGCGCATCCTCAGAGCTCGTCTTGTGGCCGTGGGGAGTGGGCTCGTTGGTTGCATATGTGCGGAACGACGGGGCCATGGCCCTCGTCGCAGAGGGCCGCAGGGCAGGGGCGAGGACGCGCGATGCAATTGACCTCGGTAGGGCAGACATGGTGGTTGTGTCGTCGGGGTGGCGGGCGGGAATCGTGAATGTCGGTCATGTCGACGGGATGAAGCTGGGGTGGTTGCTTGGCGAAGGCGCCGGCATAATCCGTCGTGCAGCTTTCTTCCTCGAACCTCACCACCGACCGCACGCCCTCCATCTCCACTCCATCGTCTTGCCCGCCCTGGTACGTCGCCCGAAGCGACCCACTACGCGGAGAGCGTGCAATTGATGCTGACTGAGCGGTAGCCGTCAAGATGAGCTTCATGCAAAAGCGCGGTCTCTCGACCCTCATCCCCCCCAAGGTACGCCCTTCTATGCACCCCTCCAATCGCCTACGGAACTGACCATCCTCCCCAGATTGCTTCTCCCAATGTAAGAGCCTTCCAAACCATCGCCTAGGACGCCCTGGAACCCCCGCAATTGCATTCGCGCAACCGCCGGCCCACCACAAACGCACGCATTCACGACCGCGACTCGCCAACTGCAGACCCAATCGCAATTCCAGAACTCTCACCGTGGCGATTTTGGATATGAGCTGATTTGCAAAATAGGCTATCGGCTCCTCCCCCAATGCTGTCCGCATGCAGAAGGTCGTGAGCTTCTACGAGAAGCTGCCCCGTGGCCCAGCTCCCGAGCCCGAGGCCAAGGGTCTTCTCGGACGCTACCAGAAGAAGTACATGGGCAAGAACCCATCAGGAAGGCGTGAGTACACCCGGCCGGAGAGGGAATGACAAGAGCATTGTCCTTGAACATGCGACATGCGCGTGAGAACATCAGACTGACCCTGTACAGCTCTCGTCCACGTCATTGGTTTCCTGATTGCGCTCGGCTACGCACAGAACTACTACTTCCATCTCCGTAAGTCGAGTAAGATGCGCTGATGAGATGATGTGACTCACCACCTGCAGGCCACCACAAGAACAACGAGCACTAAGCGGGTCCTCTGGATGCGCTGTGTCGCTACGAGCGAATGGACAAGATGTGTATATGTAAAGTGTAGTTGGTGAATCAAAGCCTCTAGCCAAGACCGTCTCTTCTCCTATCGTGCAAATGACTGTTTCCTTCTGTTTCAACATATCCACGTGTGCAGTGGCGGAGCCTCGTACACCTCTCGCTGCGCCAAAATGGTCATCTGGAACGGGGAAAAGGTGGTGTATGATCTGCGATGCTATGGAATATGTAACAGGACTTGTTGCAACACCTTCAACCTGATGGACGTTGAAGCACCGCACGTGCATGCCATGAGCATGTGTCGTCAGCTTCCCGTACCTAGACGTGCATCGCCGCCAGAACTCTCTCGACTCATGAGTCCGCTCCCCATGTGTGATGCAAAGGTGCCGCGGCAGCAGTGTGAGGTATAGGTTCCACAGCACGCAGACTCTATATATACAAGGCCCCAGCCCGTGCCAAGACTTGCGCCTCTCACCATCGTGGCTACTCAAGCTACCCGCCTCAACCTCCTATAAACCCCATCCACACCCGCGATCCGCCCCACCACCAAAGGGCCCTTTGTACCCAGTCACCCCTCCCGAGCGCGACTCCACGCCGTTCGGTGAATCAGCGCGACCCAGCACGTGTCCGCGACTGCCTCCAGCCCGCGCATCCTCCAGCGAAACACTCCGAAACCTCCGCACTCGCCGCGTCACCTCAGCAACTTGCAGAACGCAACTCTGCGGAAGCGCCGACTTGACATCCGTGGCGACTTGTAGCATCTGACATTAGGTGATTATCCCCAACTTTTCTTTAGCCCTCATGTCGCATGTCGACGATGTCGGGCGTCCGGCCGGGCTCGACTCGCAGCAGTCGACGCCGCTTACGCCAACGTCTTTCTTTGGATCAGATCAAGGACAGCTTTCTGACATTGGGTCTTGCGCCACTTCAGTTCCGGAAACTGTTATGGCAGAGCAGGTTGCCAACGATGTGGTAAAGGAAGCACAGTCGGTGGGTCGTTCTGCGCCCATCGACGACTCTGCGTCAACTACCAACACCCCCGCCGTTAACGGCGAACCGCCCTCGGGCACAGCGACTACCAAAACGACCACATCAGAAGCGTCTTCTACCAAACCCATTTTGAATGGCGCAGATGCACCCTCGGCTGATAGTGCACACGTGTCAGACAAGACCCAGGGACATGCGGCAGCTGTGAGTAGAGATTATGCCGAGTTTCGACGCGGCCCTAACAGTAGCAGAGCGAGAGCAAGCAGACAGATGCATCACGGCAAGAGTCCAGACAGTCCCACCTTAACGGCCTATCCAGCGAACATCTGGCAGCCGAGTCGCAGGCTGTGGCAGACGCGAGTGGTGGCTCAGATACCGACATTAGCCGTCCTGGAAGCGTAGACCAATCGAAGCGGGATGGGACTCATGTGCGGACCAACTCGACCGCGAAGAAGCAACCGTTCAAGTCAGTATCCGTAACCAAAAGCTTTCTAGCCAAGACAGTCCCCTCAACACCTGCTGCGCGACCTGGCGAGAAGGCAACCCCAGCAGCCCCGCCCAAGACGTCAGTCCTCACCGCGAAGCCCCGCCTCGTAGCCAAATCTGGTGCTGGCAACACCCCACGTGCGCTGGGACAGACCAATGGTGCAGGCGCAGGTCCAGATGCGAGCAAGGTTTGGAATAAGAACCAGCCGGTCCCAGCTCCCCCACCCAAGACGTATACGGACGACGAACTCAAGCAACAGTACGGCATTCATCTTGCAACACGCTTACAGGCCGACGAAGGGGGCAAAGAGGCCAAGTGGGCTGACATTGACGACGATGAGGAAGACTGGACCCCGGAAGCAGTGCAGTGGATGGATGGAACCAAGTCCTCCGTTGCAGTGCCACAAGAGACGCAGCCACCACCTGCTGAGGAACCAAAGACTATACTCAAGCCAGAGACGCCTGCCGAGACACCCAAGCCCACTACATCACCAGCGCCTACTACGAACACGCCCAAACCAAGCGTCACCGGCGGTACCAAAACTATCCTGAAGCCCGGCGCACACGCGCAGCCGACTACTGGAAAATCAAGTCTTGTCCTGAAGGGACAGCCGGAAAGACCAACCCTGGTGGCCAAGCCATCAGCCACAGAGAAGAAGTCACCATGGGCGCCCTTGCCTCCAGTCGAAAAAGTATCGCCGATTCAGGTCAACCCTCCAGTACAGCAAGCACCTCCGCAGCGCTACTCGCAACGAGACTCTTATGGCTACGATTCCATGCCCCCACCCGCGAAGGAAATTGCCCCCGATGACTTCAACCGCAACTGGCGCAACGAAAGTGGCAGTCGGGACAATCGAGACGGCCGGGAGCTGTACAATTCACAGAGTGGCCGCTATGAGCCTGTACATAATGATATGAGGCGGAGTTCGGGACGTGATAGTGGTAGCTACCGACAACAGCCGTCTGCCGTGCTGCAGAGGCCGTCTCATGATGGTGGTCCAGCAGAGCCGTCAGCAGCGTTCCAGACATCAAGAGCAAGCGCAGATGGACCCACTTGGGGCAGGAGGAGGAACTCGTCCAACGTCAGTGGAACAATGCCGAGGCGCATGTCAATGGACCCAAGAGGAACAGATATGCCTACTGGCCCTATGAGCACAGAACGACGTGAATCACACTCGATCAACGGCTTCGACCCGTCTTCTTCGGACCCTGCAACTTCCAGACACTCTCCCTTCCAGCAAATGAGGTCCCCAAACGTTGCCCAAGCTCACCCGGCTTCTCCCTACGGATCAGTAACTTCACCAGCTGTCCAAGATGCACCAGCGCCTGTTCCAGCACCGCCAGCAGAAAACCCTGTCGAGGTACAGAAACGCCTCATGGCCGAGAAGATCGAGCGTGCTCGTCTCAAGAAGCAGCAAGATCGTGAAGCCGAGCAACGTGCAGAGGCAGAGAGGAAAGAGCGACTTGCCAAGAAGCTGGCCGCTATGGGACCGCCTGAGTCGAAGACTAAGAACAAGGACCAGTCACCTACACGCCCAGAGCAGTCCCCGCAGAAAGGCAAGGCTGCTCCTGCCCCCGTGCAATCACCGCCAAAGCCACCTGTCCCGACTGCCGATGGTGAGGTCACACAGTATGGTATGATGAAGGTCCACCAGCCTCACCCTGTGAAGAAGTCGCCTCAGACCGAGCATGCCCAGGTTTCTGGGCCGGCATCCCACGCAGCAAATTCCTCACCGGCGGCTGCACCGTCGTCACTTGATCAGCAATCGGCACAGCCGTTTGACTCCTTCACGCGTGACAACGAAAAGTCCAGGCTAGCAACTGAACAATCTCAGACGATCGCTCACCAATCGGACAGCGCTATCCCTTCTGGGTCTAGGCCACAGGCACCTCCAGCATGGTCGCAGGCGTCTTCCACAGCACCTCAACCTAGACCTTGGACTTCGCAGGTTTGGGGTCCCCCGAAAACGCAAGATCGAGCTCTTGGTAACGGTACCTTCGACGCTGATTACCGAGGTCAGTCCCGCTCTGGTGCCCAGCAGCAACTTCCTGTCCAGCCACCTGCCTCGACAGTTCCCATTGGCACAAGCTTGGCCCCTCAGGCTCTACCGGCACAGCCAGGAAGGCAGATGCCTCCGTCGCAACAGATGTACTCTCAGCGACCATCGCGTGCACAACAGGCAGCAGCGGCTAGAGCGGCTAGACCTTCCAGGACCATTGCTGGCGGTGGTTGGGATACATTTGGAGACCTTATCGAACGCGATGATGCCGAACTTGCGGCAAAGAACCACCAGGATCGAGAGCGCCATGGTGACTTCCGCCCAGAACTTCGAGAGACGTACAAGGACCAGCGGGGCCAAGCACAGGTAACGCTGCATGACAAAGTCGCTGCCGACATGACTCTTGCCGAGGCGTTGAAAAAGGACGACACCACAAAGCCTGTGATTGACGGCTCGTCGCCTCAGCAAGGTTTAGGTCAAGGTTCTCTACAGCAGGCTACTGGCCCTCGTGCATCTCGCTTCTTCCCTCGCCCGACTGAGATCTCGACCGAGGCGACGCCGTCATCATCAACGTTTGCATCAAGTAAGGCTGATTCTCCTCCACCGCCTCCGGAGACAGAGACACACCCTGTTTTCGGCAGCGAAGCCGGCCACCCGTTGGTAAGGCTCCCGAAGCCGTCGCCTGTTGTACGACTCCCTCCGTCGGCGTCAGGTAGCGGACCGGCTGCTGCTTCCCATGTGAACTTGCCCTCGCGTGGCCAGGCTCTAGGTGCCAGACCTCTTGCAATGAACCCGGAATGGCAAGCTCGGTTTAACAAACTCCTTGACAAGCCAGGCTCCAACCGTCCCGCAACCCTTCCGGGAACATCACCAATGCTACCTGTCGCTGTCCCACAGCAAGGTGCAGTCGCCCCGGCTGCCTTGTCAAAGGCTTCTCTTGACGTCAGAGCAGGTACTGGTCCCGCCACTGTGTCCTTGCCTAGCATGTCCCAGACGAAGACCTTTGCGGATGATCGTGGAAAGGACGTGGCCACCCGCAACGGCGCTGAGGCACTATTCGAAGATAGAGAATTCGGCTCGCTACCTACAGTCAAGTTGTCCAAGGTCCCTCATCTCGCTGCCAACCAACCACCCAAGGCCGCGCCTAGAGACGAGCAGCAACCAAGGTACAAGAAATTCGAAAACCCTTTCACGATCCGTCGACTAGAGGCTTTCGACATCGAGAAGACTGCACAAAACAAGACAAAGTTTGATGTCGTTGTGCGCCTTGTTACCATGCGCGAGCCGGTGATCAAGTCGGTACAAAGGAAACACTATGGCCCTAAACTCACCCGCCAGCCTAAGCCCAAAACTGGTCCTCCAAGCACCACTTCTGCCAACAGTACGAAGGATCGCCCGCGCAAGCCGTCGCAACAGAGTCAGGCAGACCGTTCTTATAACAACAGCAACAACACTACTTCCCGTCCATCTGCACCCAAGACTTGGTCCACGAGCAACAACAACGCTCCTCGCTCGTCCCCAGCCCACACAGCTACGACTTGGGCTAAGGTTGCGACAGCCTAAGTGTCTTCTATAGTTGCTTCGGCTAGCTCCAACAACTACTACACGGCATGATCAAGGCGTGATATTCAATGTTCGGCGTTACAAACAATTTCAGTTGCGGGATCTGCTCTACGACGATCAAGAGTCGACTTGACGTTGGAGCATTGTCGGATAACTCTATGAAGTGTTTCACTCGGTCACTACATGTACTGTTCTCATCACAGCACACCATTTCACCCTTTTCCCCCTCAACAGCAGTATATATCGCGACATCTTGTACCACAACGATTTGAGTGGACCACAAGGTCGCTTTTCTTGGGAGGCAGTGTACTCCCGGCCTTTTCTTTCACTGGACTCTTAGTCCTTCCTTCTTGTCTTGGGTGTGACATCACTTTCGGGTCTGCATGTTTTTTCTCAGACCTTCGTTCATCTCCTTTTGCCATGACCGGCGTCAGGACGCGAATATGGGTATTGATAACTACGACGGGATATGACCTCGTGGATGCGGAATTGGAACGATGATAGAGGATTCGTGTACTGCTAATAATATTTTGAAAACTTCATGCTATTGTCCCATATGGCTCTTGCAACGATGAATCGGTTTATTGTTGCTCATGACCTGGAGCTAAGCATCTAATTGTCTGACAGGGAAGTTTACTGCCTCCAAGTTGGTATCTTCAACCTGCTTTCCGCTCGCTGCGGTGATGAGACCATCCAACCAATCCTGATGTCCCAACAACATCTTGTTCGGCTTCTGTACCTCCCACTCCTTGAACACTTGTCCAATTTGACTCTCCTGCGTCAAGATTCTCACTCTCTGTCCCTCCAGGTCCTCCACAACCCATGCATGATAGATCTCCAGCCCATCCGATGTCTTGGAGCTCCATGCCAACCTTCCAGCACGCCCATTACTCTCTGGAGGCTCCGACTCCTGGACCGTGCAAGTCAGCGGTGGGAAACCGAAAGTACTGAATTTGAAAACGTCATCTTTGTGCAGGAAGGTGCTGTCCGATGACGGAGGCGTTATCTGAGCGCAGTTTTTGTAGTAAGACTCCCATTTCGAGATGTTGGCTAACAGGGCCCAGATTTGTGTGCTGGTTAGATCTTTCGCGATGCGTTCGTTTGAGACAAAGTTGTCTGTCGTGCCAGGGAGGAAGTGCTGCGGCCAGTTGATCGCTGACTGGGTCGCCATGTTGATGGATGAGTCTGTGATTGGGTATGGGCTCTTGTCTTTTTTGTAGATATGAGTGCAGAGTGAATATGCAGGTGCTTGGTCGTTCAAGTAGCAATGGATATCGTTGACGCTAACATGTGGCGCTTACACATCATCATCATACCTGGGAAAGACTAATTCCGGGTGGATCTACAGAATACAATAGTCTGCACTGTTATACCGTAAAGTAGAGAATGATTGGTAATCTTTTGCACCTTGCTCCAATGCTGGAGAAAGCGATGTTGGCTTAACGTTTCTTGTGGTGATCGACTTGTCGACGTCATCATGAAAGCTCGATTCCGATGCGAGTAATTACACCCTGGATGGACTAACCGGGTAGTAGAGAAGTAAAGAACATCAAATACTGACAGAAGTAGAAAATATAAGATCTTTCAGAACTGACTATCAACGATGCTGTACGTTCTTTCGGGTAAAGCATCGCCCCACCTGAAGCCCGGTGACGGCTTAGGGAGTATTGTTAACCAGGATCGCGTTGTTGAAATGGAATTGTGTAACAGCCACAATAAGCTCATCCTCTGGACCACTCATCTGCAATCCGTTGGCCTCTATTAATTTTGAGCACAACTCATCCAAGCGGCAATTCCTGCGGTTTCCATGGATCCCCGCAGGACAAAGAACAACAGTAGCCTTCCTGACGACGTATTTCTCGACAATGACATCGCCGTCAAATGCTTGATCATTTTTTGCGCTGTATTCGTGTAAAGTTGTTGATACTGCCTGGAGGTACTTGGCTTGTCTGATCCAATCCCGCAGTCCCTCCAACACGAAATAATCTGCTTCTGCTTCTACCCGACAGTAGAGCGCATAGTCAAAGCCGTCTTTCTTATTCCAGTAGAGAGGAAATCTTGAGGGCCGGCGCATGAAGTTTAGGATATGCTCGAAGGTATCGGCATCCGCGTCGACGTAATAGGAGCCGTCGGCCTGCAAGTCTGCACAGTCTTCCCATCGTGTGAGGAGACTCTCAAAGTAAGGCGAGACTGAAAGAACGGATTTTGAAGTGCGAAATTTGCGACCGCAAACATCGAGTATGATGTGATTGTCCGCCATGACAAGAAGAAGTGGATGTAGCTTGTCTGTTGATAGAGAATTTGTAGAGGGCGGGGTATCAACTTATGTGCAACACAACATGCACAAGACCCTGTCCTCATATTGAGTCCTCGCATAACATTCTGTTTAGAACCACGAGTGTGCGGGCGGAGGCCAAAGCCACGTTTCACATCGCGCTTCCAGTTACAACTTACAGTCAGAAGGAATTGGCTGCTTCGGAGAGACCCCCGCTTCTTCAAAATATCTTTAGAAGGCATCGGCCATATCGTATGTAGTCAAATTAAGTAACGTCACCAGTTACAGTCTATGTGCAATTGAGTCTGTATCGACATCTGCACTACCTCTTAGTACACATGCACGCACTACATCCGGTTCACTTCGGTATGATCCCTAGCATTTCCATGTCCACTCATCGTCTTCTTTCCAACATTTCTTATCATAAATCGATGTATGCGATTCCCAGACAAGTCTTGGATATGGCGGTGCGTAATCGTTGCTCACAGCTTGTTGATGTGGCGGAGTGTATTGGCAATGGCACGCTGCGTCCATACACTGCGATGACTGGACTCGAGTTTCTCCCGCAAGAGGTACAAACTGTGTTTCTAGGAATCGCATATCGTGATTCGGTGGCTGTTGATATGGCTGAACATGGCTCCACGATACTGATTTTGTCGGCAGCGAATAGCCCGTCTGATGATTCGGACCCCACTGGGTAAACCTCTCACAGTCGCAAGCAAGGTAGTTCACACCGTCGGCAGTCACAAAAGAAAGACCGAGCCCTGGGTGTTGATGAAGGAACTGGTCGAAAGATTGACTCATGTGAGGGTTTGAGGGGACCGCAAGGAATTCTTCGTACGGATCATGACAATGGGTGTTTGAGCTAGATCGGTCGACCGCATAGGCTGAGAAGGTACTTTGCGACAAGGATGGCGCCATGTTGGACCGAAGTTGAGCTGTATTGACCGGCCGCTCTCCGTTGATGGGGAGTGATTTCTCTATGGGACGGGCACCCAGCCCTGAAGCCAAGTCCACTTTACTGTGCATCGGATCGATGTTATGATCGACATTGTTTCCATCATAGCCTGGCCTCAAGGCTTCCGAAGTGCTCACAAGAGTTGCGAAGTCGACTAGAAGATCGAGGGCGTTCATATTGCTGATTGATCAAGAAGAGATATTCGGGCGAACAGGGAAGAACGAGTGATAGTTCAGATAGAGGACTTCCTAGCACATCCTGACGGTGATTGTCTACACCAGTAAGTTGTCACACTCATGGTACTCGCACCAAACGGGTGTAGCATAACGTCGCCTCGTTGTACCCGTGGAGATGCAGCCTATCAAGAGTGAGCTTCGTGTCTAGAAAGCTCTCGTGATACGATGTGATGAACCAAACGTAGTTTGATGCAAGAGGAGATGTGGCTTCCCCATGAACGTACACAAGCTGCCTTTTTTCTTTGAGGGCATTGCCCTCTAGTTCTGTCGATGCACTTGTGACAAGAATGCTACCATTGCAAAACAGCTTCACAGAGCCATCAGTAGAGCTATAGGATAGCCTTGACTTCGATCGAAAAGGCGAGGTCCTTGTTTGCTTGAGCGTAGCTCGTTACGAGATGCTGGGCGTGTTCCATTAGCGAGCGGTGCCCTACTTTTGCACAACGGCGCCGGTTCGCGTCGCCTCTAACCAACAAATGTATGGATTAGTGTGGTAAGACTGCCTGTCTTATGTTCAAAGAGCAGAATCCGAGATGCGATGCGGCTCGATCGTGACAAATGCATGCGCTGGGGTCAGGGAGCAGCTGGCAGGTTGTCTCTCAAGAGACTGCCAATGCGTTGTTAATGCGTTTTCCATTTGAGAAATGACGGCAAACGTTGGCGTGTAGTCAGTATGTAGATGCAAGGCGCGGTGTTGTCTGTGGGAGACTTGGGTCACCGCCGTCGACTATGCCGGGCGTGAGCCTGTCGCTAGCGCGGGGACTTGTTAACGATCAACCTTGGAACCCACTCATTCATCCACATCGAGTAATGCGCGTAGCGCGACGCGTTCAATGTGTCGCTTCGAGCTCTTGAGCTTGCTTATTGTGTTTTTCGAGCGACTGGCGGCACGGAAGAAGCAGTTCCGCGCATCCAGCGATCTATCAGCGCCACGACCATGCTCCACGAAATCCTCCTCTCGCTCTCCGGGCACCCGTCTGCGCTCTTCGATGCCCCGGACCACGTGACAGCAACCGCACATCGTCTACTCTCTCCGCCCGAAGCAGAGTTGCTGTCTTCCATCGGCCATCTGTCGCGTCTGCATCGAAGTACACGCGATCATGTCGCCAGAATTGCCGCGTCTCACCCTTCAGTCATCTGTAGGGCAGTTGCTACTTCGATTACTTCTTACCACCTCGAACGGTTCCAACGCAAAGTGCTGGAAGTCGAGAGTCGTATTCTGAAACAAGATGCTTCTATCGTGGGCGCGTACAATATCGTACCTTTAGCTGGGGTCGTGAGCGAGTTCTCCGAATGGACTAGAGTCATGGAATGGCTGCGGGACATCAGCAACTACATGTTACCATCGGATGTTCCTGCAAAGTTCGAGAAAATGATCGGACAGGCTGCCTCTGGAGCTGCTGTCATCGATAAGCTGCGGAGTGAAGCCCAAACAGGCTACCCGGATATCGAAGAGGCCGCTCGAGGTTTGAGCAAGGTTGCAGAGACGTCGTGGCTGCGACAGCTATCCACCTGGTTGCTATATGGCCGACTCCCATCGTTTGGGCGCTCGGACTTCTTTATTCAGCAAGACGACGAAGACGCGGACGAGCAAACTTTTGTTCTACAGAACAAGCTACTACCCAAATTTGTCACAAGACAGACGGCTCTTTCTATTCTCTTTGTTGGTAAATCGCTCAACCAGATTCGCTCGTTGCCGTCGGCTGCGAAGGTATTGGACGCATCGAACTCAGTTTCAGAGCTTGATCTGTTGCCCAAGCATGTTCAACAACTCTCTCGAGTGAGCGCACCAGTATCAACAGCCATGCTTTCCGAGGCAATTGCGAACATCCGTCTTTCACTATCTCGAAACCTTCTGCAGCATCTTTTACCGCGCGAGAGAATTGTCGAGACACTGACGGTGCTACATCAGTTCTTTCTGATCGGAAGAGGAGAGTTTGCCTTGACACTGATCGCAGAGGCAGATGGCAAGATCTCGTCCCGGCACAAAGGCTCACAAATCAACAAGCCTGGCCAATCCGTCAGGGGCGTCATCATCAAAGAAGCGGAGATCAATCAGGTCCTCGCACGTTCGTTCTCCGTTCTCTCAACCCTGTCTAGCGAAGACGAACACACGGACGACATTCTGGATGTCGCAACTCAACTCTTACATCTCAGCACCAACAACACGTCTAACAACCGTCCGGGGACACCAGGGCGCGCCAAGGATGCGGACTCGATGCTTCCACAGCTTGCCAACATGTCCTTTGACGACCTACTGCTATCAGTACCAACGTCTTTGACGATGGACATACGCTCACCTCTTGACCTGTTCATAACGAAGGCAGATCTTGATGTTTATTCATCCATCAATGCTTCCCTACTTGCTGTTCGAAGAGCCCATCTACATCTAGCTGAGCTTTGGCGATACAGCTCGATACGAAGGGATCATCCTTGCCCGCCCGGGTATCAATACAGCAACTCCGCGCACGGTAAAGCAATGCTCAAGCGACGTCGACAACGCACTACGAAGCGAGCACAGGACATGCGGAAGATCTGGGCGACCTGCGCAGCCGCTATCTTTTTCTTTGCAGAGAGCGAAGCTTACTTTCACGGAGCAGTCATACAGCAAACCTTTAGCCATTTTATCGCATGGGTCACTGTTCCCCAAGGATCTTCGTCAACGGAAACAGTAACAGCAGCCTTCGACCGTACAAACACAACTAGCTTCCGCGAGTCCGTGACAGAAGGGGATCTACAGAAGCAGCATGATCCAGAAGCGCTAGCTTCAGCACATCGCCGCTTTCTGTCTTCGGTCGCATACTCTCTTCTCCTTACTGACCAGCCATTCACAAAGGCGCTGCGTACACTATGCACCCACGTTGACGAGCTAGTGGCATACATCACACGTCTCACAAAGATACAGCAAAATCTGGATCTCGAAGAAGATGAAGGCATAGAAGATTACTCGCAGAATTACAAGAAAGAAGAGAGTGAGGTCAGTCTGGAGATGGATCGTGCGAGGAGAAGGCTGGACAGCGATCTTAAAGCACTTGTAGAGCGGCTGCGTGAGATTGACAGTGAGAGGATCGGAGCTTCTGCGCCAGGTACAGAAACTGGAGCGACGATGGAGGAAGGAGCCTACGAACCGTTGAGAGTAGGTGGTATTGATCGTCTTCTGATGAAGCTGGACTGGAGCGGCGAAGATGAAGAAGAAGAGCATGAGGACTTGATATGATGTTTTACACACGACTCCTCTCCTGCTGTTAGGATATCCAAGGCTAAATTTCCGTGGCCTTGGCTCGCTTTTGGTGTTTTTTATACCTACATGATGGTAGAGGAAGTTGCACCTCACGTTCTGTTGCGATGCAGCAGTACAGAGCGGACCTTCTCCAGACTTCTACCAGCCTACTTCCACCGCCCCATCATCACGTTAATTCACCACACCAATTTACTGCCTTATCAGTATTACTCTGTCGCATCAATACTTCGTGAGTTCTCATGATGAAGCTCGCAGTCCTACTGCTGACAGGACCAGACCTCTCGCTCGAACCGCAAGTTCCTTCGAACTCATTATCATATAGTACATAACCCGACGTGCTCGCTCTGCCAGTATGAGGGATTCGATGAAATGCTTTCATCATGACGAGGTCTCGGATACAATAGAATCATGTACTGTGGACGATAATCAAATCCAGTCGTCCCATCCTTCCACGTGGAGGTCTAGAGTCCGGGCTGCCACTGATAGCTTTGCCTATCCACTGCCTCCTTCGAGTACGTCAACTGAAACTCCACGTGGGCGACGGTACTACATCTGTTCTGAAATAGATTCCGGAGTTTACATGCCGTCGGGTCCATTCGACAGAGTTTCAGGTCATCCTACATCACATTATCGACCCGAGGCACCATCAAACCCTGCATCCAATCTTCCCACATCACATTATCGTCCCCAGGGACTATCGACCCTTACTTCCAATCATTCCCAGATACCATCGAACCCTTTCGAGGATCCCCAATACGTAATCGGCGTAACCAAACCGAAAAGACGGCCAATGCGCGAATGGCAGGATGTTCTGGAAGATCAGCGCTCTGATGCGTCTGCGGGTGCAGTGAAGCTGAGATATGGCAAGGTCTACCTCAGACGCCAACGACGTCGCGTTCAGGCTGTGTTCACAAGCGCCAAGAAGACTGACTGCGAAAGTCAGCAGCGAGCTGCATCAACTTTGCTCAAGGGGCAAGGTACACACCTTGGGCGTGACACTATGCGAGGACTACAATGTCCAGACTGTCGGCGGGAGATGGAGGCCAGGTCGCTTGCGAGGTGATCTGTGGGCTGGCTGGCTTGACGCCAGTGGTTTGTCGTGTACTACAGCTGCAAAGCTTGCGTTCGTTCGTACTAGTCTAGTAATCAAGACTTCTTCTTAGCAGCTAGCGATACCCTGATGTGCCTGACTACGGGTGATTATTGACAATATCTCGGTATTTCTCCATTTGATAAGCACAGTTGTTCGCTTGGAGAAGACACCCCTTGGTATTGTATGACATACGACGATTAGTACGAATAGATCCGCTATTGCATCGCCACACTGAACTAGTGCTATTGAGAGACGAATGTTTGTTCGACCGGATCGAGGCTAAAGTGGCAGCAAGAGAGGGCAAAGAAACAAGCTGCGCGCTGCAAAAAAAAAAAGGTTCTATCGCATAGGAACAAAAAAGGTCGTGCCCGGGTTCGAACCGGGGTTACCAGAAGGTTGATAGAAGTCAAAATCTGGAGTGATAACCACTACCTGTATTGGCGGTTAGACAGACTTCATGTTAGAACGGGTTGGGTCAACGTACACTACACAACCATGTTGTTCTGTTTGATGCCTTTTGGTTCTCTTGCTGCATACATATTGCCGTTTGCATGTGTACACGCGGACAAGGCGCTTTTATAGTCAAATCGTCTCAACCTCGGGCGCAACTGGGTGGCGTGTGGGGCCCCTGAGGTGTACGAAGCGGGGCTTAGGCAGACACACGTCAATTCGTGGTCCAGCCATCGCGCACGCTTTGGACCTGAACACTGTCAAAGCTCACTTCTACCCTGCTTATAATCCTCTGCGAACGTCAATTACCCCGCATGCTGCAATGTAGGGTCGACATATTGTGAAGACTCCATGACGCTGTTGTACAGCGAGCCCTGAGGCAGTTTCAAATCCATCGCGACGGCCCCTCACCAGATTTACAAACTTGAGCCTCTAGACCAGAATGACGTCGCGAAAATCCGTCTTGATTGCTCGGGTACAACACAACCTTGCAGACTGGTCTACATCAAGGAGAGTAAGCGATCATGCAGGCCGCGGACAGCTAGCAAAACAAGATTCAGCCTCAAATGCACGCAGGGGCCGCCCTAAATGGTAAGAACGGACGGGTATCGTATCCCAAACTGAGTGCCAAGACGTACGTCAGACAATGGTAATTTGTAGCAAGCATTGTGCCTGCGACACATTATGTTAAGTAACAAGGAAGAGCCAGGTACCTTCAGGCATATTTACGCGACCTTCGATATTCGCTATACAAGCTGATTGCACGATGACCATCCATATTGATACCTTCTCCGCCAAGGCCACCTTCGATTCCAAGGACAATGAATTGGCTACCAGCGGGCTGGAGTGTGCAGAAGTTGTTGATAAAGATGATGGTGATGGGAGGTTCCACGGCCAATCGAACCCGATTCTCAAGAAAACTTTGGTAGATGTACACCACAATCTCAGCACGTTGAAGAATGTCAGTTGGCTCCCTGGAGTTGGCGATATATACAACGGTACGCCAGGAAGAGGCGGCGAGGGCGTTGCCATTTCCCATCCATACGAGAGTAGGCACTACCTTTCCCCATGGCCATCTTCCAGCTTAACACGGAGAGGAAGTCCAATGCTAGACAAAGGCCGTCAGCCTGAAGGTGCAAAAGACATTCGACGTAGTGCACTCCGACGGCACTGCGATTTCTGGGATGCCGACCAAGATGGAGTGATCTACCCTTGGGACATATTCATAGGATTCCGCAAACTCGGTTTCAACATCGCCCTATGCCTATGGGCAGCGGTCACCATGGCTGCATGCTCGTCGTACAGCACACAGAAATCCTTTCTCCCGCATCCCTTGTTCGCTATTTATCTCGATAATGTCAATCGCAATCGGCATGGAAGTACTACTGGTGCGTACGACTTGGACGCTGAACTGGACACACGGCGTTTCGATGCAATCTTCGAAAAGTACGCCAAAGGCAAGGACTACCTAACATGGCGAACTATGTACGATGTGTGGGTAAGTTGCGGTTGTACAAACTTCATGCGAGACATACACTGACTTCGTACCCCCCCTCCTACAGGCAGGTCAATGTTGCGCAAACGATTTCTTTGGATGGTTTGCTGGAGGCTTAGAATGTGGGTCATAGCGCACGACCCCAACAAATTATTCTGCAATCATTAACGCTCGATAGGGATAGCAATGTACATCCTGCTTTGGCCTCAAGATGGTCGAATGCACAGAGACGACATCCGAGGAGTATACGATGGTTCCATCTTCTGGAAAATTGCCGAAGCTCGCGCTCGAAAGTTGCAAACATGAGACTCTAAGTAGTGGAGAAGTCCTTGTTTAGCCAACTGTAACATAGTAATCATAAAAATAAAATTACCTTATACGAGGCATAGAGCGAACTAGTACAGCGACAATAAGTGTTTCATTGCAGGCTGCACTAGCTGGTTGAGAGGAAGCCTTTGAGGAGCATCAATCACTCGCAAGAAGTGAATGTAGCCACGGATTGCGTTGATGAAGGGGTATGGCCTACAACGCTTCATGTGCACAGGACGGGATGTCAAAATTACTGTTACCACGTGGGTTGCAGTAGAATTAATATTGGAACGTCTACGATTGGCTTCACTGCGAGGACACACACCCCATGGAAATCTATGAGACCGAGATCTGTGTGGAAGGACTACGATAGACTTGCGACGTGACGAACTTAGACATTTAGACGCAAGCTCTTCTCAGCACCACTTCCACTCTTAGCTCAATAAAGAGCATACGATACGAAGCACTGCCATCGAATCAACTGCCCTCGACAGAGGATACAATTTTGGCAGATGCAGCTACGAGGACGGCAAACAAAGCCCAAGCTCTGGCGCTTACTATTGACGAGACGAGTCAGCAGAACCATCATGAGCGGAAGGTTGAGCGGAAGTAGAGTAATATCTTCTCTAGGATACTTGGACCAGTAGGTAACGAGAAAGATTGAACTGCATAGTTCTGAGATTGAAGACGAAGTAATATGTGGAACATCGTCACCTTCATAATGTAATAGGGCTTGATTTAGAGATGGTCGGAATGGTAATTCTTAGAACCTTGGCAAGAAGTCATGCGAGGTTCGCTCATTAAGCTCATATCATGTTTCAAATCTTGACTTTGCTAATTCGTGTACTCTTTTGTTTTTACATCTAGACTTCGTGTCCGCAAGTTGATAGGTGCATCTCTCCTTCCGCAGGCAGCGTCCATCTGGGCTCAACGCCGATGATACCGCGCTCAGTAATCATGCTTGCGTTAACTGGGCTCTTGGGGATGATTTCCTCACCCCTGGTAGCCAAGATTGAGAGTACGTGCGCAGCAGCCTTAGCGTTGATGGTCAACGTCTCTGGGTTGGGGTTGTCAATGGTGTCGCAAGCCTGGTGGTAGCAAGGGTCCTGCTCGACACCTGTTCCGGTGTGAAGACCACCAACAGGTTTGCCAATGTTCATAAAGGATTGGTAGTCACTTCCACCAGTGAAGCGTGCTGCTGTGACATTTACACCTTCCTTCTCGAAATGCTCAACAAAAAGCTTCTCAATGGCAGCTGATCCCGGGGCACCAGTGAGGTTGAACGTGCTGCCATCGCCATCGAACACACCAAAGTAGCCGCGGGAGACCATGTCAAAGTTGAGGTATGTGAGAATGTTGTTGGCCTCTGTGGCGTTCAGGTTCTGTGTGTAGTACTTGGATCCAAGTAGACCGTTTTCTTCAGCGCCCCACCATGCGAAGCGTACTTTGTTCTTGACACCGAATCTCCTCAGTGCCTTGGCGATCTCGAGGATCAGCGTGCTGCCTGAGCCGTCGTCGTTGATACCAGCACCAGCCTGAACACTGTCGAGATGTGCGCCAAGCATGATGACGTTGGTTGGGTCGCCATCTTTGGTCTCGGTGAAGACATTCTGCGTAATGCGCGTTTCTACGGTTTGGGTTTGCTGGAAGTACGCCTCGATGGTCTCGCCAGCTTTAAGGCGAGCAACCAGGGGTTCTGCATCGGCGAGGTTGATATAGCCGGTGGAGACGTATTCAGGGTTGGGGTTGGATAATGTACCACCAGTAACATTTGCTGTGTCGCTTGCGTAGATGATTACGGCAGAAGCACCGGCGGCAGCGGCAGGCTTCATGCGCCCAGCAAGGGTTGTGCCATCGGGGCATGCTCCTCGCTGTACCAAGACGATCTTGCCTTCGACATCCAAACTGTCGTAGGCTTCGTTTGTGCAACCTTCAGCTCCAGAAGGACCCAGAACAAGCGGCAGCGTCAAACCTTCCGGAGTGGTGGATGGCGAGTATGAAAGTCCAATAACGCGGTAGGAACTGTTGCTCACGCTGAACTCGATAGAATCAACTCTGTTGAAAAGAGCAGGAAAGTCCTGGGTCCATGTCTTGAAATGTGTGTTCTGGGTTTTGGCGAGCATGTAGTCAACAGATGCGGCATAACCTGGGAGACCGAAAGCACGGTTGCCTCCATTTGCTTTTGCGATGGAGTCAAAGGCCTTGAGGTTGCTCATCAACCTGAGATGGTCAGTTTTGTCAAATTTTGCGACTTGGAGATCTTACTTCTCAGTTTTGATCTCAGCCTGGATGGGTCCAGATGACACCAAAGGCCGGGGTCGCACAGCAGCAAATGCTTGGGCAGCGCCCGCAAGAACGATAGCACTTGAAACCTTCATCTTGGAGTTTCGATTGACCAGCTCCAGTAGCAATTATGAAAAGTATGCAAGTAATATCTTGAGGTGGTAGCCGAGCTCATATACACATGTTCCCCGCCACTTGCTGTTCCGGCCTCCTGGGCATATGCAGCTCATTTGTGCGCGCGACACCGTTCCTGGCCCACTCTTATCATGGCCTTGCAGGTACTGTGTCCGGAAAAGAAGGTAACAAGAGAGTAGATCGTTCTTTGCCAAGTTGCCAAGGGGCGGACATTGATACCTTCCCTAAGGGCGATAGGCTGGCTTGGCGTGAAGGTTAATATCGCCACGGATGTTGTGTCTTCTACCCGAAAGTGACGAGAACAGTCGAGATGTTCAACATCTTCTTAGACGGCTGGTTAAAGAGACGTAAGCTTTGCCAGTGAGTTGGTCTGCTTGATGACTCTTGCGTAGTGTTGGTATTTGGGCTCGTTCAAGTGTCGATCCAAGAAGAAACTGAATACGAATTTAGGATCCGAGGTATTGCATAATGATGCAGGTGTAGTACCCTCGGTTTAACCTGGTACAATTGTACCAGATTTTGCCTTTACGACGGGTGTAGGTAATTCTGACCATGAGTGTAGCGAGACCAACATATATAGCTCGCAAAGGGAGCGAGTACCTGAATGTCAGAGTCCATCCCTGGGGCATCTAGTTCTCCCTGAACACAATATGTATAGGGAAGCACACTTAGTACAAGACCAGTATCGAAGAAGAGTCAATGTGTAAGCATTAAGATTATGAGATGAAGCTTTATATCAACGAGAACAAGGATTCAACTATTACCTTTGGCCGTGCAATAATGGCGCCCTCTCGCTGTCTCCAGCAGTATCACTCCCATTAGCATCGTCGAGTTGCTGGCTTTTTTGGGCCTTTCTGTCTCTCAAGACAAAAGACAGGCCCATGACTAGCAGGAAGCCTTGCAGGATACCTGTAAAGATGAACAGGCCCCATGCACTCCAGCCCCCAGGTCCCAGCCTCGCATAAAGACTGGCTGCAAAGACGAAGCTCCCCGGTGTTTGTATGCACATCATGGGAATAGACAAGCTGCCAGTTTCTTGCAGTCTCCATGTCATGAAGATCTGAGGGATGTACTGTATGGCGGCGAGGACCGTGGCAAGCAAGCCGAGGAAGTTAGCCCATCCGCGAACGTGTGAAGGAAGCGCGTATACGAAGACGATGGAGCCGATGAATGCAACGACGAAGAAGGCGAGTGACACACCCAGAACGAGCACTGCTTCTTTCCACGTGGGCATGTCTGTATCCTGTCCTTCTTCTACATCTGGTGAGGAGCCTCGAGGGAAGAAGATGAGAAAGAGTAGCATACTGCTGGTTGTTAGAATCTGTAGTGCGCTCAACGGTTCATCGGGGCCTACATGAAGAAGAAACAACTCCACTGCACACCGATTTGCACTATGCCGAGCATAGCGGCTGCGCATGGGAAGCTACCGATTTCCTTGCAGCATCCCATGTCCCTTGTGCTCTCCGGTAGAGTCAAGATGTTGGCGATGCTGGCCGTCCCAGATACAGTGCCCAGCAGGACAAACATGGGGCTGAGACCACGCGATGAACGACGTGCTATGATCTTATAGTGTTGCGGAAGGTACGATACGAGGATGCCGACGACTATGAAGCTATGTCACAGCGCGGTTAGTTGTGTTTACTATGCGGCGCACCAGGTGAGCTTACACAGATACGCCGAAGTTGACCAAGTCGGGATACGCAAGTTCGGTACATCTTGGGTCGTCGGGATACATCATGACAGGACAGAATATTGTGGAGGAGGGATGGCCGTTGCTACATTTGCTATGGTTGGAAGACAGAGGAGACGGTCGCCGCCTGGGGATGCAAGCATGTGACGTAGGATGGAGCTCGCTTGCACGCGTCGAGTGAACGCGGAGGAGGCGGCTAGCCCCGAGCGCTCCTGCCTCGGCTGCGCGTACCTGCCGCATCAACCATGGCCGACAGATGATGCTACAACAATCATCAACCCCATGATCCCCCGGATTCCCCGTCCTTTTCACAGGCCGACATGGAGTTCCTTCCAGCACTCCAGCATGGCATAGACGACCTCAAGCCCTCGCTCTTCGAACTCCTTTCGGAGCAGCAACTCGCATCGCTCCTGCCCCCATCGCTGCGCTACCTCCTCGCCATCACAACACCCCGATATCCGCGATACCTACTTCCCATACTCAATTCCTTCGATGAGGTCTACGCGCTGCTTATGCTGCTCGTCGAGCGCCACTTCCTGCGTACATACGGCGGATCCTTCACCGAGAACTTCTATGGTCTCAAGCGCGCTCGGGTGCTGAGAGTGCGAGGAGGCGAGATACCGCGCGCACAACTAGGTGCATCTGACAGCGTGCGTGAGGCTGTCAAGCTGGGCAATGGTGACATCTGGAAGAACCTTGCCGTGCTCGTTGGCCTGCCGTGGCTGAAGAGGAAGTTCGACGAGGGCTACGACGTTCACGCTGCGCATGCGAACCTCCTGGGCCCTGGCTACAACCGGGATAGAGAAGGATTACAGGCCGGAGCGACTGTCAAGGAGCGACTGATGCACTACTACAAGTGGTTTCTACGGAACATATACCCCAGTATGAATGCCGCCTACTACTTCTCCTTGCTGGCATTCAACATGGCATACCTCTTTGATGGCACAAAGTATCACTCGCCCTTCATGTGGTTGATCGGTTCACGGATACGGAGATTGGGCGAGGCGGACCACAGGGCGATTGAGATTGCAACCGCACCAAGAAAGGTTGGGCCTGCGCGGCCTGGAGAAGGCGGATCCATCTTCTCACCAAGAAACATTGCGAGGAGCATCGAGCCGCGGTTGTTGAGTTCGCTAAAGATACTTCTCCCGACCAGTATCTTTGCACTCAAGTTTCTAGAGTGGTGGCATGCCTCAGACTTTGCCCGACAGCTATCGAGGAAAGCCGCTGAGAACATCGATCTCCCACCACCGATACTGCCATCCCTTCCACCTTCTGCAAAGCAGCAATCGTCGAAGCAGGCAGAATCCTCCGAAAAGGCGCGTCCAGCATCGTCTTTGTCAGACAAACCCCAACGAATCGACCCTCCGATATCCTCAACCACCCTACTCCCCATCCTCACCGTACCTACACCACCCTCATCAGCCTTGTGTCCGATCTGTGTTACACCCATCATAACTCCAACAGCATCGCCCACAGGATTCGTCTACTGCTACACTTGCATACACCGATGGGTTGGAGGTGAGCATGATCGCCAGCTCGCCTTCATGGAGGGTGCCGCAGGATTCCGAACGGGAGACGACGGGGAAGCAGAAGACGAGGGCTGGGGCAGGGAAGAAGGAAGCCGCGAAGGAAGATGGGAGAGCGGTAAAGGACGGGATGCTGTCACTGGAAGGAGAATTCTGGGAGGTACTGAGGGTTTGAGGAGAGTGGTTGTCTAATGTTCTTTTTGTACAATGATCATACCCTTTTAGCGAAATGATTTCCAATACTAGCAATGACACAATGCTTCTGGACCTCCAGAACCTCTGTTGTCGATCAATTCTGTTGTCAGGATCAAGAACTACATCTGATCGAGTTTGGGACTGGCATTTGGAAATGATGATTATCTGCGCTTCGGTGTGTCTGCGTCCACAAAAGACTCTCTAGCTCTGGTATTGAAGTTGGCCCGTGAATGCTATGGTACTTGGTGGCGCGTTCAAGATTGTACATCGGCCTTGTACGACCCGTGGACCAGGTCGCAGCCTCATACACTTGTGCATCGGTGCTGCATGATAAGACCAGCATCAGCCGATGATATCCTAACAACACCAATCGGTCCTGATCCTGCAGCACCACCAAAGGAGTATAATTGTGCAGGTTGGAGTCACGACATGCGCCTTTTACTGCACTTGTCATGTGTCAAGCTATCTCGGCAAGGCGAAAGGGCGGAAGCTAATGTGTAAGTCGCTTTTTTCGCTTGTAGCTGCCGCATTAGACCATGCCGAAATCTGTCAGCCAATGTGATAGTCATAATGAGTGTTCATATCAGTCATTCCCCACTCTTTGACTTTTTGGTAGTCCTGCCTTCTACACTTCTTCCTCTTTTTCCAACCACCATCCATATGCCATTGAGTGGCACGTCAACTCAAGGTCGGATTTGAAAGCCATGGCCCCACCAACGATACCAGCGGAACAGCCGGTTAATGACTTTGCAAACGATGTCGCATCACAGATGGAGGGCTTTACCCAGTCGCAAGATATAGCAGAAGAAGCCATTGCACGGGATCGTGAAGAAGACAACTCGGCGTCCGAAGATGACAACGATTCTTCCTCGGGTTCGGATACAGTCAGGCAATATTCCATGATAAACTCTTATCGCCGGCCTTCCTACGTTAACCCAGGATCACGCGGTACAGCTATAATGTCTACCAGCGTACCCGAAAGGAGTCACCTACCAACGTCATGGAAGAAACACAGTCATTTGTCGAAGAAAGAGAGGGAGACCGTGCGAGACGAGGAGCGGAGCCTGCTCCGCGATAATCATTTGATTCCACCCAAGCATCCAAGAGCTGGAAGCGAAGGACCCTTTGACCGAGTACGATCTAGGATGTCTATGTCAGGGCTACGAAAGGTCAAGAGCACTCCGGACGAGGAGAGCGCAGTGGAGTCACCTTCTGAGCGCACGACGCTACTCGGAGTGTCAGAAGGCGATCCAAGCCAACCATATGGGGGCCTAGACTCACCAAAAACGATCAACAAGAAATGGAACGAGGCGGTTGCAGCGGGAAAGATCAACACAAGTTGGCAGCGGGAAGCAAAAGTTTTGATGAAGAGCTCCGCACCGCTCATCCTGACCTTCTTGCTACAATACAGCTTGCCAGTGGCGAGTATCTTCACAGTCGGGCATATCGGCAAAACTGAACTAGGAGCCGTGAGTCTGGCCAGTATGACTGCGTCCATAACGGGCTATGCAGTGTATCAGGGCCTGGCTACTTCACTCGACACGTTGTGTGCGCAAGCATACGGCTCTGGGCGTCCTCACCTTGTTGGTCTGCAACTGCAACGCATGTTGTACTTTCTGCTTTTGATTACCATCCCGATATCACTCATATGGGCTTTCGGCACACAGATTCTCTCGCTTATCGTTCCCGAGAAAGAGACCGCACGCTTAGCCGGACTGTACCTGAAGGTTCTTATTGCTGGAGCACCTGGGTATGCAGCTTTTGAATCTGGGAAACGCTACGTACAGGCGCAAGGCATCTTCAGCGCGACCATGTACATTCTACTTATCTGCGCTCCACTCAACGCTTTCTTGAATTGGTTCATGGTCTGGCATCTTGGCTGGGGGTTCATCGGAGCACCCATTGCTGTCTCGATCACGGAGAACGTCCTTCCTCTGCTGCTCTTTCTCTACGTCAGATTCATTGACGGATACCAATGCTGGGGCGGTTTTGACAGAAGAGCGCTAAGAAATTGGATGCCCATGGTGAAGCTTGCGCTTCCTGGTCTGGTCATGGTGCTTGCAGAATTCCTAGCTTTTGAAATCCTGACACTAAGCTCGTCATGGCTTGGTCCAACTGAACTTGCAGCGCAGTCTGTACTCGGATCTATTACCGGTATCACTTTCCAGATACCCTTCCCAATGAGCGTAGCAGCCTCCACACGCATCGCCAACCTCATTGGAGCTACACTAGCAGTTCCAGCGAAAACAGCAGCTAAAGTCGCTGTCTGTGCCTCAATCGTCGTCGGCATCTTCAACCTCCTACTCCTTTCACTTCTTCGTGAGGCTATACCTCGCCTCTTCACACCCGACGAAGAAGTCATTGACATGGTGGCAAAGCTTCTCCCATTGTGCGCCACCTTCCAGGTCTTTGATGCTCTAGCGGCCAACTGTAACGGCATCTTGCGTGGCTTGGGTAGGCAGGAAATTGGCGGTTATGTTGGACTTTTTGCCTACTATGTCGTCGGTATTCCAATCAGCTTCGGTACTGGATTCGGGTCGCCGCATTGGGGTCTGTATGGACTTTGGAGTGTGAGTCTCACTAGTCATACCACCATCGGACTGTACTAACGTGTTTTAGGGACCAGCGATTGCACTTGGTATCGTGGCTGCCATCGAAGGCGTTTTCATATGGCGGACCAGTTGGGACAAAGCAGTAGAGGATGCCAAGGTGCGAAATGCCGCAAACTAAGTTTGGTTACTACAGATAGATTCGTATCCCTGCATAACATTAGTTGTCACAGCTAGACGGATCCTCGATCACTACAAAACGCAGAGACACATTCTGGAAACTCGTGTAGTCTTGCGTTACATACTTTTAAGTAATACATTGATGTGAAATGAATGGTGGTAGGCTTCGGAGAAGCTTCATACTGGGTACGAATGAGTGGCAGAGTTATAATTGCTCGCTATAACAGTGTTCGTTTTCGGTAACGACTGCTTTTGCCTCATAAAGTATGCCTGAAAGACCTGATTCTCTTCTTATCTTCACTCTCAGTCAAGAAGCTTTTGGGCCCACGCCGCGCTCTCATACCAAGCGCGAATCCTCTTGCCAAACACATAGAGAGGAAGTGCAGCACCAGTAACAATGGCGGCTGCCGATGCCAGCGTTCCAAAGACGGCCATAGGCCCATCAACTTCGAGCCAACCAATCATGGGTGTCAATCCCACCGTTACAGCACCTGCTGAGATCATGTTGATGGAAGAGAAGGCCTGGGCGGAGTGCTCAGGGTGACAGTCGATGACATACGCGATGGCGATTTGTACTCCAGCGACACTACCCATGTTGGTGACTGTCATCCAAACAAGAATCCAGACTAGAGGCAAACTGTTTTGGAACGACGCGCCCAGACCGATGAGGCCTGCCATAGTGATTGGGGTAGAGACCAGGAGAAGTACGAGACGGAATTCGGGTTCGACCATGCCTTTGCTTGTTCCGTTGTGGCGCGCCATCAGATTCACTGAAGCATCAGACATCCAACCAAAGAATGGCCCAGACAGTAGGCCAGCTACAAAGAGGGGTAAGTTGGTCAGTCCGATCTGACTGGGTGTTAGATCGTATGGGGGAGAGGATAAGAGGATTGACATGAAGGTTGACATGCCAGCAAGGAATAGGAAGACCGTAGTGTTCAGGAAGCAGCTGTAGAAGACAATCGGCGAAGTGATGAGGCCCAGGGGCTTGATTATCCCTTTGAAGAACGACTTCTCTGATAGTCTGCCACGGGACAAGACTAGCCTCTCATTGTATGTTTGCCTAGGAGGTCGAACAGAAGACTTGAGATCTTCCTCGTCATATTCGGCGTTTAGCTTGTCCGCCTGAACATGAATTGTTGTGACATCGTCTGTTTTCCGTTTGAAGTAGGCCGACTCGAAGATTGTGAGGTAGAATACCGGGATCAGAGCAGCGTAGATGAAGGCAGTGATGAGGAAATTTGCCAATACGCCGAATGCGTCAGTAACGAAGCCAGCAATGATTTGACTGAGAAGGATATCATGTTAGTTGCTGGTACGATTACAGGATATTGTTGTGGCTCACCCAACTTGCGCCCCAGAGTTCAACATCAGATTCCACACAGCAATAGACCGACCTCGCTGGTGAACGAAGAATACATCGCTGATGGTCGCGGTAAGGAGTGTAAATAGGGGTGCCGAAAAGAGACCCCCAGCTGTTCGAGCAATAGCCAGCATAGGAAATGTTGACGAAAGATAAGCAGCAAAGTTGGTTAGAGCAAGTAGAACGACGCTCCATACGTAGAATGGTCTTCGTCCCCAGACATCCGTTCCCGCCACCGCAACAAAGGCTGCAGCTGAGGTCCAGAAAGTCGGTGCTGTAAGGATCCAAGTAGATATGTCGCTCTCATTGCTCTGAAACTGCTCAGTAAGAGGCTCCAACCCTGGAGTGAGCATGGTAGTGGTTCTATGACAGATGAGCATAAGTCCTGATTAGATCAAGTGATTCGGCGAGATCTTACGCATTGGTGACTGCAGAGCCGAAAGCAAGGATGAGGAGATGGAGGCATTTCCACTTCAAACTCCAGTTGAGAGGATCGTTCGGGTCATCACTGGGCTGCGGGGAGAGTACGATACCGCCACTTCTCTTAGAGTTATCGAGCTCGGGTACTTTATCGTCGCTTGTGTCCTTGACTCCTAATCTGGAAGTGCCTCGAGGGAATGCTGACCGTCTACTCTCTAGTACACCCCACCCCATCGTTAGCAGCTTGGATGTCGGAATGAAGTCGATACGAAAAGGACGGCCTGCGTCTCTTGGACACAGAGATTATCTTAGTCAAGTGTGAAATAAAGTGATTGAATGAGGAAAAGCCGTCCAGCGGTTTGCCAAAACCAGTAGGCAACGAAGCGAAAAAATGTAATTGTAGAGGTAGGGGAAAGAAAAGTCGAGAACCAGTCTGCAGAGCAGGTGCAACTCGTAAACCACGATGATATACTTCCTGATCCACAAAGCTGTCGTACGCTGCCCAGCCGGGCGTTTTTGTCAATCTGCAAACACGTTACGCATCTGACAGGTTGGAGTAGGCATAACTCGGTCATTCATGGTGCTGTGACATGTCGCAGACTAGTCTCGCAGACACTTCGAGAAGAACATGTGTGAAGCCTACTTCAGTTTGTTCCACAAATGGCAATAATCTGGAGCCTTATACGTGCACCTGGCGTGTTGACTTACGTGGAAACGGTTAAAGGTGTTTCGAGTGAGCCTCAGTGAGCCTCAGTAAGGAGATGCTGAACGAAGTGCCGAAAGTCCGCAAGCGCCGCGCGCTAGAAGGCCGAAAGTGCGGGGAGACACGCCACGCCGTACACGCCACAGTTCACCCAACGCTTAACCTTGGCTGTCGCAATTCAGCGTGTCAAGTTTCGAGCCGTCGAAAGCCCGAATAATCATTGTTCCCCTAGATCCAACTAACGAAAATTCAAGTACATGTACGCTACTAAGATACATGGCAGATGACGATGCCACCATCTGTCTACGTCGCCGGAGCCAGTTGAAGCCCCGAACTCACTTCTATGAAGAGGACACGAGTAAGCAATGAGCTATGATGTGGAAGCTAATGTTGATACAAGGCTCAGAATGCGGGGTCAGGCCAAGATCTGTTCCCCGAAGCTTCGAGTCTCAACCTCACAACCGTCACCTAGATCAAATGTCCTGTCCCGCTCGTCTGTACCCTCTGCGCAAACCTCAGAATCACCGTGTGCCTATCCCTAGATGGAAACTCAGCCTGCCAGACCATATCGAACATGTCTTTATATCCTATGTTGGTGTCGAGCAACACGAGGATAGTGATATAGCTACTCGAGCGAGAGAAGAAGCTGTTTCTACTATTCAACACTGGTTCGAGCAGAGTGGCGCGCCAGAGGCGGTGGAGTGTTTCACTACGATAGATAATTACAGTCGTACTGGTGCTACTGTATGGGTCTACTATTGGAGTGATCGAAGGCGGCGTGACGGTGTTGTGGGATCGTTGAAACTCAAGGACATACATCAAGAAATCTCCACCGCTGGTCGCCCACTAATCGGCTTATGGCACGAATGCTTCACAGCACCAGTATCGCGCCTGGAGACCAACTACTCTGGTCTTGATTATCTCCCCGGCCTAGCGAGGTTACCAGAAGCTAGCACCGAAGAACACAATCTCTCAACATACTGGGGCGCGGCTCGAGATCGCATACCCGATTCAGCTCACGACCTTTTCCCACGAGCTTCCGAATTGCCGCGTCCTGACCCAATCCCGAATGGTGTTGGCCAACACCTCAGGGGCACCAATCATGCGAACATGGTCCACATCCGTTCCGGACAGTACTGGGAGAACTGCGGCAAAGAGGAAGCAGATTCGTATGAGCAGAAGCTGGAGCCGACTCTGAAGCAAGGCCTTAGATACTTGCACGAGAACTCGGCGGAGACTGGGGCACTCAGTATCCAATATCTCCAGAATGAGGATCTAAATTCCAATGGCAGCAGCAGTAACAAGGAGCCGCGCAAAGAATCGTGTGGCGCAGGTTTTTTTGCCAATTTAGAAGACCTCGAGCACTGGGCTAAGAGCCATGCGTCGCATCTAAAGATCTATGGCGGCGCACTTGCACATTATAAAACATTCGGTGACGAGAGAAGGTTTCGTACATGGCATGAAGTGTGTGTGATCAATGAGGGGGACGCTATGTTTGAATATGTGAATTGCTTGCCTGATACGGGAGTTATCGCATCCGTACCCCTCACAAGTGTAAATATATAGAGTCGGACGCAGTATCCAAAGAAAAACTCAATTTTCTGTCATGCATATCATGCACTCTAGTGTCTTGACCTTCCGCAACTCTCAACTCGCTAACCCGAAGTGATAACGCCGTAAGAATGCAAATCGTGATCTACACGCAAATTGGTATCGTACACATCTCACTTCTTGGCCCCGGACCTGGCCAATTTTCGCATGAAAGCATTTTGAACACCCTTGGTGCCCTTGAGTTCCTTGTTTCTGCTCTTGTTGACTTCCATGTACGCCATGGTCTGACCACCAGACAACTCGGAAAGTGTACCAGCTGCCCTTCTCACACCGTTTTTCTTCTTATTGCCCTTGTTGGACGCATATTTGGTACCGAACGCGTCACCCTCGATCCTCTCTTCTTTGGCGTCTTCTTCACGAGCAAGGAGGACGTCCATAAGAAGCTCTCGACGCTCCTGTGGTGTTGCGAACGCCAGTTGTGAGAAATTCTCTAAGCCTTCGAGACGAGTGATGACCTTGAAGGCATATCCTTGATCGACTAGGAAAGCCTGGCGCTTTGATGAATAGTACATCTCGTCTGTATCCTTGGAGACTAGCGAGTAAAAAAATGCATTGAAGCCTTCATCGTTCCTACGCTTCGCCCTCAGGATTCTGCCCAGGCGTTGTGCTTCTTGACGACGAGAACCGTAGTGAGAGGAGATTTGGATGAGGCACGTCGCCTCGGGTAAATCCAGACTGGTGTCACCAATCTTGGACAAGAAGATAGTGTTGACAAGCTCATTATGTTGAAAGTTCTCCAAAATACGAAGACGTTCTTGTTGAGGTGTTGCGCCGTAAATGTATGCCTTGCCAAGTTTACGTGAGTATTTCTCCAACGCGTAGACGTTGTCAGAAAAGACGATAATCTTGTCTCCTCGTGACTCGTGGTAGTTAATCAGGAACTGACAGGCTTGGAACTTCTTGGGATTCATGATGGAGAGTAGTGCACGCTTTTGTAGGGACGAAGGCTTGAGCCACTCTGTGTAAAATTCGGGTGTCATCTGGCACCAGACTTCAGCGCACTGGACCTTGGCAATATGGCCCTGTTCTGATAGCTCTTGCCAGTTAGCTTCGTACAGCTTGGGTCCAATCAGGAAGTTAAGATCGTCGATCTTGTCATCTTCTCGCAGTAGTGTAGCTGTAAGCCCCAATTTTGCGTGTGATGCAATCTCATATGTGACTTTCTTGAAGATGTTGGCGGGTACAACGTGCACCTCGTCAGCAATCAGCAGTCCCCATTCTCTCTCACGGATAAACTGCATAACCTTCTCGGCATCGTGCGAACGTTTCCTAGCGTTACTGATCATAGAGTAGGTGCTGATGATGATACCGGCCTGGCGCGGGAATCTAGTCTTGTTATCTGCAGTGAAAACGGCAACATCCTCTGGATTGATGTTGGACCATTTGATAAATTCGGCTCGCCATTGCACGACTGACATGGCGCTCGTGCACAGGACAATGACTGATTTCTTGACACCACAGGCGGCTGTGATGCCGACCAAAGTCTTACCTGCACCACAAGGCAACACAATGATACCCGAACGCGCTCGAGAGTTGGAAAACATTTTACTCAAAGCTTTTTCCTGGTAGTATCTGATCTGTGCATGGGGCTTGAGATCGATTTCAAGGTTCGGGTTGGTATCGTCGTTGTTGAAATCATATTCTTCGGTGAGCGGCAGGCCAATGCTTCGGCAGCGCTTGACGACCTTTTCGCGCTCCTCGCTTCTGATCTGGAACGAGTGAACTTGGGCAACTTCGTCGTCGTCATCGTCCTCTCGGAGCGTGGCAATCATATCGCTTGGTGGCGGATTCTGGGCAGCTTCTGGCTGTTGCTGCTGTGCCATGTTGTTGGCACCAGCAGCCAACTTTGTACCTGGGATAGCCATCTGTCCGATCTTAGGTGCGGCCTCCTTAATGAGCCCATCCGTTGAGTCTGCTCGGCATTCGGCGACTACAGGGTCGCGGAGAAGTTTTTGAAGTATGGCAGGATCCTCACTCTCGATATACGATAACGTCTTCTTGAGCACGATCTTTGCCTTGCCGAAGGCGGAGGTAGACTTCTCGACGAACTGTACAATAGCGGCAGACAGGGCTGTCTTGGAATAGCGGTCGAGCTTCTCGATGATTTCTTGCTTGGAATGGCCAACACTGACGGCGGCGAAGAGGCTGTGGGTGGTAAGCTGATACTCATGCATCTTGGAGACACGCGACTGCGGCTCGGCGATGTTGATCAAAAAGTCCTGAGCTTCATCGAAGAGAGGATGAAAAGACTCGAGGATGATGCCACCCGCATCGTTGACCCAGAGCGGGCGGTTGTAGTGGTCAGGCTTGAGCGGCGCGCTCCACTGGTCTGACTTTCTGAAGAGATCGGCCGCCGCATCTCTAACCCGTCCAGCGCGCGCCCGCTTTGTCATGGCCTTGACGTCGAACTCTTCCTTGAGTTGATCGAACGTCTCCTGGTCGCTCATGGGCCCCTCATCGTTGTCGTCCCAGCCATCTTCGGCCTCGGCGTCTGCTGCAGTCTGCGCGAGCTTGCGTTTGGGCGGCATCGTGGCGACTGCCTGCGTGAGATGCCGGTGCAGAGGGACAGGCGGATGGTGAGGCGATGGGATTGTAGACAGGCGATATCGACGAAGAGCGGTTGCTGGTGAGGTAGTTGGTGGCGGAGGCAGTAGGCAAAGGAAGAGGAAGGCGCAGCGGTGATTATGTAATGACGTATGGCACCTGCATTTCTGGCGTCTTGGTTCTAAAGACACAGTCAGACAGGCTGGGGCGAGGGATGACTGTGCGGGTGCGAGACGACGGCGACTAGCAGCAAGGCAGGTCAGTGGTGAACATTTAGGTTGCAACGCGCCCAGACGCGAAAGCATGTGAATAGCCGGCGTTTGCTAGGGGGGCCCTGCCGACGTCACTCTCGGCGAGGCTGTTCTCCAGGGCTGCTCACCACCACGACTACCGTGTCTATTCCCAGCACATAGAATGCGCACATGAGGACGTGACATGCTTCCCAATGGGTGCATCCGATTCAAAACTCTCCTTCAAGCAAGGCGTCTTTCGCCTGTCTGAGCCCAAGCAAATCCCCGCCGATGACGCTTATTGGACTGGCGTATGCTCTGCTCGTTGCTCTCTATGTTGTTGCTGTGCTGACCATGGCGCCAGTTCTGGGAGCTACCCGAGTCGACTGAGGATGTCTTCTCGCTCTTCTCGCCCGCAGACATTCGCCGCACCCGCGACAACAACCTAGCTAATCTCGAGACGCTCATCCTCGCCGTTACCTCACGCCTCATAGTCCTGCGCAACCACCCCTCTTTCCCTGACCCTGAGCTAGCGCCCGAGCGCGATGCCCTCAACTGCATAAGGGTCCTGACGCGACTACTGCCCTTTCTGTATGAGGCCGACCATCTCGAGACATGGGAAGACCACTTTTTCTGGGCTGCGCGGCGGAAGCGCAGTCGGCGGGGCCAGCTGGTGCGAAGCGAGGTCATCTTCGACGAGGCCGACCCAGAGCAGACGCCCACAGAGAAGGAGCCCGAGTTCGAGAAAGCCAAGCCGCTGGCCGAGGAGATTATCGACACGCTGATTGACCTTCTCTTCTTCTCCGAATTCACTCTTCCCAAGGTCACAGCAGGCAGGAACAAGGTCACGTATGCGATATGGCAGAGTGGCGTAGGTTGCAACACGCCTGTCGCCTCCACCAAGGAGTTTGAGAGCAACCGGACCGAGATCTTGCGCCTGCTGCTTACTTTGGCAAGCAAGTCCATGTACATGTCTGCGGGTGTGCTCCCAGTCAAGGGCGTCAAGGCCATTACATATATCGCGACGTGTCCAGACAAACAGGTTGTCCTGTCCGTTCTCTGCTCCCTCCTGAATACCGTAAGTGCATTGCACGCTATCTTGTGCACTGCTGACCCCCGCAGACCCTCAAATACAACCCCGCCACATGGCGCGTGCCATATGATCACGTCGTCTTCAGGGACCAGAGACAGGTCCTGGTCACATATTGCCTACAATTACTCCTGGTACTGATCCTGTACCCCATACCTGAGTCTGGCAACGGTCCTGCACCCAAGAATTTCTTCCGCCATTTCCTTGGCCGTCTGCACCGTCCTCAAGACTTCCAATTCCTGGTCGACGGTATGACAAGGATACTGAATCAGCCAGTATGCGACATGTCTAGAATACCACTTTCCTTTTGCTGACATAGTATAGCTCCAAGCCAACACCTCCTACCTTCCTGGCAGCCACAAGTCACTCACATGGGCACCCGAGATGATCATGCTCTTTTGGGAGGCTCTGCAGTGCAACAAGCGTTTCCGTTCCTTCATCATTGATACTGATAGAGCCCATGATTTCGTCGTGCTGGTGCTTTACTACGCCATCGACCAGCGCAACGACCCATCAAAGCAGGGTCTTGTGCGCATGTGCATCTTCGTACTTCAGACATTGAGTGTTGAGCCGCAATTCGGCAAGAGCCTCAATAAGACATTTGAGGGACAGGAGTCGCTTCCGGCTAGCATACGGATACCCAATTTTCACGGTACCTACGCTGATTACGTTATCACGGTGAGTACGACAATGAAAGACTATACATCTGCTAATTGTGTTAGTCCATTTATACCCTACTCACAACTGGCAAAGGCAGATTAGACGCCATTTATCCTGCGTTACTCGCAATCCTCAACAACATTGCGGCCTATGTCCAGAACATTGGGCGCGCCTCGAGCTCTAAACTGCTCCAACTGTTTGCTTCCATGTCATCTCCTAGTTTCCTTTTTGCCAACGAGAACAATCACACTCTTCTGCATTCGCTACTAGAGGTTCTTAACGCCATGATTGAACATCAATACCAACACAATCCCAACCTGGTGTACGCTATCGTGCGATCACGGAAGAGGTTCCAGGCGCTGAGAGATTTCACCTTGGAAAGCGGACAAGAAGAGATCGAGCGGCAAAATCAGCAACGTAAGGAGGGCAGCGAAGATCTTACTCGCACCAGCTCTATCGATAGCCTCCGAAGTCCCACAGTAGCCCGGACACCTACCTTGGGGAACGTACCAGAAGAGGACAGTGCTTTCGCTATTGGCGATGATGATGACGACTCGGACGCGGAAGATGCACGACCCTCAGAACCATCAAGGTCTCCCGTACCGTCGCAGTCGGGCGCTTCCAGAAGTGCGTCGATAGCATCATCTGTGGAAGACTCTGTACCGTCCCAGGTAAGAGGTATGTCAGAGAAAGCAAGAGGCAAGATGCCCGTAGGCCAGCCTGCTTTCTCCCGGCAGAACAGCATGACCAGTCTACATAGTGCAGCCGGTCCGGCCTTGGCTACCAATGAGTTCTTCACTCCATCTGTCCCATGGGTAAGTGAACTCAACCTCAATAACAGACTTGTCTAATCTTGTTCGCAGCTGGAAGGATGGCTTTCGGAGCTACCGCTACATACCATTCTTATGCTGATATCGGAGCTCGGTCCCAAGATGCCTAGCTCAGGCAGCTCCAACGACACGGCAGAAGCATTGAAAACTATTCGCGAGACTGAGATACGCGGAATTGAACCCTCGCCTATCAGGGTACATCTCTTTGAATGGTCAGCCTTATCTTTGGGCTGGTACGAGTCGCTACTCTGGGGATTCGTTTTCGCGGCCGAAATGCTTGTAGCCAAGGGTACTGCTGGGGTTTGGAACAACACTAGCATAAGATTGTGTAAGTAATGCCCTTGTATGAAGTGCATGTGAGACACGGACTAACTTCGCACACCTACATTTAGTCAAGGTTCAAGAAGTTGGGGCCACAGCTCCTTCACTACTACAGCCAAGAGGGGCTGTAGATGCGGTAGGAAGCAATCTTGTGCAGCGAATTGGCTCCCTCAACTTGCGCGGGGTCACAAATCAAGCTGCGCAACGCTCCCCAGCGAGCAGCGGTAATGCCGGCGCCAATACTGTTAGGGACGTGTAGCGACATGTCACGACCATGCTATTCCAGCCACATGGCAAAAATTGGCCACAGCTTCTATCATCATGTTAAAGAGAGCTAGTTGCACCGTGAACGCTGATTGGTGTGCCTGAAATGCAGGTTAGGCTTTTTACCCCAATCGAAGCCTGACATTTGCCGATCATGTTTAGCCCGGCTGCACAGCCACAACACTCGCCACACGTCGGTAGACTAGGGATAGATAACCAACAACAACGGATGAATCTCTATGAGGCGCTTCTAGATCTTTCCTATGGTTTGACAGTGAAGCAAAACGCACAAGCTCTAAGCCGTCTCTGACGCGCCTCGGGACGATCTTATCTTGATATGCCATCGCGACAAGTGATAGTGTTATGCGGAGGTACCTTATGGTTATGTAGTGCTTCCACTAGCTAGTGGTATACATTCTACTTCTCCGCACTGATATACCCTTTGATCAATCTTTGGTACCGAGCCTTTAGCGAAAATTATCACGGCCTGTTTGTGGGAACAGGGTGTTTAACAACCAGATTAGGATATACATGACGCTCCATAAAGGTACGTGCACTATACTCTTAGCAAGATACCATGTGAATAATATCGGCAACAGATTGGAAAAAGAATAACCTCGATCAAGCTCTAAGCCCGTATCATGGCGGCGCCCCACGACGATGAAGCCATTACCACGTATAGTATGCACGTGCGTATATCCTTACCTTTGGTGTACCAATGGGCTGGTTGGCCTAATTGCGACATAGGTATCTGCCAAGTACCTTGAGCTTACGAAGAAAAAACTTGAGTTGACGCGTTTACCGCGTGAACTTGAGTTACCGAACGAGAGGAGATGGGGGCAAGGTACACCGAAGAGTGTGCTTGAACCACTTTTAGACTTCTGGTATGTTAGCTTCTACTTTGCCAAACTTGTACTTGCGTGTAGGAAAAAATCGAGAGTGCGATCCGCAAAGACGTGTATTGCTGTCCTGCGATGGAAAGATTATAACTCCTATGAGAATCAGGACTTACCACTACACGATCTCACAAGCATTGTGATGGATCCACCTCACTTAGAGAACAACTGGCTGTGTTGTCTCATGCATCGCACATGGATTCCGCACCAAACATCCTAGAAACTGACAGTCTCACAGGCTAGAAGGCTATGACTGGCGCGCCGCCGAGTCCCGCTTCAACTCCACCCTGCCCCAATACCGCACGACCATCACTGTGCCCTCTGTCGCCTCTCCTGCCACTACCAAATCGCTACGCATACACTTTGTACACAAGCGATCCAAGCACCCCAACGCCATCCCTTTACTTCTCTGCCACACATGGCCTTCTTCGTTCATAGAGGTTCAACGCGTCATTGACGGATTAACAGATCCGCATTCTCTACCAGGGTATGGCGATAGCACACAACAGGCTTTTCACGTCGTCGCGCCGAGCATACCGGGTTTCGGATTTAGCGATGCCAGTATGGAAGAGAAATTTGGGTTGCACAGAACGGCGGAAGTATTTCAGAAGCTGATGGGAAGGCTGGGGTACACGCAGTTTGTTGCGCATGGAACGGGATGGTAGGTAGGATGTTAATTGGTCTGAGATGTGGTAGCTAACGAACCTTGTTAGGGGCTTTGGCATCTGTCGTGCACTGGCGCTGAGACATTCAAAAAGTTGTTTGGCAGTGCATACAGCGAATCCGTCGTTTGACAAGCCAAAGTTGAAGAGTGGAGCCATGCGGTATTTCAAGTACCGTGTTGCTAAGTTGACAAAGGCAAAAGTGCCGTTGCTGAGCTTTGGTTACATGCCTAGTGAAGTGCAGGCTCCATCACAGAGTATGGCCGAAAAACACCTCGCCATACAGGACGGGATGTATGACGGTGAGCCGCTAGGGCCTACACTGCATCGACTCTACTCCCTCCGGCCGCAGACACTGGCTTTCTCTTTGTGCGATTCACCGGTTGGGTTGCTAGCCGCTCTGCTGGATATCATTCATACGAGGGATCTGCCACAGCGTCCGCTCTCGTCGTCCCGATCGAGGAGTCCGTTCCTCTCGCCTGTTGAGCTGGAGATGCAGGGCGGCGACGAAGAGCAAGAAGAACAGGACGAGTTGCGTTCAACATCTACGGGGCGACCCGGGGATACGACGAGCCCGGGAAGAGCTGAAGGCGATGGGAGAAGCTATACGTGGAGTCCGACGGAGGTACTAAACTTTACAATGTTGCAGTGGTTGCCTGGGCCTGAAGCGGTACGTTACCTTTCATTTGTTTGACGCGTGGGTGTTGAGAAGGTTGGGGGTACTCGTGCGTGACGCATATCTGCCGCTGGAGACCTGTCCAAAGCTACAGTGGCTCGTTTTTGAGATTTTCTTCATGGTTGTTCCTGCTGACGTCCTCCCGCAACTAGGCTCTCCGCTGGCTCCGCCGCGCACACATGGACATGCAATCCCCCTCATACCAAACCTTCACAGGTACTCCCCTGGGCATCTCCACTTTCCTCCCTCCCGACAGCAGTAAGGCGACACCGCTCATGTGGGGTGCGAGCTCTTGGGACATATCCTGGGTGAAGCGTCATGCCGGTCGCCCTGCGACGTTACCAGGCTTCGAAGCCCCGGATGCGCTAGTGCTAGATCTGAGGGAGTGTTTCGCAACGATGATGGACAGAGGGAAGGTGAAGTTGGAGATGCCTGTTAGGGAAAGTTAGGTTGTAATGAGTGTTGATTGAAGATATAGGTATATCAGGTTTGTTGTATGCATTTAGAGCTGAAGGCTGGATGGCGTGCATGGTGTTTCGGCCCGTGGCCATGGGTTGCTGGGAGGATGCTTGTTGGTTGCAGGGGCTGTGCTGATGCAATAGGGTCTGGCATTCTTATGGCGATGTGATATACATGTATATGCAGCTCTCTACGATTGTTATTTCGGGCCACATAATCAAGTTGACTATATCAAACCACGCATGTTTTAGCGTTAGTTGTGCTGGTCGGTCTGTTGCAACGATGCGGCTGGGATAGCTTGGTGAACGAGATTGTAAAGGAGGATGCAGCATATGCCCATCGGGTACTGGGTGAGGGCGTAAGGCTGTGCTGGTAATATCAGGTACCAAAGGTACTACGTGTAAAGCCGCAACGACGGACGGCTAGACCAGGCAGGGTATAGCGCGGATATGGGATGGTAGCATGTTCCCTGATGCATATAACGGCAGCCGATCATGGCAGCAACACAAGTCGGACCTTCTCAGGTCGTGTGTCAGGCACACGGTGGCGGACGCAATACCCGCAAACGACTTGGCTGAGTCGGGTGCAGTGGCAGGCGGCGGGGCGCTCCAGCCACTTGGGACAGGCGGTGACGTCCTGATGCGAAAACACCGCACTCGTTAAAAATCGTGTCGCGTGAAGGCCCGAAGCTCCCACGACGTCGCCCCAGCTGCACGCACGTTAAATTGCCCTAGTCAAGTTTGCTTCCACTGCGCACAGTACGTCGCTCTTCTGATATCCTCAACACGCCCACATCTGTCCACCTACAGCTTGCGACTATCTTTGAGAAGTTGGCCGGCTCATCCATAGGCAGATTCTATCAGCGCCCAACGCCATTGCATTGACTTTTCTGCTCTACGCTCCCCACCAGACTTCCGTCGTCACGCTGGCAGACCTACTCTTCTCCCTCTACACCACTGCCTAGGCTACGGTAGCCCGCAGACCACCTGTTGCCGCCCACTTCGGCTCTTCTATGCGTCGAGAGGACCTGGTACGATTTCTGTCCAAGCCTGCGAAGTGAGTCGTTGTCTCCACGTGAAGCAGTGTGCAAGACATCCAAACGGCCAGCGCTGACCTCCACAGGCCTCGATAACACCCACCACGCCCTCCAACCCACCACCAATTACCATATCTTCTTAAGCAGATCTCCTCGTCTGCTGGACCCGATACTTGCCCAGGGTATCGGAATCTGGTATCGCGAGGACCCCCACGACTGCCACCATTTCCCGGCGCAAGGCCTCGTTTATTCCCCTCAACGCCCGACCTCCCTAACATCGACTACGGTCGGTTACCCTATTCTCCATAAACTGCTGCTGGCACACGCCAGCCTCGCCTACTCTTTGCGACCCGTGGGCCACTTCTTCTCAGGCGAGCACCGCATTGCTTGTCTGAGCGAGGTTGAGCTGCACATAGCTTCATAGCTAGCCACCTCTCACAGCCTCTGTACAAACTCGGCCAACAAACACACCTATCCTATCCGTTCTGTGCGCGCGACAGCCACACAATCGAGAGATGGTCGCTACTGAGATTCCTCAGCACTACACTGCCTCGCCCTCGTCGCATATTGGCACCCCTCACTTGACCATTAACAAGGAGGCTACTATCGATCTCGACTCTACCAACTCTTTCGAGGGTCCTGAGAAGCTCCTGGAAGTATGGTTCAGCGCTTCCGCTACTGAACTGCCTGGACAGGCCGGTCCAGCTGGACTGAAGAAGGTGTCGGCGGATACCTGGAAGGACATGCTCGATCTGGTCAACTGCAAGGTTCTCTCCGTCATCGAGTCTGAGCATGTCGATGCATACCTCTTGTCCGAGTCGAGCATGTTCGTCTTCCCCCACAAGGTGGTGCTCAAGACCTGCGGAACTACTACTCTGCTTTGGGGCCTCAGTCGCATGCTGGAGATTGCTGCAGACGCTGGCTTCCCTTACGTTGCCCCCAAGGCATCCGGCATTGCGCCAGCCGCCACACCATACCGCGTGTTTTACAGCAGGAAGAACTACCTCTACCCTGACCAGCAGCGTGGACCCCACCGCAGCTGGCGCGATGAGGTTCGTTACCTTGACGACCGTTTCCAGGGTGGCAGTGCCTACATGATTGGCAAGATGAACGGCGAACACTGGTACCTCTACATTACCGGTCCAGACACCAGCCTCACCCCTCCTCCCAGTCCTGGTGAGGAGAAGCTTGTGCCTGACACCGAGACCAAGTTTGTGAGCCATCCCCAGCGCTTGTTGCGTGAGCAGGCCACCGACGAAGAAGAGGACGAGACTCTCGAAATCCTGATGACCGACCTCGACGAGAAGAACGCTCGTCAGTTCTATCTAGAGGACGCAAGTGCGGTTGCGGAAGGTCGCTACATTCAGAGGGCTCGTGAAGCTCGCAAGAATGCCATCCAGTCTCTCGGCACTATTGCGGAAGAGAATGGTCAGAGCGAGAGTCTCGGTGGCTCTACTATTCTCAACTCCACTGCCAACACGCACACCTCTGATGATAGCTTCGATGTGTTCGAGCAGACGTCTTCTGACCATTCCGGTTTCAACTCTGACGAGGAGCTCACGTTCCCTGAAGAGCTGACCACCGAGGGCCATACGCTTGGCACCGTCGTCTCTGAGCATTGTGGATTGGCTGATGTCTACCCTACCTCCAAGTACCCTGACGCTCGCATCGACGCTTATCTTTTCACGCCATGCGGCTTCTCTGCTAACGGTGTTATTCCCGCTCCAGGCGGTGCTCCCAACGGCTCTAAGAAGGGTTCTGATGCCACGCATTACTTTACTGTGCACGTTACACCCGAGCCTCAGTGTTCCTACGCCTCCTTCGAGACCAACGTGCCTGCCCGCCAGACTGGCCGAGAGACCGCTGACGTGGTCGAGCATGTAGTCGGTATCTTCAAGCCTGGCAGGTTCAGTGTCACTCTATTCGAGGCCAAGCCTACTGCTGATGAGATGCCTGGCAAGAATGTTGAGAAGGCCAAGAGGATGGAGTCAATCGCAGGATACCGTCGCGTTGACCGCATCGTGCACGACCTAGATGGCTACGACTTGGTCTTCCGTTACTACGAGCGTGACGATTGGAAGGGTGGAAAGCCTCGTCTTGGTGAGATCTTCTAGACGGGTCTGCAATGATTTTCATTACAGGGGAGCAGGGTATTTCTAGGTTTTGCGATTGTATTTGTTGCGTCTTTTGTCCAGCGTTGCGACACAGTCACTACAATGTCTAGCCAGCGTTTGGTAGGATGTTTGGTCAAGTTCCTAATTAAACTTCGCTTCCAAATTACATATTCTATCTCGCAACCTCACAATACTTGCAATCTTAAGCGCTTGTTCTTCTCACTTGAAAAAGACATCCAGATAATCCCTGAACCCTTACGTTGTCCACCTCTGCGCAGCATTTACCTTGCTGTCGCCACCCGCTACAGCCCTAGCACTTGTGCTTGTTTGTCTCATTTTCATCACCACTCGTTGCAAACGCGGGAGAAGTATAGTGCCAGCCACTCGCTGTCTGTCCTCTAGACACCGCTGCCTGACTCTTATCGCTCTCAACATACCGCCATTTGCCTTTACCTATACTTTATCATCATCTCGTTGTAAAGGCGGGGTAGGTAAGTAACCTATAGCATTAGGGGTGAGAGACAGATCCCCGACTATTTGACCGCCTCTGGGAGTAGTAGCATGTACTATATAAGTTTGTCTTTCGTGGGTTGAAGGTTTAGGTTCCTACACTCTACCTAGGTAGTCTATCTACAACTTCCTTGCCTGAACAAACCCCTACTATCTCTACTTTCTACGTATCTACTATTCTTTATCATCGTTGATATGTCATCTTCGCGTGCAAAACGCCCTGCGAGAGCATTGTCCGACATGGGAGAAGATAGCGAGCCGATTTTGTCAATTAAATCCTCAAAGCGCGGAAAGACAAGAACGTCAAGCGTGTCTGTCCGTGGAAGACAGGTAGGTGACAAAATATCTTTCGCTTCATATCAGTACCAACTGTGTATAACTAGGGCGACTCACGACCACGTCAGAATATCAGGGTTCAGAGTATCAGTGACGAGGACCTGCAGGATGTGTCTGACCACAGCGATGACGAGTCTTTCGCACTTCTAGAAGCAGGAAAATCACAGCAAGTATGAGTTCCTACAGAAAGTTTTGGATCTGCAAGAGTACTAACACGTTTAATGCAGAGCCGCAAGAGATCTCACTTTTCTCCAGTGAATACCGGAAGCGCCTTAAAGGACAATCACGAACTGCTTAAAAGCTGGAGCGTAGAAGAAGTGGAGGAAGTCCTCCATGCCAAAAAACAAGAAGAAGACCTGAAGGTCAGGAAGAAGTACGAGGCCAAGGCAAAGAGCGATGTCGATGTTGCAAACGCAAAGAAGGAGAAGTCTGAGCTCGAGGTGCGCATCTCTTGTCTACTCATAGATCACCTTTCTAACCAACAACAGATCAACTATGGCTATGACTTCGAACTCTATAGCAGTACCAGTGCTAAAGGCACAAGCGAAAGATGGTTCATCCACTGCGAATCAGCTAAATCAAAGCCGGAGAAGATCTTTATACCCAAGGAAAAGGTCCCCAAAGACCAACTGCTCTACGTCAAATGGAACAACTTGACCAAGAAAGAAAGAGTCCAACATGGCAACCCTTTCAGGAACTATCTCAACGTTGAAATTCCAGGGTTCATCTCAAGAAGAAAAATACGGTAATCTTCTTATCAACTTCTCTTGGTAAGATCGCATGAATCTGTTTCTCCAACTTTCCCTCTTCTTCAACATCGCTAACTATACAACACAGACATGCTTAGATTGTTTTCATGTTCCTTATAACTAGCGATTCGATAGTGTAGCGGCACGGCTTCTGTTTGGAAATTTCATCTCACTCCATCTCAGGTTTTTCTTGTTAGTTGCGTCTTGCCCAGCGAGAAAGGTACAACCAAACTAAGCACGGTATCTATTATCATAACATCTCTTGTAACTAGCTAGTCTTCTTCTGTACATGACAAACTAAAAGTACCTTTACCTTTTCTCCCTCTGTAACGTGACTTCTCTAGCTTCTTTAAGATATAGATGCATATTCTTCTCTCTTTATATAGTAACGATGTTACTCACAAACAGGCCTTAGCTACGGTGTCTTAACAGAGACTGTCTTTCGTTTCTTGCTGTGTGACATCACTGTCAAAGACGGTTAGCAATGTTGTAGGGAACAGTATAACAGGCTACCTCGTGATCTTTACAAACGAAAACGACAGATAACCACAGTGAATCAGGCTAGATACCGGGTGTTGATGCTATGCAGCAGAAATTGGGAATATATTCCCGCAACTACATGATAAGCTCCAGGGCCTGACACTGTGAGTAGCCACACATCACGGCGAATGGGCATAATAGGGCTGTGTGATTGAGCAAGATATGGTAACTTGCACCAAGTCAGGGTGCATGTGCGGTATCTTCAATCAGCGATGTTGGCAGCCATTATGCCACGAGAAGGTTGAGTGAAGATAGTCACTCAAGACAATTACTCGTTTCAATCATTTTAACGGAAAGATCATGCCATGCAATATTGGGTCGGCTTCATATACATCTATCATACACTTCACTTCCCAGCACCACCATTCACCCGCTCAAGTGCCTCTCTAACCTTTGTTACAGCTTCCCTCGCTGCCCTCCTCTCAGCAACGCTTTCATCCTCAACATACTCCTTTCCTCCATTCCTGATAATGAATCTGACCCTTTCCTCTGTACCTTTCAACGTACGTCTCCCTTCTTCTCTCAGGGTATCCTCCCACGATTCTCTAGCACCTTCCCATAGCTTCTGCATACGGCGAAGAGAGAATGTGAGACCAAGTGCTGCGACAGCCGAAGCCTCAAAGACGGAGAAGGAAGATACTGAGGCGTAGAGGAGTGCTGACGCAGCAGAAGAGAGGGACGTCGTGCTGAAGGTCTGCAAGATGAGTCGTTGAGCGAGGGCCTGGAGAGGGGGGACAGTGTCGTTTATGAGCTCTGTGCGAGCAGCAGGAATGTGATCAGACCATGGCATCGGCTTCCGGACGTTGGTGGAGAGGTCCGTTCGTGGATTCTCTGCTGTTGGTGCTGTTTCCTGCGTTGTCACCTCAGGGATGTTAGCGACAGCGAGGTGTTGGACGTCATCTGGGAATCCGGCTTGATTCATGCGACCGGCGAGGTAGATGCTGTTCTTCTCCGCCGAGACGAGCCATCGCCGTTCGAGGATCTCAGAGCTGATCATTGTGACATCGTCGACACGCCAGAGTAGCTTCCACCAAGCCAGCTTGTGCCAGTTCTTCGCTGTGAAGGCTTCATCGAGCTGGTCGCGGAGCTCTGCATGAGACTTCTCGGCCCAGGTTTCGAGATGGCCAACGATAGACCTTGTTACATCTTGTTCTGTTGGAACGGAAGCAATTTGCTGTAATCTTGCAACGTCTTGTTTCGTGATGCTCGCTTCCACATCATCCGCTATAGAACTGATAAGTGTCTTCATCGGTGGTTTCAAGGTGCCTGTAGCCTGGAGATCTTGAATCAGCCACTCCGACAGCGTGGGCAAGCCGCTCTTGAACCACCCCCGCTCGTATATGATGGAGTTCTGAATTGATTCACGGAAGCTGTCGAGTGCCGTTGTGCCGACCTGAATATTGATAGGGGCGCTTGCGGTATGAGTGTCTTGTTTCGCCTCTTCCGATGGCGCGGGAAGGTCAACAGCCATCTTCACGACCTCCTGTGCCTCTTCCAATCCATCCGCCGAGAATCTTCCAAACGCAATCGCACTGTCTAGTCCTTCTCCCAGTACCAATGTCTTATGTACGGGGTATGGGACTGGTAGTCCTCGTGCAGAAGTGGCCTGGAGTTTGGGAACCAACAACGATTCAGTAGAGCTCTCCGTTATCATATGAGGTACGGATTTGGCGACATTGACGTTGATGGTAGACACGAGGACCTCTAGGTTGTGCGACTGTAGTGTTCGTGAGGGTATTGAGAGGACTTTGTAGAGGGGTGAAGGCGCGTGTGCATCGGGGTCATCGCCATATCTATACGACAAGCATGTTAGAGACTGTGGTATCTGCTGCGATAGTGGGGGTGCACATACTTTAGTAGTACCGCCCTCTCGTTGCCATCGCTTGTCTTCACGAGCTCCTTCTCCCACTGCTCTTCAGCACCCAGCGGATCTGCGAGCAGTAGCCGTGCAAGCTGCTGTGCACTTAATTGACTGTTCAGACCGAGAACTATATCTCGTCAGTTGCTAGCTCCTCGAGTTGTACTGCGCGTATACCGTACCAGCAACTCTTGTGACGGCATCCTGCGCGGCGAGACCCCGCAGTGCCAATTGCAGCCTGCTGATATTGACATATGTTTCGGCGGCTCCACTGAGCGCGGACAGCGCATCATACAGCTCCTTGTTCCGGGGTGGGATGTGCGGGCGCAGATTTATCGCGGTCGGCGAGACATGTGTCGATGCGGAGCGCACGCGGAGGATCGTCGAGCGTGAGGTGAGGACATTGCGACAGCGACGCGCAAGCGGGAGCCGATCAATCGTCCCTGCCTTGCGAAAGATCGTCAGTCGCGGCACTGAGGCCACCCATGGAGGCATCGGGCTTGAAGTTGAGCATTGCTGTTGAAATGTCCATGTTGACGTATGTCGGCAAAGCTAGCTTCGGCCCGGGCCCGTGCGCAGTCTGCTCACATCACGCTTGCACAACGAAGTCGATGCGATTTGTTTTGATAGGGATGTGATTTTATTTGATTCAATGAGAAGTCGACCCCTTTGAGGTTGAGCAGTCGACCGACAAATTACTACCGTACTTCGTAAGGTGATACCTCTAGGTTTCGCTGGTCCACATACGCCTACGTGGTATACTGATGACATTTGGTGGCCCGCCAATACAGAAATCAAGAACCTAAACATCCTGCTGTGTCATAGCTCGTCTATCAGCCTCACTCTCGGATCGCGAGCGCTTGAATCGCGCCTAGCTTCTCCGGTTGCGTCCCGATCCAGATGACCTACATCAGTTAGCAGATGTACAGCATGTCGAGTTAGGAGAACACTTACATGCTAATACGCCTTGCGACGGTGGCGAGCCCTTGGTCGTTATCGGCCTCCTTGGTAGCCTTTTCGAGAGCCTGCTCTCGGCTAACCTCCTGAGACTTTCGTACCTCTTCGTGGCTCGGCGGGAGCCTCTCGTTCTGTAGATCAACCTTGCGAGCGTCCTCGAAGCTGTGAATGGCCTGCTTGATACCTTCTGCACCAAGCATGAGAGTGCCCGCGGGGAGTCGACCACCCGATGCTGTCTTCAGCTCAGTAACGCGCTCAGACTCCTCACGCAGCACTTGGAACACGCGGGAAAGTCGGCCAATGGCCAGAATCTTGTTTTTGATCGCACGTCGCTTGAATTCGGTGGATTCGGGATCGAGGCTGGAAAGAGGAGGCGATGATGGTCCTGACGCCAGAGAGCTGGGTGTCTCTTCCTCGAGTTCCTCCTTGGAGCAGGTGTTCAAAATGGCGATGAGCATGTCGGTAACTAGAGCTTGTTAGTCCAGGTCCTGAATATGGACAGTGATTTTGCTTACTCTTCTCACCAACGAAGGGCAATGACCATGTGAAGACGTCCATAAAGTTGGGCAGCCAGTAAGGGTGAGGTGTACAGTTGAACTGTCGGATGTTCATGACGTTGTTCTCGTACTTGAGAACCGCAGCCTTGTTGTTGTACACGTCGAGGTAGTTCGGCGCACTGAAGATTGTCATGACACTAGGGAAACCAGTTGTCCGTGTTTTCCTGTACATTCGGTATCCAGCATCTTGAGCCTCGTGCGCGCGAATAATTGACAAGAGATTGTTCTTCTCGAGGAAAGCGCAGGCAGCCGGGTATGAGAAGAAGTATGAGCATCCACGAACGTGGTTGTGGACGAAGAAATCGTTGGTCTTTTCCTGACCAAACTCCTCGAGAGGATCAGCCCAGAGAATGTCGCACATGAGGCCGTGGGTAGGTGGCTCGCGGAAGCGGTCAATCTGACAACGTTAGCAATGGCGCTGTACGTGGAGCTGTTTTGCGTACGCTCTTCAAGTCATCCAGAGTGTGTAGCTCAGGGCTCAGTCCACCGTGTATGCACAAGAACTGCTTGTTCATGACAGCGGCTAGCGGTAATGCGCAGAAGGAATCCATGCATGCTTCGTACACGGCCTCGGAGTACTTGTGCTTGCACTCGAGCTTGAAGGTGAAGTAGTCGGTCAAATGGCGGCACTCGTGGTTTCCGCGAAGTAGCCAGAGCGTGTTGGGGTACCAGATCTTGAGAGACCAGAGGTACAGAACGCACTGCGAGTGTCAGCCAATGCATATCAACCGTCGCTTCGTTATCCTACCTCTATACTGAAGTAGCCGCGATCGACGTAGTCGCCCAAGAAGAGGTAGCGCGTCTCCGCTGGGTCGCCACCGACTTCGAACAGCTTCATGAGATCGTAGTATTGTCCATGAACGTCACCGCACACAGTAATGGGTGCATCCATCTCAAGCATGTTGGGCTCCGACTTGAGAATCTCGGTACCCTTCTTTATGATCCATAGCGCCTGTTGCTCGGTCAAGCGACCTTCACGGTAGAAGTGCTGCTTCAGGAATTGGATGTTGGGCTTTGTGCGATCTTGGGGCGAGAAGAATTGCTCATCGGTGGGTGGGTGGAAGGCGGGTGCTTGTACGTCTGGGGAACACGGCACGGTTAGCTGGCTGCATACCTCTGGAACGTCGCAAAAGCGCAGGTCATGGCTAGAGAGTACGGCGGGAGGCACAGATTGAGCATACCTTTTCATACACGCTCCTGTGTGCTCACTTGGTTTTCATCTTCCATAGTATGCAGGGGGAAGTCGATCTCAGGGAGCGGCTTCTTCTCACGCACGGCGCGAATAGCATTGTCAATGTACTGGGACTGGTCGACGTCCTTTTGTTGGTTGTCCATGTTGGGCAATCTATGCAGTCTATGCAGCAAGCCGTAGGGTGTGAGCACAAGAAGACGGTGGAGGTGAAGGCAGCGAAGTAGTGGGGCGAGCGCAATGACCGCTTAAGCTTGAGTGGCGGCGGCGTGCGAAACGAAGGCCTCGGCGCGTTCTAATTTCTGGGGCCTGACAGCACGAGATGGCAGTAGTCAAATGGCCGGAGTGAGAATTGTCGTCTGGCTCGTCGCGTGCTCGGGTGTGCGCTGGCGACAGGAGCTTAGGGCTGAAAGTGGGAATCAGAGGGGAAGTCGCCGCCGGTCCCCTTGGCTGTTCCCTGTGTGCCTGCCACCCAATCACAAGCCCGCCATCCCAAGGACGTCATAAACCGGTGAATAGCCTCGTGGTCCACCTTGGCTACACACGCTCGTAGCCACAATTGATGTGGCTTACCGAACTTGAGATGAGACAGTTGAGACTCGAGGTCATGTTAATGGTGAGCCCTTGCTCGGTTGTCATGCGCATCTTCACCAAAGACTGTTGGAGATTCGTAACAATGAGGGCATACTCAGGGAATCATGCGAGCCACAAAGATCAAGCATGGGAATAGTTTCATAGAATGAATGAGCGATATATTGTGTTTTGTACAGTAGGTACAGGGTATGTTGCACTCGTAGACACGAGGCTGATCACAGCGCTTCTCTCTAAACAAGACAACAGGGCATGCCGACCCGATCTAGAGCCGGTCATGAAAGAATGGATGTAACAGCAGTAAAGCAAAGAAGAAATTCACGAGCGAGACCAAAAGTGTATCTGCGCAACGTGAGAAGGTATATCAACAAAAGACCCAAACCCATCCCAACCCATGTGACAACCCGATCCGAAGGTGTCCCAATCCGTATCCCAAACTCCAAGTATTGCATTTCGTAGCCCGCGGCTGAGGGTATGTGAGACTGTCCAAGACATTCCAATGACCGTGCAAAGCATGACCCTTAGATGAAGAGAGACGAGCCGTGGCGGCGGTGGAGGTGGGCGCGAGGGAACTTGGGTGATCGCTTGAGGGAAGCGGTGGCAACGACAGCTCCGGCAGAGCAAGACATACCGTTGGCAAGAGCTTGAGGCACAGCACATCCGCGGTTGCAAAGACCGAATTGGTTCTCGCCCATGCAGACAACAGCGCCATCGTTGTCACAAGGAGTGCAGTCACTGCCGCTGGCGGGGGCGCTAGGAGTGCTGTTGTCAGGGACTTGAGGGGCTGCGCTAGAGGCTGGCTGTTCGGGAACGCTGCTCGGCTGCTCGGCGCCGTAGGTAGGAGTAGGGGCAGCAACAGGAGCAGTGGGCTCAGCAGCGGGGGCGGAAGAAGCACCAGGAGCGAAGACACCACCACCGTTAGAGGGCAGAGCAGCGTATCCAGAAGTAGCAGCAGGGGCCTCGCTAGATGCAGGCGGTGCGGCGTAACCAGAGGTGGCAGCAGGGGCTTCGCTGGCTGCGGGTTGCGAAGCATCAGGCTTAGTAGGCGATCCAATTTGACCGTTGCCAGCGCCCATCTTGGTCATGGTCGCGCAGCCAGCACCAGTGAGGGTGTCTCCCAATGAAGCACCGTTGCCTTCCGCAATGCTTTGACCAGGGTTGGGGTAGTTGAAGTCTTCATTCTCTGAGGTAGTGCAAGAAGTGGCAGGCAGATTGGCGACAAACATATCAGGTAGAGACGAAAGGGCCTCAGAAGCGCTTGCGGTAGATGCCTTTCCGGTGCCACTTCCAACCTGAATGGGCGCACAGTTCATGTAGAACTCGCGGTTGCCGACCTTGTTGAGCCCGGTCCATGCAAAAGTGTATTGACCGTCAGGAATGTTGTCGGGCATGGTGACAGGGAAAGTAGCAGCCTGGGTGCCATCTGGATTCTCCTGCAGGTTGCCGGTGGCGTTTGACGGGCAGCCACCAACAACACTGTGGATGACTTTCCATTGGGAAGACTCGGATGGCTGTTGGTCAGTGGTGATGGAAAACTGGCATGATCCACCACCGTGAACAGCAGAGCCAAGGAAAGAGACTGTTTGGGTCTCTCCAGCGTTCCACTGGTTCATCTGTGTGACGTCGTATACACCGGGACGTTGCTTGCATGGAAAGTCGGCAGGCTCTAATGGTGAGCTCGTGAGACTGTCGAAACCGTATGGCTTGGGGTGGTCCATCCTCATGTGAGCTGTGGCACTGGCGGCAAGGGCCAACAGGAGTGTGGTTTGGGAAAACATGTTGATGGTTGAAGGAATGAGGTAAGAAGTAGATATTCTTGGTTGTGTATCGCTAGACCTGCTGAGCGATGAAATGAGTGTGATGGCTGTGGTTGTCGAAGTTTGCGAGCCAAGGAGTACTTGATATAGACTGGAGAATTGTTGTTGAGTCTAGCTCTTCGGTGATGCACAGCAATTGTAAAGAATGTGATCTGCCACTGGCAAGACGTGCAAAAGCAAAAGAAACAGAGAAGAAGTTTGGTACTGCTGTGAATAGCCTGTGATGAGAAGGAAAAAGCGATGGAACCGTGTTAGGTTATATAAGGATGTTCATTTACAACCCACATGGCTAGCCCGTGGCGGTCGGGAGGGAGACGTACAGCAGTGCAAGGACTCAGGAGCCTATGTCCGGCGGATCACCGTGAAGAAGCATAGGCTATTCGACGAAGCAAGGCTTCTCTTGCAACGGTTGACGGGCTTCTTTCGGCTGGCGTGCCCCTCCCGGTCTAGCGGCAGGGGAACGAGCACAGGATAAGTGGTGTAAAGTCAAAGTCCTGAGCTCTCGGCAGGCACGATACCGATACCATTGGCCATGTGGTCATGACAAGAGCATTGTCCATGAAACAAAAAAGCGGAGAGCGACTCAGATAGGAAAGCATTGGTGCGAGGCTATGGCCAGGGGCCCGACGTCAGGTTTGAAGTTTGTGCCGGTGGTCTGTGTGTTATGCAGGGGAATGCCGAATCCTAGCCTATCGATAACTCCATGACCAGATGAGCTAGCTATGGTGTGGAGTGGCGATCGCCTGCTAAAGCTGAAACGATCGGCATCCTTCGCGAAAGTTGCTGCGGAGCCTCCTATTGGCAGGTGTGTTCGTCCACAAGCACACCGGGCGTACGCATATGACTTGTTCGACGACAAACCAGCTCGCACAATCGTGACTCCTCGCAAGCTACGCAGAAATTACTTACCGCCGTGTTTGCGACACGGGCGGCTGCTTCGATACTAGAGGATGCAATGTAGCGGACCGGCCACGATGACAAAAGGTCTTTGATTGCAGGCCTTGCGGGCGACAGGCCGCGACGATGTCATCGAACTTCATGCGTCGCAAACTGGGTATCCCTCCTCATGCGCAAGGTCCTTTTGGGCCTCCACCTTTTTAGCCGTCATATCTGTTACCTTTGACAATATTAGACCCTGATTATTGTCAGCCTTCGTTCTATGCATGGTTCATGGCGGCGAACGCTGCTAATCTTGGAGATCGACACAATGCGACCGTCGTGGCCTCGTGTGTCCAGGTGGCTGCGCCACATCGTGAACAACTCGGCTTCGGATTAGGCGTCGGTGAAGACGCAGAACGTAAGGGTGGCGGGGTTCCAGAATAAGGACAGTGTGGCTGTGGCGTCAGGCTGCGCGCATGTCGTGACCCGGCGGCAGCGACGCGTGGGTCTCGCTACCAATACGCCGTCGACACCAGCTCGTGATGGAAAAGCGCCCTCGCCTCCAGCCTTCATCGCTCTATCGACTGATTGGGCGCCTGCTAACGACAGCTTGTTTCACCAAATCACTCACGCGCAAACAGCTCACAGATGATAGACTCGTGGGGAGACCAAGTTGCCAGGCACTCCTTTCCTCTCAAAGCTGATCAGTGGAGACCGAAAAGGCTTGAATGGCTTTGTTTCAGGTGTCTTTTAAACTGCAGGAACTGGACCATCCACCATCAGCTGTGACTTAAAAAAGCTAACAGCGCGAGACAAAACAACGGCAAAATCACTCTTGCCGTTACATCTTACTGGCCATGCTGTTACCGATGCCTAGCGGGCACAAAACAGCGCGCTTGATGTAAGTATCTGAAGGTTGTCAGAACATATTGAGCAGATGTAACAAACACGAGTGAGACACAAAAACGGGTAATGACAGCCGTTTCCCTCTCATCTAGACGGTACGATGCGATGACCGTGGAGAAAGGGTTCAGGCACAAGCTCCTTGGTCTTGCGAAACCCAGCATGTGATAGTTGGTCATCCACGCTTTCCACGAAACACGACTCGAACCACATTTCTTTTTACAGCTGCCTGTTCCAAAGACTAAGTTGTTCTTCCATAGTCTATAAAGGTGCACTCTCGGAAGTTCCAGTAGTCTTCCCCGACAGCACGAGCGTTACTACGCGTCACCGTTCTCCACAACTAGTCGATCTCAAATCTCCGTCTCACGGCTCGCTCAACCACGAACTGCAAGATCAGGCTAACAGTGAAGTCGCGGGCCTCGAGGCTTCCAAACTTCGCACATGCCAAGTCGCAAGGTGGTCGTCATTTCCGACACGACCAGTCACATAAGGGCAAGATGGTACTGCTGCAGGACGTCGACTTTGTCACCCTTGTCGTCGAACTTCCGACCACTGAACAGGCCCACTAACCCGCCCAAGACAACTTCACACGTGTAGTCCAACCGGATTGCTGTATTCTCTCTATGTCAACACTCTCTTCGGCAGTAAACCTCTTTAAGTATTCATCCCGCGTGAACCTCAAATGTTCGGCAAAGCTAGTGTTCACCCCTCTCAACACGTCTGGGACTGGTATTTCATTCACAAGCTGCGGTCCCGCTACTCTGATGCAATCTCCTTCCCATTCGTCTCCCTCCAATTACAGAGCCGTACCTTTCGTCCCGTCGCCAAACCTGCTGCAGAGCAGAGTATGAACTACGCTTGAATAAGAGTTTTCTTTTGATAACCCCCGCTCTTGTGACGAACCCGTTTACCGCTTGCAGTGAGTCCGATGCATGAATTGTGCAACATCATGTTTAACCCTTTCGCGCATCTTCCGCAGCACCTTTGAAGTTGCCTCGACATGGGCGAGCCTAAAAGCGTAGTGCCTACTCTCCACAAGCGAGACTACGGGAGAGACTTTTCACGTTGATCTTCAAGTAACAGGATTCCCATTGGTAGTGCAATCTTAACGTATGCAGGGTATGAGTTTTCTGTTTATTGGATGGTGAGATAGGGCTGCAGTTCATCGAGAATCGTACGAGTCTTCTCACTTCGACGTTTCTTGAGGCTCATGTTACTTTTTCAGAGGCGGCGCCCATACTCTACTGCGCCATTTGCAGAAAGCTGTTGTAGTTCAACACGTGAACAGCTCCGGCTCCCAAGTGGCTCTAGTACTATTGCCGATCTCCATCAAGATAGCGTCCACTGTAACTGCTAATGAGAGCAGCTAGAGATTGTCGAGTGGTGGATATCACATGAACCCTGGCTCACACCCCACTACCTAATTGATTTGACTTTGGCTATGATCTCACTTGATAGCCCTGGGATTCATGGTCTAGCGTAACCGGTTACAAGAGCTCCATTCAATCCTGCAGTGGTTCTAGAATAGCGAACATCTTCTCTATTAGATACTGATACAAGGACGAGCAGTGATCAGGAGAATACAATTCGATTGTCCGCTAGTCTGCTATTCACTACAACCACTGGGTTCATCAAGAAGCATTCTTCTGTAAGCTTTATGAATTACTCTCAACTAGCCGCTCCCTTTCGCCAAGAGACGATCTTTTTCTCGAACCATGTGGTTTTGGACCTAGCCCTCACAAATGGTGTCTTCTCAATTCCGATATGAACGCGCCCGTCGCCGCCACCAATGAAACTTCCGTATCCATATCTCGCATTCAGTTTCTCAAGGTGTTGCGCGCGGCCTGCCTTATCCAAATATGATGTCCCTCGCATGTCTAGAACGGCGCCGCTGGCGGCAAACAGGGCGATTAGAGATGCGATCGACGTGGGCATCCGTGCGAGGTACTGGCCTGGCCGCCGCATGTAGACTATGATGGCTACAATAGCATAGGTGCAGAAGATGGCCTCGGATATTGCAAACATTGGTGTGGAAATGAAGAGACGCTTCTCTGGCTCTATACGCCAGCCCCGGAGTGATTGCAAGCTTCGCGCGTCGCTAGGGACTAGCAACTTGTCTTTGTTGAGCCCCATCCAGATTGCAAACAAGAGTGCGTGAGCCTTTTTTAGTGGAGCTTCAATGTCTTCGAATGTCGGAAGACCTTGCTTGGGGTCGATTAGCCGACTACTGTTTGCCACATGGCTGACAAAATAATTGATGAAGTCGTCGGAAAAGCTATCATTGTGCCAACCAGGGTTATCACCTTTGAAAATGTACCTGTTGGACTGTCCAATAATGTTCAAAGGATTGTTGCTGTAGATCCCTTCCGGTTGCTTGTCGTCAAGGGTAACGTTTTGTACTTTCTTTTGCAGTCGGCCACTAGAGTCAACCCGAACAGTCGCAAAGCCGGTCGTTAATCTTGGCCGACAGTGAACGAATGTAGAAGTCTTCTCATCCAGGATTACTGGTTTTATCTCTCCGCAAGATCCAGTGGGATTCCGGAGCCATCCCATAACGATTGATCCCATGCACACTTCTGCGTCAGCCTGTGTAGCGTTTACAGTTGGCTCAAGGGTAAACACGAGCTGGGCTGCGCTTGGTCCTGTAACGCAAGAGCCGGAAGCTATGGAAACCGGACCTTGGCGCATATAAGGTGCCGTCTTTGTGCACTTGACAGTTCTTCCCGTATCGCTGGTTACTGTAATATTGACCGATGGCCAAATAGCTTCGTCCGTTGAGAATCGCTTATAGATACCAGCGTGGAAGTTATTGTCGAATTTGAGGCCATTACATTCGAGCTTTGCGCCAAAAGCTCTCGTTCTAACTTCTAGTTCGTTCGTTGTCGTGGTGTTACTTTCCTCAGGGATAAACGGGAGATAAAACATGCTTTCGTCGGTCCATGCTGGCAGCGGTATGCCTTGCCTCAGATATGAATCCGCAACCAAAAATTGGTCTTCTCCATTACTGCCTCGGTAAGCACCAGATGCCTCAGAGGAACCGAAGGAAAGGCCACCCACTGGGCCTATAGTTCCATTTACTGGCACAAACTTAAATTGTAAATGCTGAGACACTGCCGTTGTATGCTGCATGTCGATAGTGATCTGGTTGAATAGACCTGCGAGACTCACTGCGAGCAGGTTTGCCAGTAGTGCCATAGTGCACACAGCGGCAAGAACGAAATGCTTTGATCTTAGAGCTTTGAAAACAACCAATTGTGGTGGGAGAGAAGCATAATCGAGATCGATTGACTTCTTGGCGCGTGCATTGCAGCTCTGCAACTCTTCGATGGGTTGTAGCATACAGAGTAAACGGTTGATTAGAACCCATATCGGCTCAATGAGTGTAGCCACGGCCGTGGGGATGTAGTTCTCGAGGATATTTTGTACAAACGTGTTCTTCGAAGGAAGCGGTAGGCCTGGTTCAGTTAACAACCAGAAGCTTCCAGAAGCCATGGGGCAATATATACCTTGCATGTGAGCTTTCGCGAAGAGCACGGTAAGAACTATTGCTAGCGCGATCAACACACTGACAAACGGGCCAGCAACCCACAAGCTGAACTCAATTGGTCTAACTGGCTTCGCGATATCTGTTGGTGTATCACGGCGTTGTGTTGCTGATGTCAGACCGTTGTCGTTTCCGATGAATTCAGGACCTTCGCCTATTTCGAAAATTCTATTACAATCATTAGCCCGACTGTGTTGCAGTCCGCATTTCCGGTTAAGCTCACCCAACAGACGCTCCGTCATCAACGAGCTTGTAGCGCTTGTGTCTAAGGTGTTCCTCAATTCCTTTCATCGTACAGCAGTCCAGTCCTTCGACGTCGGCCAGCAATGGCTCGTTGTCAGCTACCATCGCCATCATAGCTGCGATGGTACTGGGATTGGAGTGAAGGCTCTTCGTGCGTGTGACTGAAAGGTATAGTAGTGCGATTGTGGCGAGCGAGATAGCGCCAAGGAAGCCCTCTACAATGTATACGAACACAGGCTCGAGCAGCACGGCTTCCGTGCTGTCGGTCACCTGCCCAGTGACATTCTCAGACGTTCGGAATCTTTGATCAAGAACATCCCGCATCGCCCGAGAGAACATCAGTCGATACCCATCAGCATAGGATCTGGCCAGCACTTTCCAATCCAAGTATTCTTCCAATGGCAAATTGCTGACAGCTAAGGCTAATCCGACCATTGGTTGTACCATAGCGGCGCCCTTGGGCCCACTGGTCAAGCTCAGATTTGTTCGTCCGATGGAGTCGTAATAGTCAGGTACGGATTTCATCGGTAGCAAGTCCCCTCTCACTTCGTCTCCAAGCGATTTACTACTCATCAACTGCTCCAGGCGGGACGTGTTGAACAAACCCGATGCTAGAGGCACCTTTTCGCCAGTGGGCCTGACCATGGAAGGCTCCAAGGTCACTGCATCCACAGTCGCCAATACCGGTTGTTGATAATAAGTTGGCCAGCAGTAAATTGCAGTGACGTTCTGCATTGAATCGGTGTCCCTGGCCTTGTTTCGCGCTATAGCGGCGTAGAAAGTAGAATTGCTAGTGGTCGGGCAGGAACTGTCGAGAGAGTAGTCGGCAAATCCCAGAGGATTCCAATAGCCCACATACATGGCAGTGAATTCTCTATTGTTGAGTACTGGTCTTCCTGGCCATGCTTTGTTGTCACCTGTAGTGATGTTGCCATCCAACCCCATCTTGAAGGAACATCCGTTCGTGCTATTTGCAACAACACCACCACGCCCCGGTATCTTGCTAAGCGTGGCAGGCTCACAGTATAGATCTACGCTATACATGATCGTTGGGGCGGACCAGTTGCTCCGAGGTACAGCTTCATCCAAGGAGGTGGGTTTTGGCCGGATTGGTGCAATCGTGTAGTTTCGCGCCATATACTGTGTAAGAGTTTCGTTCAGAGCCGCAATTGCGTAAGTTGATTGGGCAAAGCGCAATGTCAGATTCGACGCCTGGTCGCTAGCTGATAGGAACGCCGTAGATCGATCGAAAGGAAGTGTAACATTCCTAGTGATGGTTTGCGTAGAAAAGATACCAGCCTGGGTAGGTACTAAGCCCAAGGTCACTAGAACCACAGCAAAAGAAGCCCAAAATACAGGCCAGTGTCTGTCTCTAGCAGCCTTCAACGGGACCAGGGGTACGAAGTCGAATGGGTAATGCAGAAGCAAAGAATCTTTCCCCAGAGCACCATCCTTCTTGCTTAGTTGATAATATGGCTCCAATCGTTTCGTCTCTAAATCGATCCATGCCCAGTAGATACTAAAGATTACGGCAATGATTGTCGGAAAGTAAAGATACAGAAAGGTTCGACTTAAAGGAAGTTCGTTGATCTTAGGAGCAAAAATTATCCCGTCATTTCGCTGGCTGCATACGAGTAGATATTGGAGAATAGCGATAATGGTCCAGCAGACCAGGATCGTAAAGATGAGAACCGGTGCGCGCAACGCTGTGGATTTCCAAAGTTTGGGGGCTATCAAGTCGTTAATAGGACTCCTCTTCGCATGACTTTAAGCATAACGTACTTTGATGTTCTTCACCGCGCTTGAAGACTGAAACGATGGTATGCGACTTCTTAGGTCCAATAGTATCTGGAAAGTCTGATCGCGCCACAGGCGCTAGGGTAGCATCCATGACGAAGAAAAGAATACGCGACGAGTAAGCAAACAAGAACCGCAATACAAGAAACACAAAGCAACGGGAGTAGATTCAGGCATTCTACACGTCGAAAGCATAGATACTTAACGGCACCATCGTGGAGCATAAGCGCCCCCAAAACTCACGGCGCGAGACTGCGCCGCATTGATGGACGTCACCCAATCATTTAGCGACCGCAATCCCAATTTGGATAAGAACCACAACGTCGGAATGCGACAACTGTGGGTAGTCGACGAGCCTCCAATGCGATGCTCGAGTTGTGCGGGAAGTGGATCCATACTTTACTGTGAGAATAAAAATGCAGGTACGCGGGCTTTATTTGCGACAAATTCTGTAGATCTGCTAGCGTCGCGGTATTGGCTTTGCCGCTCATAGCATTGCGATATCTGACAACTATGCAACAAAAGTGGAAGGCTCCCATAGTCTGCAGGATCGGATGGTGTATTAGGAAGGGTTCGCGTGACGTCCAATGTCGGCACTCAGCGGAAAGCCCCAACTTCTCGCCTCCTACATGATGTGAGCAGTAGAAGGTGCGAACGCGCATATGAACTTACCACCATGTGCGGAAATCCACAGTCGATATGTCGATACCTAGATCTCGCAGTGCGCTAGTATCTAAATGACAATCGTAAGGCCTAACAGTACCATCTTTTGGTTCTTCGTCAGGTTTGAAGGGTTCCATATTGTCAAGAGGCAACCCCATGATGTCAGCAAATGTCTGGCAAATTTGCCATTTGGTCATCCGGTCTTCGGAGCTGAATTGGAGAACACTTGGTAGTTCACGGCTCCTGTGTTCATCGTCAGCACTGGATGACTAGATGCGCACAACTATCCGTAATTTGAGCGTAGCTTACGTGGATGCTGGATCGAGATACAGCTTCGCTATATCACGACACACTCGACCAACATCTTGAGTATTCGTAGGATATCGAAGCGCATAGTCATCGACTTGGATTTTTGGCTGGCCCTGTTCTATCTGTTGAGCGTTCCACAATTGCGACATGAGCACGTTGACTGCACTGTCTTTTGGCTCGTCGCAAGATCCGTAGAGGACTGGGACGCGGAGAACAACGACTTTGTTGTTTGCACCAGTCCTGCTGGCAACGTCAAGGACAGCTTGTTCGCCTTCCAGTTTACTTTGGCCATACCTGACGAATCTTGTCAGTCTAAGTTGGCACAACAGCCACCATACTCGGGACTCGTCATGTGCCATGAAGTGGGCATTGGTAGACGATCCAAGGTCCTCGTATTTACCATAAACTTCTTGTGTCAGATCTGAACTTACGCATTCGGTGGGCTCGGCGCCGAATCTGGCTTGTAAGGAGCTTCTCCAGATTTCCCAGCAAAGACATAGTCCGTCGAGATGTAAATGAGAAAGATTCCTCGAGAGGCAGTAGCTTCAGCTAGAATCCTGCTTGCGTCTACGTTCAGTTTCCTCGCTGCTTCTGGGTCTTTGGTACAAGAGTCCGGAAAGCGGTTGGCAGCGCAGTGGACGACAACTTGCGGGCTGACTTCATCGAGCACCCTCAAGATCTCGTCTTGATTCAGAATATCCAGCTTCACTACATCTGGCGAGGTGATACGACTCAGCCCAGTGCCGATTGATTTCCAACCGTCTAGAAAGAACTCTCGTTGCACTTGACGGCCAAGCAGACCACTAGCTGCACTCTAAGGGTCAGCTAGCAGTAGAGCACTGGTGAAGTCTGCTTTACCTCCAGTGATCAATGCTGTCTGTACCATTCTGATTACTTTGCAGACCGACAGGGTTAAGGAGCAGAAGTCTCGGTCGAGCAGGCAAATTGATGGGAACGACGGAGTGGTGGAGCTGTGGCAGCTTCATCGAGGGCGTGGATGCGCGCATCATCACGTGTTAGCGAGACCCTGAATCCCTGCAAGCTCGCCGCGACTGGTCGATTGTCGCGACGCAACAAGCAACCCAGAGCTTACACGAAACAATCACAGCCACCATGTCGACCATAGTAAAGGAAGCTTCCCAGAGCTCATACCCGTATGTTTAGGAAGCTGCGTTCGTGATATCCGCTCACCAAAAGCAGTCCCGTCATCCCCAAGGACTTCAACGGCAACCAGCCAAAGACGATTCGCTTGTTTCCTCTCAGCAACTACACATTCGGAACCAAAGATGGCCAGCCCGAGGAGGACCCTTCGGTGCTCGCTCGGCTCAAGCGGTTAGAAGAGCACTACTCGGAGCATGGCATGCGACGAACCTGCGAAGGCATCCTGGTCTGCCACGAACACAACCACCCGCACATCCTTATGTTGCAGATCGCAAACGCCTTCTTCAAGCTGTACGAATTGTCATCGCCTATAACTGTTCTGGCTGACGTCATATAGACCCGGCGACTATCTCCGTGCTGAGGACGACGAGATCGAGGGCTTCAAGGCGAGGCTGAACGAGCGCCTCGCACCAGTCGGTACCCAATTCACTGGCGAAGGCGTCAATGACGAGTGGGTGGTTGGCGACACATTGGCGCAGTGGTGGCGACCCAACTTCGAGACCTTCATGTACCCTTTCATCCCTGCGCATGTCACCAGGCCAAAGGAGTGCAAGAAGCTGTACTTTATCCAGCTTCCGCGCAGCAGTAAGTTGACCTGCCTATCCTCCATGTTTTGGCCAATCTCTAATGTTTCGCAGAGGTCTTGAGTGTTCCGAAGAACATGAAGCTCCTCGCCGTTCCGCTATTCGAGCTTTACGACAATACTGCACGATACGGCCCACAACTCTCAGCAATCCCTCATTTGCTCTCGCGGTACAACTTCGAATTTGTCGATGAGGATGGAAACGTCGCAGCGTGCACGCCTGGTGTAGGTCCACCTGAAGGATACCGACCTCAGACCAAGGTGCTCGCAGGCGGAGATGGGGAAGACACCAGGATGGAGCAGAACGGAGATGGAACAGGTAGCGATATCACTCTCTCGTAGAGCGCTCTCTGTCACCACTCTACTATCTGTGTTTTGTCTTGCTAATTCATACCCGGTGTCAGGCGTTCCAAGAGCGAAGGCCCTTTGACGTGGCTGCTTCGGCCACGATGCCCGTGTTTTGACAAAAGGGCCTGATATCTCTGTCATGTCAATTTGGTACATATATCCGCGAACGATTCACACACCTTCAGTCGCTACTATTGTGCGAACGTAGACGTGATGCTGGACTGGCGTGCAGCTGAAAGCAGAGCTCTTCCGAACGAGGGCTCCACACGTGCTGTATAATGCAAGCTACCATACGATATCGAAAACGCACCAATCAGAATGCGATATTGCAGACTTTCAGGCTCTCCCAATGTCGGCTTTGTTCACTCGTGACTGGAAAACGCGCAATTGGGGTGTCCTTCTGTGGTGAACCTTGGGTCGTTTCCCAATCTCTGCAACACCATACGCTTGATTGGTTGGCGATTCATACAATCTTAGGTCGTCTCCTGCTTTCTTCATCTACATCATATGAACCATGACAATGCTAATGGTCGAACTTGTATGAGATTGGCTCGACCGCCTTGCGCTGGGGCTTTGCTGCTAGTTTACCAAAGATCTAGGAATTCGCCTCGAGTCGCCTTCATATAAAAGGCACTGGATTGTCCCACCGTCTTTTTCCTACCTTGAAAGACAAAGACTGCCTCCCGTCTTGTGCCCGCTGATCTGATCGAAGGGATCCTCACATCAAAGTAACCAAGACCCTATAGTTCCAAAACATTGCGTACTACTCACCCCTACTACAGCTTACTCCGTGTCGACTAATCAATCCAGGTCTCGACGAAAAATGCGTTTCATCGTCTCCGTCTTTACCGCCGTGGCCGTCTTGGCCACGTTCACGATCGCCAGCGACGATGGCAACCGTATCGTTTGGCACGAACGCCCAGTCAGAGAGCAATGGGGCTGCGTCACCACTTGCAGGGCTTCCTTTGTCAAGAACACCGAGTTCTACAGGACACAGTGCGCCGTCTGCATGGATAGGATTAGGAACACTGTGTGCCTTGGCTGCGCAGATGCCTTCAGGGCTGGAAGAAATAAGCACGACACGGACTTGATTTGCAACAGATGCCGTCATATTTGTACGTATTGTTGTACAAACCGCGTATGAGACACACACTGACTTCGTGCTCGCACATCTAGCCGACTACGATTCTACTTCCGACTTCACAGATGACTCGATGTCGGACAAGGAAAAGTGGGAGGGTCCATTGGATCCCTAAAAAGCTTCACGGGAACCATATGCAACCAATTTTGGTAGCGATGGCATTGCTCTGAAATGGTGTTTCTACATCCATGGTTGTGGTAGAGATTAGATTGGTAAGGATTAGGTAGATAGGGATTAGATTGGTAGCGAAGTAGAAACAAAAGCTATCGCCCATGAAACTTTGGGCACGAAACCCTGACTGAAGCGAACAATCCACGAACGCACTCTTTGTTCTTGGGCTTCCATTCGACGCCTCTGCAGTTACTTCCACTGTGAGTCGTGACCTTGCATTTACTATAGCGGTGGGATCACATGTGAGTCCATCTCCTTTAGAACATGACAGTTGACTTACCCGATTGAAGATTTGTACCACGCGATTATGGATCCGACGTTCCGAAATGGGATGCAGCGATCTTGACCAGAGATAAAATTCATGCTGTAGGAAGGGCCGTCTCTGATTCCGCATTCGAGGCCAGTGTAAACCCATACCTTAGCAAAGTTTGGGGGCAAGACACCCGCAAATGGGCCGGCAGTTTGATAGGGTATCTCGGCGGCGACTGCCATCGTCGCTGGCACTGGTAGTACTTCTGCAGTTGTTTCGGGTGCAGGTATGGCCAGAGAAGTGATCACCAAAGCGCTGAGGCCGACAAAGAAGGCGGAGAAGTGCATCGTGGCTTTGTCGCTGGGTGAGACTCTGAGCTGGAAGTTGTTGAATTTGTCCCCATGACGGTCATCGAATAGAGCTGAAGTCGCGCGTTATATACACGAAGCTTGCGATATTTCCACTACAGCGCTTTCCACATGTGGTCGGAGACAATGAACGCCCTGCAAATCATTCTGGATGTGTTTCATAGCCTGAGGGTTTGCGACCAGTGTGACCGAATCCGTGCGAAATGATATTGTGGTCAACAAAGACTTTTCCTCATGTGTCCAGCGTGTAGGACGACCTTGCACGGTAATCGTATAGTCCTTTTTTCCACACGTGACATCAATACTATATGCAAAACTGATCACAAGTACAATATCGCCATTTGGGAAATCTTTCTTTGCTGCGCGTGTTCCACCATGTGGTGTGTAGCAGTCAGTGTGGAATACCGCTAGTAGGCCCAAGACGATCACAGCGCATGCAGCTAGAGTGCCTGACGATAATCACATCCCCAAATCAGCCGTGCGTGTAGGACAGAGGTGTCAGTAGTCAAAAGCTAAAAGTTCTTTGCTAGCTTCATGTCACCGGCACGGTAGCACTCACCTCTGAACTAACCTCACTACAGCTCATGTATCCAGTTCAACGATAACTGTTCCATCTTCCATGGGTGAGGTTGTAAGCCACATCTTTCTTGATTACAATACAAGGCCAGACATTGCTTGTGTGTTTTCAGGGGAAAGCGAGTGTCAATAATTTCACGAGATCATATCGAGCTCCAGGTCAGACTGTTCATCAGTACAACAAGATTTGTTGCAAAGCGAGCAAATTATAAATTTCCACCTTCTCGGTAAACGTAATATACATTATGCTACAACAGACATTATATACTAAGTACGTAAGTAAAAGAGAGACTCGCGGGTGAGGTCGACATAAGGAAAGATTCGAAGACGAATGGTGCATAACGAGCGTTGCGACATCCAGTATGTGGGCTCAAAAAACAACGGCAGTCTCATGGCAGTACGATCTGCACGGTCCTAGCAATGCTAGGAACACCCTCCTTCGAGATGACAAAGACGTAGTAGGAGCCTGGAATAAGAATACCGCTGTCATTGGGCAATGTAGCGGTGTATGTGCATCCCTCGCCCTTGATGTTTGAGAGTGGCACTCGTCGCTGGTCGGTGTTGACTGAGTGTGTGACGCTGCCGATGCGAACTAGGGTGAACTTGAGACCTGGTTCTGAGGTCTCGACTTGGATAGTCAGCTCGCCTCCAACTTTGACACTTTCTGCGCTTNGAGAGCGGATTACAGGACGTGTTGCGGGAGTTCCGTCAGTATTGAACAGGTACGGCGGCGAGAAGATTTGGCCATCGGCGTGGTCGACGAGTTTGTTGCAATTGGCGGAGCTGCGGCCGACTCCCTGGGCGACGTAGCAGAGACCGCCACCACCGCTGAAGACACGTCCGTCGGCTAGCAAGATACTAACCGAGTGATAGTTGCGAGGTACGGCCTGTGGGGCAAGGACCTTCCAGGACTTTGTGGCTGGGTCGAAAAGTTCCGGGTAGAGAGCTCCATCGTCATCTGTGAACACCTTCGATCGTTTTTGGCCACCACTTACAAGGACCGTTCCGTCAGGCAAAACGACCGCATTGGAGAAACCGCGAGGATAGGTCATATCCGCGACACGCTCAACCCTTGCAGGAGAGTTCGGCTCGTCAATGGTAGTGATGTGGGCCCTGGCATTGGCATCTGAGTCTGTGTAGTCAGGAGCACCACCAGCACTGAAGATCTTGCCGGCGACGGCATCGTACATGACAAAGATACCGCACATCGCGTCATCAATTGGGTCACGTATACCAGCGGCGACTTGCGATCCGGTTCCCTTTGTGCCATACCAGTTCATAGCTTTGCTAGGACCGGCTTGGAAAACAGAAGCGTTCTTCCAACCAAACAACCACGCATGGTTGTCTTCGCGCCAGATTCCTTCATGATCGGTCGTGAGCATAGCCTTCATCCTTGCGTTTGGCAATGCTGTCCAGGTGTTGGTGGAGGGATCGTAAACCTCGCCGTCCTTTCCCTTGCGGGGACCAGAGTAGGCACCTCCGATGGTGAACACGCGATTGTCGGATGTCGTCGTGGATGATTGGTAGCCACGGGCCATCTTCCTAATTCATATCAGTACCATTCTTTGATGACAATATTTGAGGAGACGTACATGTCGGGGGCGCGAGTGAAAGCATTCGAAGCTGGATCGTAGAGACTGGCTGCAGAAGCATCTGACCCTCCTTGAATCAAGAGCTGACCATCTTGAAGACTGCTCATTGCAGGACAGAACATGTCGTGGTGAGTGTTGCTGACTGTACGGGCCGAAACAGCTCCACTGTGAAGACTGTCAGCATAGGCCGGTAACCTAATGTCAGTATGGCTTACGTATTGAAGTTGTAGTCCGCAAACTGGGTTCGTCCACCAGCACCACCGAAGGCGTCAGCTCCCCAACTAGAGAAGACGAGAAGACGTTGTGAGACAGGATACTCAGGAACGACATATGCGGCAACAGGGATGACAGGCAGGCGAATGAGATCTGACCATTCACCGTCTTTCGCGGGCGCGGGCGCGACGTTTAGACGCATCACATCGTAGCGTTTGTCGGTCGACCAGATCAAAGTGTTACTCCGCGAGTCGGCTTTGATGTGGCAAGCCATCTTTGCGGAGTCGTAAACGGCTGCGTTGCACGTAGCCCAGTTGGCACACAGGTAGGCGCAATCATCGAAAGTCCTTATACCCTGCCATATCTTTTCACTTGGTCCGCGGATATCGGTTCCTGGACAGATGCTGTATTGTTTCTGGTATTACAGTATTAGTTTGCGAACATATGGTGTCTCCTTTCGAGAAAGCGAAAACAGACTTACCCGGTTTCTATGGTAAGTCCACTCGTTGTGAGGGCAACGAGCGATGTTGACCTGCTCTGCTTGGATGACTTGGAAACGGTCATTGGCAACCCAAGTCAGGCCAGTAAGATCTTTGAAGTGACAGTCTTTCGTCCGGGTATCAAAGACTGCCTTGAAACAGTCCATGCTCTGGTCGCAGAGTTTCGCGCATGCTGTAACCGAAGTAACTCGCTTTATTGACGTCGAAGGTCCAGTCAGATCGGTACCAGGACATACTCGATATCTGATACCTTCCGCTCCAGTGAAAACATCGTCAGTACCCGGGCAAGCATTAAGGGCGTGTGTAAAATGTAAAAGAGTGGCTGCCGAAAGCACGGCGAAGAGATTGCGGACCTGCATTCTGGATACGAATTCAGACAACTGGCCTGAAGCAAGAATCGCAGTTCTGGCGTCAACTTCCTATATACTCTTTCCAGCTACGGTCCTGTACTTGTGACCCACACATTGGAGTTTGCAGGAGTGGATACCTTTGAAACAAGCGGGAGGATTGTAGACTTAACATCATATAGGGTAGCGTACTACTGAGATAGGAAATGTTCGTGAGTAGCTACCCTGTATTTGTTCACCTATATATCGTATTTCAGTATGTTCGATAGCGCTAAAGGCTCCAAGTCCGGAGTTGCCAGGGGTTCATAGCAACGGTAGCGGGCCGAGACACCCAGCAAGGTTAGTGGTGATGCCACTATCGGTATGCTCGGCCTTCCTGGAGTCATGTCGTTGACTGCGCCTCAAGGAGATGCTCGAAAGGATCGCGGTTGTTTTGTCGTGATGTGGGGTGCTGTAACGCCGTAATGAGCTATTAGCGAACGCAAATGCGTACACCCGAGACTGACACAAGGTCAGAAAAGGTATGAATCTTGTCTCAGCTGTCGCTATGCCATAGTCTATGGTGAAGTGCACGTCCTGAATAAGTGATTGAAGTATTACGGCTTCATACAAGCCAGTCGGCTGATGGCTGGTTCCCTGTCAGGCTGCTTGAAACGCCAAGGCTATCGCTCCACTCCACCCCTGCGCCCATCAGGGAGACGTTATCTACAAAAAAAGAACTCCAGTTGAATAACCACCGTTAAAACTCTGCCCCTGTTCTCAGCGCATGAGATATTGAGAAACAAGTCTATTGAAAATACAATCGCAGACCCGCACGGCTTTAAAACGGCTCATGCAAATGCGCCGTATCATGATAGTATAGGGTCGCAAACGCGATAACAACACTAGACAAGCAAGTAGTAACAGACGACGACACATGGCCTGGGGTACACGAGATAGTTGAGATACGCCGTTGTAGATGCGGATGGGGGTGCCGGAACGTTGGGTGTTACACCGGATCGCTGACTCGGAACTGAAAGGAGTTCGGTAAATATGTCATGACAGCCTGAACATCCTGGACGTTAATACCTGAGTCGGTCTAGCGATACCATGAGATCCTGTCATGGTCACGGTCTCCATCGGACACGGTCAGGTATCGTCTTAGTCTTTGAGGACACAAATCTTGATCCTTGATACGACAGCTTCACCATCCTTGACCAGGCATCGCGCTCCAATTAGGAATTTGCCAAGTCCATGGACTACCGTTAAAGTTGATCGGAACCTCTGTGAGATCCATAGGGAAAACTCCACTGCCTATGTTCATGCCATCGGTAACTCCTAATTGGGAACCGAGACTTCCCAAACCCATGAGCTCGGATGTCTGTGGGTTGGCGCTATCGGAACCTGGTGTCTGGAACTGCACCTCCGCCGCTTTTTCGTCCACAAGTGCCATCTTCCGTTTGATGTCCGTCACAATCTTTGGTGGCTCTGACTGTGCAGATACTGCCTCGCGCGCGGACCAAGCTTGAAGTACGAGTCCCGCAAATATGGTGAAGAAGGGGTTCTTCGGTTTTGTTTCGATTGGACTGTCCTTTACCTCGATATCCATCAAACGAGCGGCGCAGTTGTCGCTCATCGCCTGCCACGATCGGTCTGCATGTTCGCCTAGCGGCCGCCTTTTCAACGCTTGAACAAGATGAACATAGACGGGAAAGGGGAAATTCAAGTAGACGATCCAACGGAAGTTCTTGATGAGGGGTGATGTCATGAGCATTGTATCGCACTCAAGCAGCCGGAGCGCAAAAGCAAGACCGAGGTCGCGTTGCTCATCGCTTTCCTGTCCAAACTTCTGCGAATTGGTCGATAAGTAATTTGCGAATCCGATCTTTGCAAGTGCTGCGCGTGTCGTCCATATAGTCAGGAAGTGCAACGGGTTCTGGGCATCGCAATGTGCAAGATACTTTCGCTCCATCGTCGAATCGAACTCTGTAAGTTCGTCGAATTCTGAATGAGCAGAGACGGAGGCCTTCTTCGAGAACGTTTTTAGGGCTGGGTTGATAAAATCCAGATGAGAGGAGCTTTGACGCACGAATTCGCCAATCTGACTGCGTATCACTGAAAGAGGGAGTATCCGAAGTCAGTGATGTCTCACATATATTTCAAACAGTCAGAACTCACCTGGAAACAGTGCTTCAGATAAAACCCCGAACTCAGCAGGCTGAGTGTTCATCTCGGCCCGTAAACTGAAGTCATTGACATTGAGCGGAAGTTTGCAGTCCCACGTTGGAAGCAAGCTAGTGGTCTTGCACTCGGTCATCTCGGCCATACGGTTATCGTAAAGTGTAAGGGACCACCACAGCCTTCTGCGGAGCTCGGCCTCGAGCACGGAGTGCCTGGCGTTGGTAGATTCTGTGTCGATGCCCATTCGCTGGGCAATGCGAACAGCAGCTCCTAGCATAGACGACAGTGACCGTGGGTCTGTGTCAGGCTTGAGTGATATCAAGTAGAGATGAAGAGCTGTCAAACATTCTCTATCGCTGGATTTCAAGAATTCACAGTTCACCAGCGCCTCTCTTGCACCCACCTGGTAGCCTCTGATAATTTCTGATCTACGCCTTCCAAACATCGCTTGGCACTGCTCTTGATCCAGACTGAAAATAGCCATGCAGTAGATTGAGAACATGAGAGCCTCCAGATTAGGATCGATATTGGATATGTCGCTAGCGGCATCGATGATGCGTGCTTGGAGGGTGGGGGTATGAGTAAGCTTCAGCAACGGATCAACATTTTCCAGGTACAGTTGCCAGAGCTTGAAGATCTGGGCTTGTGGTGGATGTAAGGTTGAGAGGCTGACATCTGCGCTACGCGAGCAAAACAGCAGGTCCTCGCTGTGATGCAGTTCGTGTGCGTAGAGACTAAACATGGTGGTACAAACTTAGTGCATGCTACACATCCAATCTGTGTAGGGACACTCACTAATCCCATGCTTTCACAATTTGTGCTTGTCGTAGTGCGTGTCGAGACGAACAACTGTGGTCAGAACCATCGTCGCTGGCGTTATCATCAGCATCGTATGCTCTTCGGTTCATGGCATGCCAAAAACTCCTATTGCGATTAGAAGTGTTTCTTCCTAGTGCTACAGCTTCTTCATACTTGGCTTGGGAATTCTCGGCATCTCCTGTGGAGGATGGCTGAGTTCTAGTGTACTCCTTATCACGACTCTCGCTTCTTTCTTCGGATCGCGTTGGCGGGTTCGAAGATGCATGCAAGGCTTGGAAAGCAATGCCGTTTTTCGTAAGGAGATCCTCATAGTGGCGCAGGCGATCGAGCAGCTCTCGCTCAGGAAATCTACGGCGTCTCTGCCGGGGGATTGTCGCAGCGGATATACATTGTGTACCAGCCTTGGTGCAGTTGGAACAAGGATATCTTCGATCGCACTTGACCTTTCTTTGCGCGCACAGCACGCACGAAAGTACGCGCTGCGGCTTGCTTGCAGCAGCTAGTGGAGATAGAGCATCAGCACTGAGCTCAGGCGTAGGTATGTCCGAAGACATATTCAAGACGTTACCCTGCGCGCTGAGACCGAAATGGCGATCACGTATAGCAGTTGAGAACGTAAGAGACAACCTCTACAGATGTGGGTGGGGAGGCGACAAATATCAGGCAACCACATGCAAGCCGCTAAGCAGGACCCTGCTTATTTCCGGGCAACACATTATCGAACTGAACACATTGACTGGGAGCATTGTCGATTGATGCGGGTAATACGGCCCTGGCGACGTGAAAGGCGTTCTGTCATGATGTCAATGGGGTGCGAGTGTCTAGAGAACGTATGGGGCTTACGTAACGCGCGCTCGCGTTGGTTTCAGTCGCGTTCCTCCAGCTGTTCACGCTCTGCTAAAAGCTGGCTTGTGAAGGCCTCGCATAGTCCATCAAAAGCGTTTTAATGCATGTCCACTTCATCTAAGCATGAAAACGCGTGCTTAACACGCGCAGATATGGCGACGCTCGTTGTATACAGAAGAAACCCCTCTCTGCGCGAAACAGTATAGCTTGAGCTAATGCGCACACGTTGCCCCTGACCTCCTTCTAGAGAAAATATTGCGAAGATGAATAATTGACTCCAGATTGCCTGGCAGGTGTTGGGCATGAGATAATGTCTACGATGTAGACTCAATTTGACTGTAAGCCGCTCGGCCAGATCTAACACCCGACACCATCACGTGCTCTTCGACATAAGCCCTGACTCCCAGGACAACGGAATACAACGACATAACATAGCGTCAGTATAGACTTCAAAGATATTCTAGCTATGTTAATTCTCTCGCTTGTTTCGGGGATCTGCAAAAGCTGTAAGCTCCTCTTGTTCACTAAGGCAGCTCGCGCAACAAGTCGGACATTTCTATTCCCCGAATGCATTCGTGTAGCAAGACACGCTTCTCGGATTCTTGCACATACCGAATGTACATATAATAGCTAAGGCTTCGTCTCCATGTTCGTAACACATCAAAGATCAAGCTTCTCTTCCATTCTTGGCTCGATCCTACCAACGTTTACATAATGACTACATCAACTCCGACTGACCCTCTTCGGGAGGCACGACCGTCCACCTTCACCCAGGATACCGAGAAAGACGACTTGACTCCGCCCCCGAAAACAAACGAATATGCCGATGCGGAGAAGAACTACGATCCTAAGTCGCTCAAGTTCTGGCTTATCGTCATCTCGATCTATCTCGCCTTCTTCCTCGTCGCTCTGGATCGCATGATCATTGGTACGCGAATTTCATATATGCTAGATTCAATACTAACAAGTCTTAGCTACTGCTATACCGGCGATCACGAACACATATGGCTCCATTGCAGATATTGGCTGGTACGGCAGCGGCTATATGCTTACGTGCGCAATCTTCAATCCACTATTTGGAAAGATATACCAGTTGTACAGTACGAAATGGACATTCCTAATGTCGATTTTCATCTTTTAGGTGGGAAGTGCTTTGTGCGGGGCTGCACCTACTTCCGATGTTCGTAAGTAATACGCAAAGCCATAAGGTCTTCAGCATCCTGACCTTCATCATAGTCATCGTTGGTCGCGCAATCGCTGGCATAGGAGCGGCAGGCATTCAATGCGGTGCGGTCATGATCATTGTTCCCCTCGTCCCACTACGCAAGCGACCCGTTTTTACTTCTTTTTTCGGCCTCGCATTCGGAGTGTCATCTGTATTGGGACCCTTCGTTGGAGGCACCTTCACGGACAGCGCGTAAGCTATTCGATTTGCTCCTTGAATCAGCGCTGACCATATATTAGGACCCTGACATGGAGATTTTGTTTCTACATCAACCTTCCTGTGGGCGCTTTGGCTTTTGCTACCGTCTTCTTCTTCTTACATCTCCCCTATACGCCAAAAGAGAAGCTGTCCATTTTCGCGCAGCTCAAGCGCCTCGATCCAATAGGCCTCGCTTTTTTCGTGCCTTCGATGGTATGCCTCATCTTGGCTCTGCAGTGGGGAGGTACGACCTATCCCTGGTCGGCACCGAGAATCATTGGCCTGCTCGTGACTTTCGCAGTCACGTTCGTCGCATTCCTAATTGTGGAGTTTACAATGCCAGACACGGCTATGGCTCCGCCTCGAGTCATTTTGAACCGTTCTATGGGTGGTGCCATGCTTTTCATCTTTCTTCTCGCTGGCGGCATGATGAACGCTGTGTACTACCTCGCGATCTGGTTCCAGGCAGCCCAGGGCCAGTCTGCCATGCAGGCTGGTGTACGTACGATACCGATGGTTCTGTCACTCGTTCTCTTCGGTATCATCACAGCGGTGGCCACCCAAAAGATCGGATATTATGTTCCTGCTATGCTCCTTTCGCCCATCCTCGCATCGATCGCTAGTGGCCTCCTTTCTACACTTACCCCACACTCCCACGCAAGCAAATGGATCGGCTACCAAGTATTCTACGGGTGTGGACTTGGCGTTGGAGCACAAACGGCAAATCTGGTAGCGCAGACTGTGTTGCCCCGTTCAGACGTCTCTCTTGGCATGGCGATGGTAAGTGGTGCCTATACGAAATGCATATAAACATACACTGACTTCGTATCTTCACCTCTGCAGATGTTCTTCATGAATCAACAGGGTGGCGCCATCTTTCTTGCTGTTGGGCAGAATCTGTTCTCGACTCAACTTGTGGAGCGGTTATCCGGCATTGCCGGTCTCGACACCAAAGCCATCATCAACACTGGCGCCACAGAGCTTCGCAAAGTGGTGCCGGCGAATGAGATTGACACGGTGGTTTCAGCTTATAGCTATTCATTGACACGAGTGTTCATCTTATCAGCAGCGCTCAGCGCTTGCGTAATGATCGGGTCGCTGATGGTTAAGTGGGTAAGCATCAAGAAAGATGCTCCGAATCCAGAGAAAGCGGTGTCGCAGGACGTGGAAGCAGGTATTGATGCGAAAAGTGAGCACTGAGAAGGCTTCCGTTATTTGGGTCAGGGTAATTGACACCAATCGGGGCATTTGGTTTGTGTTGGAAATGTATATGCAACAAGGCAAGAAAATGAAAGTAATTCGAATAGCATATTAACAGTCTCGTTTGACTCAGCCCTTCCACACTGTTGAGGTCACCAATGGCATGAATACACAATACATGCTTGACACTGATTGTTCAACTCTTTCGTCCCTATAGTTGTCAGGACGACGTTCGTGTCACCAAACGCTGCATCATACTATGCAAGACGAGGATCGAACAAATGCGGACACTGCAAGCCCTTTCCCACAGTCTGCGTTGGCTTGGAATATGGAAGCCCACAAATATTAAGGGCGTTGTAGATTTCTAAGACACATTTCAAAAAAAAAAGACATGACTTTCGATGAGCTTCGATATAGCAGACAGAGTAAACAACAGGATAGCAAAGGAGAAAGTTGGGGAATTTCGGTTTCTTCCGTGAATAAAATGTATGATTTCTTTTGATAGTGCCAATGACGCGTTTGAACAAAACCCTGTTCTTCATGATTGACTAGCCAGATTACTAGCGTCAGCACTGCGTATCCTCTCATGAGACACCATTAGTTCTTTTGGAAACCACTCCGCCAATTTCCCACCTGGCCTTCCTGGAACCTGTGGTAATTCGTCGTCTTCACTTCCGGCAATCATGATACCAAGAGCTGCTCCTGAGAGCCAGGCCCACACCATACCCTCTCCAGAGAAACCTGCTGTAATCCATTCTCCACACTGGTCCTTATCACTCGACGTCCGCTTTCGTTGTCTCGTATCTCGCCCTGTTAATTTTGCATCCAAGCGGCCGACCAGTGGAAGGGAATCTCCTGTCAGGCCGATGATCCCTGACCAGGTTTGCTTCAACTCGGCACCAGCACCCCAATTTGGATGAAATATCGCTGGAAAAATGCCTGCGATGTGTGTAGTGGTCAAAGGGTCGAGCGGAAAGCCATCGTCATATCGACCGACTTGATCGATACCTTGCTTTAGCGATCGCAGGAAACCGCCTCCGATCATCAGGTCTCCTTTGGAATCACCTACGGCTGGTGGCCTTTGTGTGACGTAGTCAAATCCCTCACCGTAAACAACACCCCAGGAGTGCATGCCATCAGCATATGGAAAACTTTGTCCTGGTTGTTGAGCAGACATATGGGCTTGTGCGCCAACGATCTTGCTGCGTAGTCCTGGGATGAGCTGACTAGCGAAGGCGTTGGTAGCGTGAACTATGTGTCGGACAAATACAGTTCCTCGGTTAGTCCGCAAAGCATACGGGAAGCCTTCCGGGGCATCTTTTGGAACACTTATCGACTCTACAGGGGTATTCGTCTCAACAGAGAGACTATGTGAGAATTCGTCCAGAATGCCACGCCAAATAGATGCAACAAATCGGTACGCCCAAATGGCCCCTGCTTGGTAGGACAAAGCACCGACGACGCTATTGTTGACGCCAAACCTCTGTCTTTATCAGTTCCTGGGTCGTCTCGGTTAGTTGAGGGATATCTCAAACCTCATGTGCTTGATTCCCATTCCATACTGCGATCTCAATCTCTGGCAACCACCTTTTCAATTCGTCAATATCGGCGACGGCCTTGGAGAAACTTTGCTCATCCAGGAAAAAGTCGACAGTCTCGACCCTCCGAGCTTCGGCAGCATTGATGTCTTGGCTTTGACATAATTCGATCAAACAATTGATATGTAGAGATTGAAAACGCGCCAGTGCAGCAGCGCGATCTTTTGGGAAGAGCTTGCTGAATCGAGAAAAGGACTCATATATCGAAGGTTTGATGTGGCCGCCATTTCGAGCGGTGGCACCGCTACATAGCTGTCGCGCGTCGAAAACGATCACCTTTTCATTCGTACAAATGTTACGACGGCGTCGCTCGTGTAACAATGACCGCGCAACAGCAGCGCCAGCGATTCCGGAACCAATGATAGCCACATCTGCGGTCTGCGGCAATTTGGGCGAACTTACATTAACAAGTTCAGGATATGGAGGATCGTTGAGCCAGTACGGCTGGGATGGTTTGGGGCCTGGGAGACCTGGAGGCTGCGATGCACGCTTCAAAGCCTGATTGAACTCGGTAGACAAAGCTTTCAGAACGGAAATTGTTGAAATTAAGACTCTCCATGTGTTCTGCAAAAGCGAAAGCACTGCCCCCATTTCGATGTAGATGATTTGTGAAGTTCCGAAAATGATTGGGAAACCTGCTTGTCTTGGAGAACTGGAGAAAGATCCTAGAGCAACACGTAACGCTATACGATGTGCTTATCGTGATTAGGCTTAGCTACAATACCTACAGACCCACTATTTTCACAACTACCTCAAGGTTCAATTCCACGGCTTGGATTTCCAGAACAACCGAAGATATTAGCCGATTGTTAAATGGTACACAGTAGGTCCGCCCAGTAGGCTACAGGGTGTGTGAGCAGTAGCGCACATCGCCGTCGAAGCCTTTGCTAATTGGGGGTCCTGCATAGCTTCAAGATGGGTATCTGACAACGGACCGGATTCAACTTCCAGGACGGAAAACATCAGCCAAATTTTGTCGGTATATAATAAGCTTATCCAGTCTGTCTGCCACATACGACCATAGGAAACTGAAAATTAGTTCTCCCTCGCGATCCGTCAAAACTCGCGGTTCCGGGTTGGGTTCAATTAACTGAGGTTCGTCTTCGGTTACCCGTTTCAGGAATCGCGACTCCGTCCGCAGCCCCCACCACCATAGCCCCGAATGACCATTAACAGTCATTCACCATTCCTGTATGCGTCTAACAGTACTCGCTGCAATAGCAGCGCACTGGTTTAAGGATGAGTTGCCGCCAGGATCGGGCTCACAACCATCCTGTCCTCCTCACATTGTCTCCGCTGCAGTGCTACTCCCTCTACGGTCCTAACTTCTCCGTGTGCTTACTATGGCGCCTAAAAAAAAGAGTGAAGATCTTGCGCACTTGCACACTCTTGTTCAGCTCGAGGAAGAGCCGACTCCGCTCACGCAGGAAGACGTGAAAGCTATGTTGATTCCTTCAAGCTACAAGTCACACAAGTACACTATGGATCTCTGGCTAGAGTAAGTCAAGGGCTGGCATTTGGTGAAAATCTATTACTAACAAGCTAGATTCTTCGAACGCTTCTACCCTGACGAACCCGTAAACCCTAAGTTTGGAGAAGCACCCGCTGTGTACCGTATTAAGATGCACCTGTTCTGGCTTGCTGCAACAAGAACTGGCCAGCTGGACGAGAACATCACAGACACTACTCTTCGAAACCGCCTGTCTTCACTCAAACGAGCCATCAAGTTATACACTGGTTACCAATATAACTCCGCGCAGAACAAGGAGCTAGAGAACTACATCACGAAAGAGCTCGTATATAAAGAGAAGATTGGAACTGGGGCTTATATCAAGCCAGTAGCTCCTTTGCTTGTCGCTGAGGATTTGATCCAATTTATGTGGGTGTGCGACGAATATCAATTTGCCCATCCACGTGCACGTCTACAGTTGGCTTTCTCCATCGTCCTCATGACATATTTGGGCAGTCGCCCAGGAGAAATCATCGAATCAGCGGCCTGGAAACACAGTAATGAGGGGCTCCTGTATGGTGACATCACTCTCGTACGTTTCCAAAATGAAGAATACGTAGGGTTTCTTCTTCATGTCAAGTTGCGCAACCGAAAAGGACACCGCAACAACAAAAAGCACTCGTAAGCAAGGATCCCCCCAAGTGCAAAAGTCTCAACTCTAAGAAAAAAATAGACCTGTAATGCTTCTCTACGAAGAGCCTACGCGAGCTCTATGTCCAGTCACACATTTTTTGGCGCTAGCACTAGCAGACGGAGTGTTCGCGGACTGTCAGTCTTTCCAAGACGTTGCAGCACAGGAACTGCCACCAGGTAGTAAGCTGTACAAATATCGCTACAAGCCGGAGGCGAAGGAAAGACCTATCCTTCGAGGTATCTGCAACAACGGCGTAGTCTCCGAAAACGATATCCTCACATACAATTGCTTCAACAACATGATCAAGGGTCTTGGACAACGGGCTGGGTACGAAGACAGGCTGAGTGCATATTGCTTCCGCAGGGCTTATGCTGTAGCAGTAGAGAGTATGTATCACACGATGATATGATGCTTGCTTTCAACTGACCATCTAAAAGAGACGGCAACTCCAGCTCAGAGGAGGTTACTTATGGGTCATTCCAACGATGATACGGTCTTGTATTACATTTCTGGCATCGTTGGAGTTGACAGCCAGTCCATGATTCACGGGCGAGAGCAAAAGACCAAACTCATTGACGAAAACACTTCTATGATGTCGAAAAGGAATCTTCTTGCACCAATGCCTCCCGGATCTCAACTCACCGACCGTGTCATACCAAAAGCCAAGGAGATTAGTAAGACTGTTAAGGAAGTGAGTTTATTGGAACGAACTCCAAGCCAAGAGTATGCTATACGACGGCAATTCCGAAAAGTCGCGTACCGTAAGCAACGGGAGGCTTTTTTCGGAGGGGAAAGTACTAGCTCTCCCGATGTTACAACATCATCGACTTCTGGACAAACCACAACAAAGCCTTTGCGTACTCCATCGCGATATCTGCAAGCTCTATTGAAGTTTGAGCCTGAACGGAAAGCTATGTCGAGACTGCTTTACCCCGGCTGCGCTACGGCAGCTGATGTCGCGGCCGAAGGAATTAAGATTTCGCTCGATGTCATACTCGAGCCAATGGTGAAAATCTCTCGTCCGGAGAAGAAGCGGTACGCCTATGCTTCTGCTGCACCCACTAAGGAGAACCGTTGTGGTGTGTGTGGACATCAGTTTCATAAGAACAATAAGAAGTACGTACTCCGCATTATGTTGTGTGCTCTACTAACGATGGCAGATCAAGGCCGGATCGAATGAATGAGCACTTACTTCATTGTGCTCGCAAACAACACATACAACATGCACGAGAACACATGGAACGTCAATTCGCCTACATTCACCGTTGTGCTTGGTACGACTGCAATTTCAGCTTCCGTGGAAAATCTTGCGGGACCAACTCTTCTCATGTGACGAGGCATATCCACAATATACGCAGTCACCAGTGTCTATGGAATGCGTGCCTCCAGATTTTCCAGAGTTACGAGAAGCTTGCTCATCACGTCTCTAAAGAGCATCGAGTGCCTAACGACTGGACTATGCTGACAAAGATGCACTACTGTTACGAGCACGACGAATGGTGCCGCTCAGACGAGCTGTGGTCACAGCATCTTGAACTTTACCACTTCTCGGAACTCAACAACTTCTGCGGCATCATCCGGCTTGATGGTGTGATTATAGTTGCCGGGCATTGCCTCTTATGCTTAGGCGATACGAATGCGCCGTTGCCTGATCGCTTTCTGCAATTTGACAGCGCTTTCAATCTGCATACCCATATGAGAAAGCATCTAGCTCAACTAGATGTTCCTCCAGCTGTTTGTCCGCACCCGCACTGCCAAAGCACACTTGGCTCTGAGGAAACGTTCTGGAGCCACGCAGAAACCGTCCATGGCATGCCGCCTTTTGGCCCTCGCCGAATAACTGGAAAGCGCAAAACACCAGACGAGCTTGAGGATTCCGAAGATGACACGAACCACACAGCTGATAGCACCCCAGACCCGCCCAGCAATGACATTGATACATCATGCGGAGTTGCGGCGGACCATAATTCAGCGGCAGTTTCGGGTGAGGCAGTGTAGATCTCGTACGACTTGCGGCGCTTAAAGTTGGCGGTAACAACGGGATCAAGACGCGGACGATTCGGTGACGGGATGAGGAACGCAGAAAGTAGCCAACCCTAGAAACACATAGATGGCATTGTAACTGAGCTAGCGCGTCTCCATCGCTAAAGCATAGGCAAGTATAAGGATTGCAAGGTAACAGGAAGGGTAGCATTGTATCAAACAATCTGGCTTCATAGTCTAATCTGCATGTGCGCCAATCCACGTTCTGACAGCAGACGAAATGGATGCGTGGCCGCCAGCGTAGTCTCCTGGACCTTGTCGACGTGCTCTAGCAGCGCCACAGCCTCTTTTGTTTGCCCATTGTCATCGTACGCACCAGCGAGCTCGTGCTGCGATGCCAGCCGATCGGGGTCCATCTCTAGCCGGCCGAGCATGATGGCGATGAGCCTATTCTGTTGGTTGAGTCTCGCAGCCTTGCAGTCGTCCACCTACCCGCCCGTGGTCGTGCCGCCGATGAGGTCGAACACCTCGAATGGCTTGACGAAAGAGAGACCGTCGCTCTAGCACCAAGGGGAAAGTTGGAAATAAGCTGATGGTGGGATGCCCCGCACCCCACCCAAATCAATGTCGATTGTATAGTAATTATGGCTGTAAACGCCATTTCTGAAGGTTCAGAAGTTGATTATATTCATTTGCAAGCTCAATACTTAGTCATATGACCTTCTGTTACATGTATAACTTCATGTAGACGCGCTAGGTAACTGTCGATAGTGCGATTGATCTTTTTAGGATCTAACGACTGCCAAACCTCATAGAAACGTCGTACTCCTGCACTTGCTGTCTTCATCTGTCGTCTGAAGAACCTTTAGCGTATTGGTTTCACCCAGGTTTCCATGATACTCATGTCGGGTGAGGCTGGCGGCGCGAGGATGTACTCCATCCCATTCATCTCGAGCCACCTCAGGACGTCAGGGGAGCAGTGGGCTGAGTCGCGATCCATATACAAGACGCGGTCTTAACCAAGTATAGCGTCGCGCAGATGTAGCAGAATCTTTAGAAAGGTTTGCCAGTTCATCTTGCCGTTGCTGTTGCTAGCGTCGTACTCAATTGCCCACCCAAAGTCGTAGCCTAGCACCGTAAAGATGTAAAATCTCTGCTCGCAAACCTCATCCTGTTACTGTCCCTTTTCACTGTTGTTCTTAGGCCGTCCACCAGCGTTGTACTGCACATTGTCCGGGCGAAATCTCTAATTTAGACGCCTCTTGATGCGCTTTACGTACCGCAGACCAGCAGACCAGTGCAGCTCGTCGCACCAGATAACGTCGCGCCAAAAGAGATAGTTCGGGCGAGTAGTAAGCTGTAGGTTTGCCCAGAAGACGCGCTGCGTTCAGATAGCTTCTAGGAGCTCTTCTTTAATCGCTGCTTTGCAGGTTTTAATGCCAGAAACCTCAGTTACCCAGCTTTAAATCAGGTTCGAGCTGTACGTTAAGCTATTGCCGTCGCTCGCGCGACGGAGCTCGTAGGCGATCAGGATGTGCGCTTTTTCTTGAAGATCTTCCCAAGTTAGAGCCTTCTCATCAAACTCAGCGTCGTCAATGTACTCAGCAATGAGGTTTGCTTGCTCCGCAGTAAGCTGGCGGGTGCCAGAACGATTGTCAACGACTTCCTGTTGGTTCTGGAGCCTCCGCGCGCGCCCACTAGCCAATATATGAGCTGCGGTGCTCTTCTTAATATTAAAAACCTTCGTAATGTCCTCAAGATTAGCTAGATAGCCCATCTTTTAGCAGAAATAGAGTGCTGCGAACACTGCAGAGCGTTGCGGCGTCTCTAGCTGCTTCTTGCTGGCTTCTGGGTCCGCGACGACCGGTAGAGGCGTAGAAAAACGCTGTTGAAGTCTGCGTTTTTTTACAGATGACATAATTGACGCTGCGACAAAGATGCGCGCGAAAGAACTTTAATAATATAGGGTTGCGGGCGAGTTGTGTAGGTGGGAATAGCTTCAAGTTTGCGATCGAGAGCTTCGAAATGGGTGGGGTGGCCCGAGCGTTGCGGCAGCTTATTTCCAACTTTCCCCTTGGTGCTAGAGCGTCGCTCTGACGTCGGTGGTTCAGTCGCCTCATCAGTCCCTCCAGAACGTAAAGGGCCGACAGGCCATGCACGCCACCGCCGTCAAGCGACAGCACTCAGAGGCCGGTAGTGTCGAGCGGGTTGGGCTTGCCGCCGCAGATGATGCCCCGCCATTGGTGCTGCGAAGCGCCGCCACGCCTGCCCCAGTCGCCACCTGCATCGATTGAACCGTTGGCATCTCGCGGCAGACAAGGCTCCGTCCGGAGCTAGAAGGACTGTCGCCATTCCTAGTTCGTCTCGCATGACTAGTCTTTGCAGCGTAATTGCTGCAAGCCTAGAGAGTGTAGGTTGTATTATTTGTAGCATCCTAGCTTAGCTTATATAAAGGTCATCACACAGTGTTATTAGTAGTAGAGTTTATGTTTACAACATCACTTAGTCTGCGAGACTGCGTATCGGTGAAAGGTGGCAGGGGCCTAAAGAATGTTCTTCGAAAAAAGACCTAAGCCATGTTTTCTACCGATGCAGCAATTGCGAAGGAGGTTGATATTTGTCGGCGGGCATGGCAGAAGACAGACTAAATGGCATGATACAGAATACTAAGATCCGGATCTAGGCTTCGGAAAGCGGAATGGGTAGCCTCTAGGGGAAGCTATCCTTTTATTCGCTGGCTGTTACCCGAGAATGTAAATCCCAAGCCGAGGCGAGTAATGACGTCAGTGGTCAGTCCTACATGCCTCATCGCGGCAACGCCGTGTAGTACTTGATCTCATTTCGGAATACATCAGCAGTAACATCACCAGGATATTCCTACGTGGTCGAGCATGGCGAGCAAGAAGGCCAATGTAGAGGTACCGTTCATCATCCTCTCTCATCTACTCGGTCGTTCGCTAACTCCTAGAGTAGCTTACAAACGCCGAGCGCGTCCGCAACAACCAGCGGCGCTCTCGCGCTCGACGGAAAGAGTACACCACGGAGCTTGAAGCGAAAATTCAGCAGTATGAAAGCGGTTACGATCAAAATCCCATCAAATCAAGGATTGAAGAACTTGCAAAAGAGCTCGATACGCTCAAAAAGCTGTTGAACGCTCTAGGCCTGGATGACAAGTTCCTCGAAGCTCATGGCAGGGCTGCACGACTTGCTTCAACATGGGCACAAGATAAGCAGAGCCCCGAAGAGACGAACGACACGCCTTTGTCGTTGCCACAACCCACATCTCAGTTCACCAATGGACTACAAGCACATCCGGATCCCATCTTACAAAGTATCAACGTCGGAGCTCAGCACCCAATACCACGACGTTCCTTGGAACGCTTGAACCCATTGGACTCAACTCTACTTTGCGATCTCTTCGCCTTGCCAACGGACCCCACCTCCATATCAGACAGTCTTGAAACACCAAATCTCTTCGGCCAGCCGCATGCCCATTCTGCCATGGATTTAAGCACTAGCACCACTCCACTGGGGCTCGAGTCATCCACAACAACTCTCTGTACAATAGCCTTCTCACGCATCCTGGAAAGCAACCGCAAAGGTTTTAGCGCCACAGACCTGGATCTCAAATTACGGGTCGGATACAGATTCAGTGCCACACCCCTAGAAGGCTGTCGAGTGGACAATCACATCCTGTTGGATGTTCTTGCCGAGATATTGTAGTATCAACAAGATTGGTACCAGGTGATGCAGGAATTCATGAGTAGTCTATTAGTACAGCAGCTGGAAGGGCTTTGCGGTACTCTTGTTACGCACAAATATTCTATTAATGTCTTACAGTTATTCAGGCTCTTATGCATTATCTGTAGGCAGATCAAGAACTATTGCTGCACCTGGTGCTGCTGTTGGGCCTGCCGCTGTTTTACTCGGCGCAGCTGGAACATGAAGCCGCTCGCTATAATGTATGAGAGGCCTGCGAAGATTTGGGTATATAGGTATTCTCGTGAGGAACCGGGACGTCGGAGCTTTAGAGCGATGCCTTCGGAGACTATAGACGTAGCGGTATCAGACGGAGAGTTTTGCGCGCGCGAGGAGAGTTTCGTGCACGTACCTGTGGCCGGAATGATGACTGCAGCCCAGGACAAGGACAACAGCGATTGCAGGTTCTTAATGCCCGCCACCTCAACGCAAAGCGGGCCTATCGTCTACGCAAGTAGCAATGTTAGCGCACACAGCAAAATATCAAGTACAGATCCTAGGAGACGACCTACCACCCAAAACACTCCAACGGTCGCGCCACACAAGATGACGAAGAATACCGTAAGTCCATAGCCCGTAGCAGGCAGCCAGAAAGCAAAGCAAGAAACACCACAAACTAGTGTCAGCGCACCCGCCGTATCCATCCTACTCCACCGATCACTGAATATGCCGATAATTGGCCGTCCAATGGCCGTCCCTACATTCAGCAGCCCGATCATATCTGTAGCTTGAGATCGCGAGAGTCCGATAGATAGCGCGAAATCGGAGAGAGAAAAGAGAAGCACAACATATCCTAACATGCTAATAAACACCCAAGCCAGCAACAACAGCACCTCATACTGTCGCAAAAGCCGAGTATCAAAGCCTAACTGAGACGGTCTAATCGCCTTATTCCTATCGCGGATGAAGACCGTCGCAACAGTGTTAGCGGTAAACGCAATGATACCCGTAATCCTCAACGCCCAGCCAATGCCCAGTCGTTTGATGATAGCCTCAGTACCCCAAGCGAACGCCGCACCACCCGCCCCACTCCCCGCAGCACTAATCCCATTTGCGAGACTCTTTTTCTTGTCAAACCACTGACTCAGTACAGGCAAACAAGGGATGTACAAGAAACCAATGCCGACGCCGATCAACACGCCCTGCGAGATGTGCAGCTGCCAGATGCGGGTGGAGAAGGATGCGCCGAGGAAGCCGGAGAGTTGGAGGAGTAGGCCTATGCACATGGTGGTGTGGGTACCGAGTTTTCGGCATAGGACGGTGATGAAGGGCGCGAGCAGCATGGCGGTGGCGAAGTTGAGGCCGCCAATGAAGGCGTAGTCCCAGGTCGATGCTTCGGGGAAGATGTCGTCGGCTAGGTAGTGCGAGAGGTAAATTCCATATGCCTGTTGATGGTATGTTAATATAGTCCAGCGTGGAGGGATTTGTAACATATTCACGGAATTGAATGGAGAAAATAGCTCACTGAGACGGCTCCCCAGGTAAAGCAGTTAATTGTGAAGCATGCAGCGACGCAGACCCATCCATATCCGCCATCTGGAGGAGTGTCACCTCCTCTTGTATCCTCGTCAGTTACGTCATCGAACTGAGCTGGTGGTGAAATGGGAAGCATTGCGGGAGGCGCATGTTGATTAGACATTGGAGGACATGTACAGGTGACATGACTCCCGTGTGGTCTTTTCGCGTATAAATGTGATATGATTGGTATGTCACTACTGTGTTTACGGGGTGTCATTACGCCAAGATGATCGACGGCGCTAGTCCAGGAATACCTCTAGCCTTCGCCTTTGTCTAATGATGCCAATCATTCCCGTGCGCCGTTCCATATGCAATTGTTTGGATGACCGCTACGAACACAAGATGATTGTAATGATTGTAAAATAGCAATAGCGAAGGCTGTATCAATTCGCAGGTCCTGTGCCATTCGACAAGGCCGCATGCTGTGTATCTAGCGCCGGCTTATTTGCTTCCTTCTTCTGCTTCGCCCTCTTCTCCTCCCGCTCACTATACCGGTCGCCAAAGAGGTCAAAATGCGGCCTCATGACAATTGTGTACTTGACGAATTCCTCGATACAATCCACCAACCTATCCCTGTTCCCGCTAGGCATAAGCCTGCTTCCCTCCCCTTCTTCTGTGAAGTGCTTGTATGCCATGGGAATGGAGCTCTGGTTCGGAATGGCGAACATGCGCATCCAGCGACCCAGGATTCGTAGCGCGTTAACCGTGTTGAAGGACTGGGAGCCGCCGTTTACCTGGGCGATGGCGAGGGTGCGGCCTTGGGTTGGGCGCACGGAGCCCGTAGAGAGGGGTATCCAGTCGATCTGGTTCTTAAATACTGCCGTAAGAATGCCATGCTGCTCCGGGCTAATCCAGATGTGCCCATCACTCCATTTACTGAGCTCCCGCAGCTCCTGCACCTTGGCATGGTTGTGGTGGACGTCGTCCTTGACGGGCAGGCCGGCGGGGTCGTACATGCGGACGTCGCAGCCGAGCCGGAAGAGGATTCGGCTGGCCTCGTACGCTAGTAGGCGCGAATACGATCTGCCACAATTAGCTCGTCATGTCGACAAATCTTGTTAACTAGAGTTCCTACCTTTGTCGCATGCTGCCGTGTAAGACAACAACACGTAATCTGTCGTCGCCACGCTTAAGAACCTGTGTGTCCACCATCTTCAACGCCGTGCTGAGCTCGAGCTGGGCGACCCAATCCTGCTTCGCTTCTTCTCCATCGAGCAGAAACGGTCTGTAGCGTTTTCGAACGTCGGCATCGTCTTCTGAGGAGGGTATCGCCAGAGAAACGCCGTCGTATGCTGAGTCTACAGCGAGTTCAGTTCGAGCCCGCTCGGCTGACGTATTGTTTAGGTCTCCAAATCCTGTAGCCATGGTACGGGTGAACTGAGTAAAAGGGCACTGTGGGCGGAGTATAACGGTGCTGCGAACACTGATGCGTAGTATCGATCGGAAGACATTCATGGGCTTGCACAATTGTTGTAAGAGCGACAAAGCTTACGACACGAAAGAATCGAAGGGTGGGGACAAAAGCGCTAATTGTAGTGTTTTGCTAACAACCGCTGCTGGGGGTTCGCGGTATTCTTAGTTGTTCCAGGCTATGGAGCTTTTTTAGACGGGTATGTCATAGCCTCAGCTTCTAGCCAGCATGTCACTGCGAGCTTGTCATTGGTTGGAAATGTATGATTGACCCTGCGTTACTAGCGGCGGCTACATCATCAAAGCCACTATCACTTGCCAGCGTCACGCCTACCGCTCCGACACTTTTCGCAGCCTTATCAAACACCGTTCAAATGTCCACTAACCATCTCAAGGTGCCGAGAGATCCACTGCACTCACACTGCACTGCCGCTGCACTCCCGCGGTCCATAGCCACCCACGTGGCTCAAAATCCTCAGGCCTTCGCCCAGAACTCGTCGTCATACTCATCCATCCACTGCGCATACTCCCCACCGGCTTTTGCCCATCCCTTGATACCCTCAACCAGCACTAGACTCTGCATCTGCTCGTCTTTCTGGTCCTCGATATAATCGGCGAACCAGCCGGCTGCTCGGGTACCTCGTCCTTTAGAAGACGCTGCAATGTGGTCAGTCTTAGTTGACCATGGTGTCAAAAGACTCGTCAGACACTTACAGCAGTACCACATGATTTTACTCAGACCAGCAGCTTTAAACATGGCGTACAGGGTAGGCATGGTGGGGTATAAGCTCTGCGCAGGAAGATTGATCGAGCCGCGGATAGTCCCGCCCTACATCATAATGAGCTTCGTTACTCGTAAGATCATGGATATGTGTGTGGAAATTTACCTCATGGTCGTTGCGGCGCAAGTCTACCAGCACGTAATTCATGCCAGCCTTCTTTTCCCCAAGCTTCATCATCTCCAATACATCTTCTCGACGGATACCTTCCGGCTGCGAGTTTCTGGGCGCTGGATACGCAGCATGCCATGGCGCTGATGAAGATGCAGAGTTTGCCGTGGCCATTTTCACTGGAAGTGATGAGTGTGGAAGTAGTCGTAAAGCTCTGATAACGTGCGCCAGGATGAGGAAGGTGATTGCATGAGAGATAGTTGATCGTCATGGCAGAATGCTGTTATAGGTTTACCGGGCCTACTCCTAGTCTGTCATTGCTCGGCTCTGATTGGTCGGCCACAGCTTGTCTTTGTGCGAATAGCCAAGCTATCCAAACACAGGCAAGCCAAGGAGCGTAGGGCTATAGAGGAGCGTAAGAAGGATGAGTTACAACTCCAAAAGGCTGAGAGATCTCAGCTGAAAAAGCAAGCTCGCCTGTACAAGCTTCAGGTAGCTCAGGAGAAGCGTGTTGAACGAGAGGCAGCCAAGGCAGCGAGGGAGAAGAAGAAGGCCGAACAGGCAGCTGAACGCGCATGCCAAAAATCAGATCGCGACTCCAAAAAAGCTATCCAACAAGCCCAAAACAACAAGCATAAGGCCTCACAAGCCTCTAGCCAGAACAAGAAGCGTCAGAAACGCATTGTTGCTGCTGCAGCTGTTGAGGAGTCCCCAGGGGCTGCACCAGCTCCTCCACCAGTAACCACCCGCCGCGGCCGCAACATCAAGTTACCAAGTGTCGCACGGTTGAGTGCGGGTATTATAGACAGAATAATTAGAAGAGAGTGTATTGTTCTATTGATTGTAGCATCCTAGCTCAGCTTATATGAAAGTCATCGCACGGCGTTATTAGTAATAAGGTTCCCGACAGCGCTTGGCCTGCGACACCAAGAAAATATAAGTAGCACAGGTTGATCGCAAGCATCTGATTACTACAACTCTAGAAAATGTCGCGATAATAGCTATCCTGGGTAGCCCTACAGCCTCATTTTCATAAACTGATTGTGTTGTTGGGGTGCGCATTACATGACTCCGCGCATTGCGCGCACGGACATGGTAACGGTACACTGTCACACCCCTCGGGTGAAACACATGCACATTGCAACTATCTCCCCGCCGCGAAACGTTTTCCCAAACTGAACGCGCCAGACTATTTACCCTCGAGTACTCTCCAAGCACCTCGAGTCAGCACCAAAGCCTAACCGTTCGCACCCCATTCCTCCTTGCCCATGTCGCGCATACTACCCTACAAATGAGGTGTATTCAAGGCCAAGAGGCACAACAAACCGGAAATCCCGCCTGCCACAGGCAGTGTCAGCACCCAACCGCCGAAGATCCAGAGTAGCTGCCTCCAGTTGACGGCGGCGAGGTCATAGTTCATCAATGCCACCCCGATTGTAGAGCCGACCAAAGAATGCGTCGTCGATACCGGCAGGCCTAATCGACTTGCAATCAGTACCGTGATCGCAGCTCCAATCTCTACGGCAAAACCACGAGTAGGCGACATTCGTGTAATCCTGTTACCAAGACTACGAACAATGTGGTATCCGTAAATCCAGAAACCGAGGCCAAGAAGAACACCAGCAATGGCAAGAAACCAGACGGGCGTAGGATTCGAAGTGCTGACAACGCCAGCACGGTACGTTTCATAGACGGCGGCCCAGGGTCCGACAGCATTGGCCACATCGTTGGAGCCATGAGCGATAGACATCATCATTGCCGAGATGACCTTTACAAAGTTAGCGAATTAATGACGTAAAGAAGACGGCAGCAGCGTTTGGCTTACTTGGCAATAGGTCCAGAGGTGCTCAACTCGGATGTCGTACACCTTGGCCGACGAGTGTACGGCATGGAGCAGACTTGAGTCATGACTGAGGACATCACGTGTCACACCTTGAAGTGTGATAAATTTGAACCAGCCCCACCATTTAGTGGGATTGGCCCAGGAAAGGTGCTGGACAGGGCCAACGAAGCGCTCGTATGGCTCTGGCATCGGCTTACGTGGAACGTGGGTGACTGATGGGCTTTCCACATCGGCGGTCTTTGACGGATCGAGCTCCGTAGGGGTATGACCCTCCTTTTTTGGTCCTTCGTCCATTTTGTTGGTGTGTGCTGCACGGTAAGTATCAGCGTAATAGTTGTCGACGTAACTATCACCCTTAGATGGCCAATAGAGGGGTGGACCTTCCTTCCTTAAGAGGGGACCTAGAGGTATGTGGTAGGCCTTAACCTGTGTGTCTTTCTTGAGAATACGTCGCTCGAAATAAGGCATAAAGAACACATAGGCGATGAGGAGGCAAGCCCCAAATACTCCAAAGATAATCCCGATAGCTTTTCCAGCTCCGAATTCTTCCAGCGAGGGCGCGGTCGGTGCCTCAATGACAATAAAAAGGGCCAGGATTGCTCCGGTAAGGGCAAGGTAGATGGGGATAAGCCGCATTGCCCATTTCAATGGATCTTTACGCTCGAGGACCGAGTACTTGACAGTCGCAAAGACGATAGCTCCAAAAGCACCTGAAAGCAGCGGAGATATAAGCCACGAAGCAGCAATCTGCGAGACGGATCCAGACTTCCATGCCCATTTGATCGGTGACTGAGCGGCAATGCCGGCACCAATTAGGGATCCGACAGCAGTGTGAGTCGTTGAAACAGGGAAACCCAAGCGAGTAGCCAGCATAAGCCAACTTGCGTTGCCAACCTCGGCACAGCTCATAACCAGCATCAACGCAGCCGGTCTGTCTGTGAACTTGTCGATACTCATGATGCCGTTCTTGATTGTAGAGGTGACACGAGCACCGAGAGCTACAGCGCCCACGAATTCCGTCACTACCGAAATGATGCCCGCTTGTGCCATCGTCAAGGTCCGGGCTGCCACAGAGGTAGCGTATGAGTTGGCGACGTCATTGGCGCCATTACCAAACGATGCAAAGACAAAAGCGATGGTGGCGATGGCAAGGATCCAGTCGTATTTGGCGGTGGCTGGGGGGGCCATCGTGCCGCTGATGAGAAGACGCAGTGGAACAAAAGTAAAAGGATGCGCTTGATGCAAAGCGGTCAGTGGAGATAGATTGGTTACTGCCTCGAAATTGATGTACCGCCAGTGTTTATATAGCGAAAGTCTTCCCGCTACCACTTTATTGCAGTCTTGCTGAATCCGTGGCGTAGGGAAGGAAGGCAAAAACCACGAAGAGTTTTTCAACCAAACAAAGAACGTGTAGAGCCCACGAGCTGTGAGAATGACCATTTTAAGGTGTAGATATATCTTGCTAATCATATCTGGCGAGTGACAGGCATATCCACATACGCAATCCAGAGCCTGGATACATAGCTGTCTTGGCCTCGTGTTATCTTCCCACATGAAGCACCCAATCCGCACTCCAAGACTTCCAGATTGGCATTGCCAAGTAAAGGTCTGACCCGGATCAAGCGCATCTGACCACGGCTATGTAGAGCGATCAGAGTCAAAATGATTGGCTAACGGGTCACTGTTTTCAGCCAGACGGCTCTGATACTTCATAAGACTTACCTCCAGTAAACATCGGAGCTTACAACACGCGTTAGGGTTTTTACAATTGATCAGAAGTGGAGCCAGCATAAGGTAAGTTTGGCAGCACTTTGGTCGGAAAAAGGTATAGTAGCTAATCTTTCTAGGCTGAGCCCTCGGACTATAGAATCGAGAGCAAACCAATTCAAATGCCTTCCCCGATCTCTATAGCCCAGTCTGCTCCTCGGACGCAACTTCACAAAGCGCATCGCCAACAACTTAAGCAAGCCGTGCACAAGAATCAAGGAACACAAATGAGATCAAACCCATCATCTATGCACGTAGATTTTGGTTTGTTGCGGCTTCTCCTCATACAATCATTCTACTAAACGTACTACGTAGTAAATGATGACCGTCTCGGCCTCCTTGCCGCCAAATCAAATTACGAATGCGTTGCTGAAGGAAGGCACACTGAGCTTGGTCTCCACTTCCCCGACTCGATGGTTGCGAGTATTGCGTCCAAGCGTACTACCCACAGCGCAGCGGAGAAGCGTCAAAGAGATCGTTTAAAGTCTGCGTTCGAGGATTTGGCCGAAGTCCTATTCAGTGGCAACGCGGCAACTACCACTAGTGGCAACAGTGTAGTTCTGTACCAAGACGATCAGAGCAATTCGGCGGGTGGAGGATCAAGCGACCTAAAAGATGGCGGCAGGAAAATCAACGTTTCCAGGGTCAGATTGATCGAGCTAGCTGTTGAACGGATCAAGGGTCAATGCAGCCAGACTGGAAGAAAAAGTCAGGGCTGAATTATGGAAGTAATTACCATATTTTCGCTGAAAGAAAACAAGTAGAGTGTCTGCTTGCCGATCGAGGCACTGCCAATCTCAGGCAGTTCAATATTGTCACATAGTCTTCAATTCAATTTTAACTGGATCCAAGAGGTGGTCAATCAAGACATCACCATCAGCTGTACGTGACCACAGTGCTTCAACTCAGGCTCTATTTGGGTCATTGAGATGAACTAGCGTCTAGATGATACAAAAAGCAGCTGGAACACCACCAGCCACCGGTCAACTGAGCATAATACCCCTATTGATGTGACCTCATTACGCAGGACGTGCTGTACGAAGGGAGGGAGAGTGAGTCACTCCCCGCTTGTGATTGGTTCCGTCGTTTTCTTGATTAGGGTAGGAGCTCATGATATCGGTCGTTCGGGGAAAACAGGCCCTTGACGACGAACTACCGACCATAGATTCTAATGCTTGGCATGATGAATCTACCGGCTCAATGAAACTCAGCCGTTGACAGGGAGAAATGGTGGTGAGTCACTCTAACAATGTGATTGGTTCACGAGTGCCAAGTCGAGAGGCCTAGCCGCACTAACCACACCTGCACGTGACGGCGTTCTCTTAGCTCCAGCGTAGCAACATGACGGCCTATAGCAGTTTCTCCCCATAAATGTCACCGCTGTAGAACTGATGCATAGAGGTAAAGGAAACGTAGGCTACAGTCGCAATTTTCCGGGTTTGCATGTTACTCGCTTACCCCACCGTTCCACTATAACGTAAACTCTCTGCAAGTGCTCAGATTTGAGACCAGACATTATACAGCAGAACAATACCCTATTCAGCAATGGCTGGCTCCAAACACGTTTCAGTGGACATCGAACTCTCAGCTTGCAACAAATGCGGTCCAAGTCCAAATGACTTCGGCTGTGTACGACCAGGGAACTCGCTAGAGGGCTGGATTCGTGTCTCATCGCCATCGGCACTACATTTTACAAACATCGAGGTTTCCCTTCAGGGTATATCAGCCTTCTCTACACAGTTCAAGGGCGTAATGTCTGATTGCGGTCGTATTTTAGGGTTACAGTCTACACTCGTCCGCTCTGTTTGGGCTCTTGACACCAATGAGTTAATTTACTCACCCAACTACAATGATTTAGTCGTCAGAAAGTCTACCGATCTGGTCAGTACTCTCTTCGCTTGAGAATGTATGTTGACCGATGCAGTTCCTCGACGTCAACTATCAGGCGTTGCTCGATTCGTTTCAAGTGCATAGGAAAACGGATGGATCAACCGCGTATAGTTTCCCCTTCTTTTTTATTATGCCCCGTGGAACTGAGGGTCCGAATGACACGGAGCCGTTGCTGTGTCGAACCTTCCCTCCATCTTTTAAGACCACGGCCCTGTATTCGGACCCGCTCTCTATAATCTACAAACTCCGTGCCGTCGTTCAATATCGCAAGAAGCATGATGCAGTCGCAGCGGTACCAGAGAATATTGAGAAAACCGAGAAAACTCGACTCATCGACTTCCTCCCGTTTTCCGACGTCCAACCACCAAAACATCTTGCTAGCTTCGGCGATGAGTTCGTCGTACAGGTGACCTCACCAATATGGAAACATGCCCTCGGCGGCCGCCTCGGATCTCTTACCACATCGACTAGCGAACCACTTCCACTAGCCTACTCACCCTACCAAGATCAGCCTTCTACTGATTGCAAACTATCCATCACCGCTCACGCTCCATCTGCAACTCAGCGTTTGCGAGCTATTTTGTTGGAAGTGAAACCTGCGATTCGGGTGAAGACCTTCTACTCTGCAGAGCCGATGCCATGTCTGCCGAAGCAGACATTCCTCGCACAAAATCCTTCGATTCAACTCCATGACGAGACCATCAAACTCGGCTGTAAGGAATACAAGCAACTGGACTGGACATATTATCCTCGGCCTGAGACGGATGAGCCACCACCATATGAAGATGCTGTGAGGGATGATGCGCAAGAGATCAGCTCCACTAGTTCGAACCTCATGGGCAATAGAGCTGACGTGTGGAAAGCATCAGTTCAAATTCCGATCCAGCCATCAGTCACACTACTACCAACATTCTGTAGCAGCCTTATCTCGAGATCGTATTCTTTGCTTCTGCACGTGAAAGTGGCCGGATTACGTACTCGGAGGGCCAATTTTGAGATTCCTCTTCAAGTGGTATACCTAAGGCCTTCTCAAGCTCAGACGAGTGCAACTCATGAGGAGTCAAGTTTCTGCATTGGTCCCGTTGGTCTACTTGCACGAGATAATGTATGCTGCGCTTCAAACGGACCAGAACCTCACTAATGTGTACAGGTATTACCTACATATGACGGGCGAACGCGGCGCTATTATATGGAATAATCTTTTAACTCAGTCAAAGCTTAACGATTGGTCTGCATATTTCACTCACTGGTGCCAAAGAGGACCCGGCTTTGTTTAATGTCCCCTAAGTGGGCAAGACTTTAACCAGTCCACTACTGCACAGCCTCATCGTATGTACTCGCGACGGTCGGGAAAACATGGGGTTATATCCTGCGATCACCTGCAAAGCTGGGTCAGCATGATTGTAACAATCAAATGTCATTCAGGTTCTCCATTTCAACTAGAGTCACCGTGCAGCTTTACAGCCGGCGCCAGAATAACTAGAATTCATAATATAAAGTCTTCTTCAAGCACCTGGCTGACTCGGTCCATACTCCAGGGCAAGTCCTTGGCTGCTCACCCTGTGGCTTGCCGTGGGATCATAAGCTAAAAGCACAACGCAACTTAGAATAATGAGATACTGGTCCAATAAGTTACCAAGGTGCTCGAACGTCGTGTCGTTCAGTTTTCCGGATGAACTTCTTCGCCACCTTCAAGTTGCGAGGAAGCGTTGACCAACTCATATTGGAGCTTCACCACCTTTGACTGTGTAGACACGTAGCACAGACGGCCACTTCCGCTATTGCAGAGCATCTTCAAAACGCATTGAATCTACTCATAACAAGGCTGTCACGACCCTGCCTAGGCGTGACTTACGGTAGGCCTCATCGACGCCCTCACCACGCATTAGTGGTTCCATTCTCAGGTTTCCTACCGCCCTCCCTCTGCACCGCGGCCTATTCTTCCTATATCGCGACTTTTTTACGACATAGTGCGCAAAATAATCTAGCGCTGTGGCGAAGGACACCTGTTTTATGACGAGAGGAGGCTCTCCACAAGCCAGGCGCAGCAACACCGACGCCATGGTAATTTTAAGGTGTGAAGGTGCCTGTGTGGTTAGTAATACCCACAGCACAGAAAAATTATTATTGCACAGCATAAATAAGGCAGAGACTGAGTCTGGCTGGTTTGAAATCGAAGTAACGTTACAGGTGGTCTTTTCCGCCATGAGGGAGAAGGGCTTCCCGGGACACTGAGATGGACGTCAAGCTAATACCAGACATCTTCTTGATACTCGTCCATTAGCCTTGTGTACTCAGCTCCTGAATTTGCCCACCCTTTGATACCTCCAAGTAGCATGAAACTTCGAATGCCTGGGTTCCCTTGCTCTTTGATATAGTCGTCCATCCAAGCGGCAGCACGAAGTCCCCGATGCTGCGAGGAGCCTAGGCAGTGTCAGTTGCTTTACGTACATGGCAATTGATGCTATAACGTACCGCAGTACCATATGACGCATTTGATTTCAGCGCTCGTGAATAACGTATAGAGTGTAGGAAGAGTGGGATACAAACTCTGTGCTGGTAAGTTGATCGAACCGCGAATAGTCCCGCCCTATGAGATACAGGGTCAGCATTGCGAAAAGATTTATCTCAGTTCTGTGTTACGTACAGTATGATCAACCTGGCGGAGATCAACGAGAACGAAGTCTTTTCCCGGCTTTTGCCCTTGCTGTAACATCCAGAGGACTTCATCGCGAGATATCGCTGACGGAGTGTGGTTCTTCGTGGTGGGATATTTTGGATCCCAAGGAGAATCAGGATCAATTGGTAGTGATGGGCAGCTCATGGCGATGTTGTGGGTACACCGATATGTGAAGAGTGGATCGCGCTTGGCTAACGAGAAGATTGGGGAATGGAGCCAGGGGGAACGAAGTCGCGAAGTACGGAGCAGTGGGGAACGGAACCACGACATGGATTGAAGCGATGGATGAAGAGATCAGGTGTAGGTATTAGCTTTGTTGTTCCAGCGATGCATTTCTGTACTGTAAAATTTATGTGTTCTAGGGAAGGCTTGAATGTCACCCGCTGCGATTGATTGGTTGAGCACAAACGCAAGCATTGACCGCATGCACCTACGTATCACTGCCTGAATTCATGACACGCGCTTTACTTTAAGAGTAACCTTAAGGCGCTAGGCAGATTCGCTCCATGATGCTGTCTTTGTTGGGTCAATGCGTAGATTTCCCGCCAACCTTCATTGGTGTTTAGCGATGCCGGTAAGATTAGTGTCATAGTAGACTAACTTTTAACGTAACTCCTAGTCCTAGAAACATCTCATATTCTACAAGCACCCAAACTACGAACTGCTACTTTTGAATCACTATACTATTATGTATGATCGCCTCCCCGCGATCGCATGTGGTAGGTAGGTAGCTCCTATGCACGTTGGTAAACTGCTAGTATATATCACAGTGAAACTTACATCTTGCTGTGCAAGTAAGCCTTCAGGGCCAATGCAGGATCTCGATCTCTCATCGTGGACTGAGTCGTTCCTAATCTGGGAAGGTCTCAGGTAGACAACCTGGAGAGGAACCTCAAAATCGGCTTTCCGAGTACGTATCCCGGCGATTCTCACACGCAGGATCAAGGAGTACGATCTCGAAATGAGACTCCCACAGAAAGTTGGCAGTATCGTTTCATGAGGCTGGATCGGAATGCGGACAGACGCTTTCCATTCATCCACGCTGTTGTCTCTGAGGTTCGAACCGGTGGAGGTCATCTGTGGCGCACCGTCTAACAAAGCATCTTCATACCTTGGCGGCTCTTCCGTCTCAATGCAAGGCCTGTGCCTCCAATCTAGTTGCGTAAAATCCGTGTGCTCGAGTCTGATAAGCTCATCGTGGAGCCGAATCGATTGGTTCCGAGTAAGGAACGTCTGCTTCGGAAGGCACGGCATCGGCTCTGAAGCGTAGAACGTCTTGACTCGGATCGCAGGTTTCACATTCAAGGATATGGCTCGCAAACGTTGCACGGCCAAAGGGGCGTGAGCGGTTATAGAGAGCGTCAAGTCGGTACAAGGGCGGTTTTCGTAGGGCGAGTAGGCTAATGGCAGTGGTTCTCTGGTGCTCATGGTGATCTCTCCAAGGCGGCCTCCCAGAGCATACTTCCATATTGGTGAGTTCGTCTTCAAGACAAACTCCTCGGGAAAGCTAGCAACATGTGTTGGTGGCTCGACCTTTGTATACGGAAGAAACTCGATGGTCTGGCTCTTTTCAACCTTTTTCGCAGTCTGTGGTATCTCTGAGGATGTATCTTGCTCGTTCCTATATCGCACAACGCCGTGGAGTTTGTAGGTGACAGAGATCGGATCCGAATATAGTCCTTTTGATCTGAAGGTCGGAGAAAGGATTCTACACAGTAGGGGCTTCGAGGCGCCTAGGCCTTCGGTGCCGAGAGGGATAACGAAGAAGAAGGGAAAGCTGTACGAAATCGATCCATCTTCACGTAAAGCCCTTTGGGAAGAGTCGAGCTTCACCTCGTAACTGACGTCGAGGAACTGCATCTGTTAACGCATGTCTTCCCAGTCGGCCAATGGATTCACCAGAACGTTAGACTCTGTCACGACTGGGTGATCGTAGCTTGGTGAGTAAGCTACTAGCTCGTTGGTGTTGGGAGCCCAAGCAGAGCGGATAAGCGTAGACTGCAATCCTAAAGCGCATTTGCCAGTCAGATGCAACGATCTGGGAATGCTAGATGTAGCCTGACTTACCTTGGAAGAAGATCTCGATGTCCGTAAAACATAGTGCTGATGGCGACAAGACACGAATCTGCCCTTCAAGCGAGTCTCCAGGTCGCAGGCAGCCATAATCGTTGCCATGCGGGCTGCATTTATCGCATGTTAAGACTTCAATATCCACTGAGACATCATTAGAACTAGCCATAACTAGAAAGGAAAACCGTTTGGTTGTGTGGTGTGCGAGATCTGGAATCCTTTGAGCACTCTGTGCATGTCACCGCGACGTTGTGATAGGTTGCCTTGTCGCGAGCTTGGCCCTTAGTCACGTTCGCTACGCACCGCCTTTGTCAGCTTGCATTATATGTCGCCCAATAAGCATGCCTTAGTCCATAATGGCCAATCAGCGCAGTGTAACATCCGATCCTAGAGCTTCATAGATGTTGAGGGTAAGATGACTTGCGAAGGGTACAGTACCACTTCCGTAGGCTCGCGGCAGACTATGTACAATGATTGCAATCAACATAAGACCAAAATGTTCCTACTGCGAGCATCACATAGGCTGTAAAGCATGCATGCATAAGGGATTTGCAGCCTCAAAACAACTTAGGATTCAGCATGTACTATTATGATCTATCTTGAGCTATGTAACTGAACAACTTGCACCAGCCGTGCACTACTAAACACTCTTCCAGGCCCATCTGCTACCCATCCACCTTACTAGATAGACCAACCCGATCAATACAGGTACCTCAATGAGAGGTCCGACGGTAGCAGCAAGCGCTTGGTCGCTGTCAGGACCATAAGTGGCGACAGCAACAGCGATTGCGAGCTCAAAGTTGTTGCTTGCAGCTGTGAAGCTCTGGGTTGCCCCCAACTTGTATCCATATCCGAGCTTGTTGCATACGAACAGCGTGAAGAAGAAGATAACAATGAAGTATACAATGAGTGGTGCGGCGACTCGAACGACAGAGACGATTTGGTGGACCACTTGGCGGCCTTGAGAGGCGAAGAGAACGAGGATGGTGTAGAGAAGGCCGACGAGTGACCACGGAGCTAGCCACTTCAGGAACACCTTTTCGTACCATTCTGCGCCAACCAGCTTCCGCAGTATGAGGCGCGTCAAGATTGCAGCGCCTAAGGGGATGCCAAGGAAGACTGCAACGCTTGTCGCAACCTGCTCATAGGAGACGGCGACGGTCCCAGTTTCGCGGCTGATGACCTTAATGAAAAGGATGGCGAGCGGAGCGTAGAGTATCATCTGGAGAATGGAGTTGACTGCCACTAAAATGGCACAATATTCATCGTCGCCACCTGCAAGTCCGTTCCAGATTAGAACCTAGTGAATATAAGCACTATGTCAGAAAGGAAGTAGAGATGTATGAGCGTACCATGGCGATGCACCTCGCCAGGCCCACCAAAACCAGTCCTGTTCGCAAGTCGCTCCTGTCGGGTAAAAACGCCCATGCAAGACCGAGCTATAGTGAGTTAGTCGAAGCTAGGTTGAACAGAAGATGAGACGTACCATGAGGAGTGGAGCGACAATCCAGTTCATAAGTATACTGAACCCAATCTGAATCCAGAGAGCGCGAGTTCGGAAGAGACGGTGCAATGACTCGTAGCGAACTTTACAAAGAATCGGATACATCATGACAAGCAAGCCCACAGCTATCGGGATTGACACGCCAACGAACTTGCCCTTCTGGAGCGCTGGCCCCGTTTCTTCGACAAAATTTCCCAGAAGGACACCGATAATCATAGCAAGAAGGATCCACACCGCAAGAAAGCGGTCAAGCCATCCTAGTCCTTTGATCACCGAGCCCTTCTTTACTGCTACTTGTTCCTCGAGCCGCAGCTTCTCGAGATCGGCGTCGTTGTGAGGAGAGACGGGTTCGGTGTCGATGGGTTGGGGCCCTTCCGTTGACGATAACGTCATCTTGATTGCTTTTGAAGGTTGTAGCGGGGAGATGTGTTGTTGTAGGTACAGTAGCAGAGATGCTATCAGCTGGCCTTCACAAGTATTTGAGTGAACGGAGATGATAGTCAGGTCCAACAGTAGCTCCTTCTTATATTCGAGGTCGTAAATGACAACGACACACAGTGGTAAAGATGCTGTAAAGCTAGCTTTAGTCTCGACCAATCATCATTCAGCAGTGACTCACTGGTATGAGCTTGTGCGGATATACGGGGGCGATTGCTCTTGCATAACATTACAATGATCCCCAAAGATTTTCGCATGATTTTTCTTGAATCCGCTCGCAAATGCTATAGACGCTTTCAAACAATGGCTACCGCAAGCGTCACAGGTCCGCCCCCGCCATGGCACGCTGCGTACCCAGCACCCTGAAATACCCCTGCCACTATTTGTCAGGAAGATGTTCTCGACATGATCAAGCAGAGCGCAGAGATTTCCAGCAGAGACTACATCCTCATCGATTTGCGTCGCAACGACCACGAGGTACGCAAGATTGATCGTCACCTTACGCTTCTGTGGAAAGAGCTAAGTGAACTATGGCGGCACCATCCGCGATTCGATCAGCCTTCCTGCACAGAGTTTGCACCTTACCATACCAACCCTGTACACACTCTTCAAGAACGCAGACCTCTGTAAGGTAGTCTGGTATTGCTGTATGTTCCCTCTACTCATTCCATAGCGGACCGGCACAAAGAAGCGCCCTCCTTCAACACATTTATGAGGCTGACCAATTTTGGCGCATTCTAGCTTCCTCAAAAGGACGCAACAATCGTGCCGCCGGTTGGTTTGCCGACTATATTGCGGATCAAGGGGATGGACAACGGCGGGTGACGAGTACGTCCAGTGGATGATCGAATACGACGCTAAGGTCTGGTCGCACTCATGAAGTCTTTGTTGATGCAGACTATCTACAGGTCTGCAGGCAAAACAACAGGCTATTCCACTGATAAAATATGATGTTATTCAGGAGAAGCGTGCAACATGGGTTCGAGCAACGACTAGATTGGTGGCTGAGAAACCAGACTATCTATTCTGATTGCGGCTGCGGGTGGGGGTCCTTCTAGCGAATCACACAGGCCTGCTAATTCAATGATGCCATTGCATATCGAAAGGATGAAGATGCACGATCCGATCATGTTCGAGCGGAATAAAGATGGACAGAAGGGGGTGCTGCGCATGTCTGGTGGACGTATGAACTTGATGCGGATGCCTGGCTGAAGACCCGGAGATTCTTGAGTCATATTGTGGGCACCGTCTCGGCGGTCACTGCCCTCTTCGTTGATATCTGTTCTATTCGTTCAGCTAATGCCAGTCGTGGTACAACTGTTACAATAACCTTTAGAAGATGTCATAGAGACGTGTTCCGTCGATAAGAGCAGGCTAATGATGTCAGGGCTCGTCGGACTTCTCCAGCGAATAGTGCACAGCGAGTGACATACTACTCGCTTAGCAGTGACATTCCAAACTGGGCTTCAGATCTTCTGGCCAAGAAAGTCTATCGCCTTCCAGAGCGTCGGAGGATTACAACGATACCCAGGAAAACTGTAGGGCTGACGACGCGTCCATGCATTTCCTTTCGCGGAACATGCGGAGGGCCCAAATACTTCTAACTACTTCTATGCTTCTAAGACAAAAATCAGAGACCAACCTCTTAACCTGGATTCGGTGATGTCATGCGAAGCCGCCGCTACGATCTTCACCGAAATGCGTGGAGATGGAGAATGGATATAGTTCGAGCTTTGCTTGGGTGCAATGGCTGGAAAGAGTGTAGTGTCAGAACTTCTACGGTACGCCATGGTGGCAAAACATTCATGCAGATGAAAGGTGTCTGCCTTGTAAACAGACTCATCTGCCCTCTCATCCGATCAAGAACAGTCTGGCAGGAGCTCTTCGAATCACTAGCGTCAGGAACAGCGCTAATAGGACGAGCGACAGCACAGTGAACAACGCGCTTTTCGGCGCCGGAGACTAACGTGTTAGGAGAAAGAGAGCTGTAGAATACATGCGCGTTGCACTTGTTGGTATTCAAGAACTAGAGACAATCCAAGGGTCCGGAAAAGAAAGTGTCCCGTTACACCGTGCGTCCCGGCACGCTTGGTTAGACATTACTCTATCCCACAATGGAGAATGAGATTCGAGCCCAAGCAGCTTCCCGCTTCCTTTAGTGGTAATGGCAACGGTTTCTGGTTTGCAGCTCCACGAAACACCTCACTTTCATGACCTGACGGATTCTTAAAGCTGTTCACCCAGCAACAAACCGTACATGCGCCGCAAAACTGGCAACAAACTTCGCCAAAGTTGCGACATCAGGTCGTGAATCTGGTCAATATGGCGTTGAAGTACGAGAGGATTTCTGAGGCGCTGGAGGAAGTTATTGAATGGCGTATCGAGACACCCTTGAACCGTCGATGCAGGGTAAGTTACACGGAACTGTACTCAAAACGACGCGAATGCTAAGCGTGAGGGCCGTGTGATGGTCTATCCCTATAGCGTGGAAACTTTTGCATTAGCTGTAGTCATCTATTGCATTGCGTGTTATCTTTAAAGCGTGCTTGTATGGCCTTGCTGAGCGTACTACAGTGAACTGTACTATCATTAACAGAATCCGTAGAAGAAGCCGATGTGAACTGCTTCTCTAGTGTCAACGTGACGCTAATCAAGGCGCGCTGCTTCTTCTCGCGCCCCTAGACGTCTTTGCCTGCATTCACAACAACCTCTAGATTCTGGACTATGATCTTGTTATAATGTCCACTTGAAGCAGCCTCAGCACTCTACTAGGCCTGGCAAACGAGTTGGCTCATGATGGAATTTCGGCTAATGAATCTAGACAAAGAGATCAATCGGCTAGGGAAGAGATGGACTGTATCTTAGAAAATGAACTGACTGTGGCCTTGGATTCTTCCAGGTGCGAACTTGTTGAGAATGTTAGTATGAACACCCGCGTAGTTACGCATCAGCTTTTGCAGACCACAAAACGCGTAGAAAAGGCAAAAGCTTGCAGTCAGCTGCAAGGTTTCGTTATTGTCTCTAAGATGTCCAAAAGAGAGTACACTGCGTGTTCCTCGCGCTTTGTGTTGCGTCCTTGTGCCCACTGCATTCGTTCCTCCACAGTAAAGCATATCATTAGAATGCCTTCAAGCGCTTGCACAGCGATTCCAGTAATCTCATAAAGAGTCTGCTTTAAAGACTTTTTATTACCAAGCCGCTCTCCATCCTTAGAGAAAAACCTAACAGATGCTGGAGCGATAAGCTCTTAAAGTGTCCAGCCTCGCGTAAACCACCCGCTCTTCCTAATCACAGGTTTCCGCTTCCTGTGCGCATCGCTGCCTTCTCCGGAAGGTCTGCTGGAAACATCAGAAAGATACACGTAGCACCTCTCTGCGTTCTTGTACCAGCGAAACATGGAAATGATTGCTTCCGAAAGTTCTGCATTGTTCGACTTGTCAATGCAGCACGTGTCTATCTAGAAGTAGTCCAGACTATCGCGCTTAGCCTGTGATGCGCAGAAGTGGATCTTGTTGTATCCTAACTTCTTCTCTCTGCTGTTCTTCATCAGATCGTTGAAGGTTACTTCTTGACCCTCGTCCCAGGTATAAGAGAGTATCGCGTATAGCGGGATCTTGTCATCGCCGACCAAGTCCTTTGTTAAGGTAAGCTCGTTGCTATTTATATAGTGTAAAAGTCGCATCGCGTCGTGAACGGAGGCTGTAAGGCTAGCAATGGCGGCAGAAGGATCGATGGGGCATAGCAGCCCGTCCGCCCGTGAGGGACAACGGTCGTCGTTGGTAGGGATGGCGGACGGAGTACGTCGACTTAGATGTTGGATTCGAATCTAACGTCGCAGCTGCGCCGAAGGTTGGTGATGGCGACAGGCTGTGTCGCGGGTGCGCGGGCTGGGAGGCGCAGCCTAGATTGTGAGCGAGGCTGCAATATGTTGAGCAGCATGCTTGCTTCAGCCACGCTAATAGACGGGCAGATACTTCAGGCTTGGTTCGTCGAGACACGGCAGTAAAGGAAGCGGAATATGGACACATCAGGCTAGCTCAGCTAACAGGAGCAGATGAGGTCATGGTCACCGGACATCGATACGCGGGTATAGACGCTCAAGAAGAATCAGGCACGTGGCAGTCGTTAGGCGCTAGACACGTGCCATACACTAACCGTGCGCGTGACGAGCCACTTCGCGTGACGAGCCACCCCACCATCCCAACATTGCGCGTCGTCCCATCTTCAACGCGTCATAACTCAACCACCATGACTGCAATTCAAGAAGCAATTGAATATATCGAATCGCGTGAAGCTGGAGATAAATTCTCGTACCGCTAAGTTGCAAAAATATTCGGAGTTAATCGAACAACGCTGTCGCGGCGGCACAAGGGTTTGCAGGTCTCCCATAAAGCCAAATGCGCAAATCAACAACAACTCAACCCACAACAAGAGGATGAGGTTGTCGGTTACATAGAGAGGGCTACAAGAGATGGTCTACCACCTACACAGGGTATTTTAAAAAAATTCGGAAGCGCTGTTGCGCAGCAAGAGGTCTCCGATAGCTGGGTTAACCGGTTTCGCCATCGCCATCCCGACGAGCTCACCACCAAATAGGACACCAGTATCAATCGTAAGCGTCACCTAGCCGACAGCAAGCATAAATACGAGTTTTACTTCAACTTGCTGCACTCCAAGATAGAGGAACACGGGATTAACGAGCGCAATACGTACAATATAGATAAGAAGGGCTTCTTTGTCGGTGTCGCCAACCGCAGAAAGAGGATCTTCTCCAAGGCAGTTTGGGAGGCGGGAGAGCGTACCCAGGCGATAAGGGATGGCAACAGAGAATAGATTACGCTGTTAGCTTGCGTATGTGCTTCTAGAGATGCATTGCCGCCCGCTCTCATCTACCAGGGCACCTCCGGGGTTCAATCAAGCTGGGTTCACGACCTTTTAGAGGCCGAACAACACTAAGTATTTGTATCCCACTCGGCTTCGGGATAGTCCAACAACGAGTTGGGTCTCGCCTGGCTTCAACAGGTGTTCGAACGTCATACAGCAGCCAAAGCTCGCCGTCAATAGCGCCTTCTGATCCTTAACGGGCACGCTAGCCACCTCACGCCCGAATTTTTGGAGTTTTGTGAAGCCAAACGTATCATAGTTATAGTGTATCCTCCCCATTCAACCCACAGCTTGCAGCCGTTGGATGTAGTTCTCTTTAGGCCGCTTTCGAAGCACTACACTAAGGAGCTTACCCAACACCTCCAGCGAACCCAAGGCCTCTCAAGAATCACCAAATAGGACTTCTATCGTCACTTTTAGCCAGCTTAGAGCTCTACAATAACTCACGATCTCATATTAAAGAGTTTTCAAGCTACAGGCGTATAGCCGATAGACGCAAGCCGGGTACTTCAACGCTTCAACAACAACCCACAACAACAAGATAACGACCCAGGAATTAGGGAGCAAGGCGACAGCGATACCTAGCCTCAGCTGCGCAAAATTTTTAACGCTGCGGTGGCTGACAAGGCCAAATTTAAAGCCAAACGGCTATCCTAAGGCCTGCACTCGCTGCAGGTCAACAACAAGCTTCTCCGCCTCCAAAACGCGGAGCTACGCGCTGAACTCAACCTCATTCAAAAGCGCCCGATCAAGTCTACAACACTAACTACACGAGAAGGTGACGAGTGGCACGGCGGAGCTGTATCCTACAGTCCCAGGAAGCTTGCCAGCGAGCGCGCGCGCAAGGCCGCAGAACTGGACGAAGCCGCGGAGCTACAACTCCAAAAAGCTCGCGATAGAGAGATCAAAGCGGCAGAAGCAGCTAAGAAAAAGCGCTCTCAAGAAGCTGCAAAGGTGGCTCGACAACAAGCCAAAATTGCTAAAGATGCAGAGCAGTTACGGCAGCGTGAGGAGAAAGCTGCCGAACGGGCACTCAAAAAGCAGCAACAACAAGCTGCAACCGCTCAAAAAAGTCGCGATACAGCAAATAAGCGTAGGCGAGAAGTCTCACACAAGCCAGCAAAAAAACCGACAAAGCGTCGTCGTGTTGTTGCTCCATCAAGTGGTGTGGTTGCTGGTCCGCCTAAGGCGTCTCCCCCACCCAAATTTAGCCTGCGCAACCGCCAAATCAAGACGCCAGCGAGATACAAGTAGTGCAAACGCTTTAGTAGCGTCTATATATCAATACATCAAAAAATCTCACGATAATAGCTTTTGTGGGTGGCTCAATAACCTCATCTTTTTTGTCGTCTGATCTTGTTGGGGTGGCTCGTCACGCGAAGTGGCTCGTCACGCGCACGGTCAGTGTATCGGATATGGTTAAGCGTCTCCATAGCCACAAATGGGTTAGCCACAGTTTGTAAAACGTACCAGAGATTACCGCTAGCCGAAGCAGCGATCCGCGTGGCGACCCTGCATAGTTTTGGGATTACAGCAGGCGCGAGGCTGATCATAGATTACCGTGCTAACAGTAGGTTCTTAGGGCTAACTTAGATACAGTTCTCCTGTACGTGTAGCGGGTCGTCAAAGCTTCTCAGCAGTGCGATAGTAGAGTAATTAACACCTTATGCACGCAATAAAGGTCATTTGTAACATTCGCAAAAAGAGTAAATTAGCAATACTAACGTAATTTCTAGTTAGGAGCATTAAAACAAGCGCACAAGCAGCTCTAGCATGTCGCTGATACAAACTTACAATAATTACTAGGGCGTGCGAAGAAAGCGAAGTGCTGAAAATCAAAGTACTCCTCATTTGTCCCAGCACAGCGGGTGTCCCAGCACATAGGGAGGAACTTGACATCGATACCTAAATACCTATGTCTGTGCGGCTGTTAGTCTGAGAGTGTTTACTAAGCTGGGTTGCTAACCTCGGTAGTCCCACGAGTCAACGCTTGATGGGTTGCTATAGTGCTCTACACTGCGCGAAAACAGCTTGCTGCGAAGCTTTTTGGGGGTCAATGCGGCCTTTTTAAGAACGCGACGACATACAAGAAGGACTGTCATAGTGATCGGTGTAGGTACGCATTATCTAGACCTTCAGGACATACTTATAGATTCACTTTATACTGCTATGCAGTTAACAGAAAACCAAGCTGCCGCCGTCGCGATTCTATTCTAGTTGTATTACCAGCCTAGCTACATTCGCTCTTGACTACCAAGAACCATCTGACACACCGAGATGTCGTCCCTCCAGCATTCTGCATACGAGTAACGGTATCCTTCTGTCGTTTCCCAGAACCATTGACTGTACTGCCTTGGATCTAGACCTGCGGCTTCCGCCTCCGCCGAGCGTACAAGCTGTAATGAGTCAGCCCATAGAACTAAGATTAAGGTGCCAGTCTGGCTTACCAGACATGGCTCGTCTTTGCCTAAGGAAGTAACAAGCGCGTTGTGATCTCGGATGCAGAAACATGGGCGATAGATCGAGGACTGGAGGTTTACCGCAAAGTCGATGGGTAAAGTGTAACAAGTAGCGACTGCAGGCGGCACTGTAGGCTGCGGCAGACAACCTGCAGCACCTATGAAGCCGAGGTAGATAGCTAAAATGAACATGCTGTGTCCTTGAAGGTGAGCGGGATTAGCGGTTTAGCTAGCTATCATAGGTATTATATGGGCGTTAGCACAGCAAAAGCGATAGTGAGCGTCAGATGCGGATAACCGAAGCCGGATCCTGGAACCCGTAAACTCGTGTAGGCGGTGCACAGCTCAACAAACAATAAACGGACTTCTGTATACTGTAAACCGAACATAGGCGCATCGCGCGATACGAATGGTTGGCACGAGGCGCTCAGGCTGATTTTGCTAATGCGGCGCAATCACAGTAGTCAGTTTTGATTCACCCAGCGCTCCACACGGCGCAGCCTTTGCTGGTGAGCTCAAATGGATCCCCGCCCCGCCTTCGCACTCGTTGTCTGCACCAATACAGTTTCGATGTCAATAATGGACTCATCGTCCGCTGCACCTCCCGCGTATGTGGAAAACGCGTCCGATCCTTACTGGAAGATCAGAAACACAAAGTACAGCTCTGTCTTTGTAACAAAGGGTCCACCAAACGTGGAAGACTATCGGACTCACGCAAAGCACATTAAAAACTCGTTCTTAGAACGTGGCGTTGTAAGGCCTTATAATTCGAGGCTTAGGACATTTCGCTGACCATAACTAGAATCCTGGCTCTTCTGCTTCTGGTATCAGCCGTTTTGTTGAAGTCCAATCGAGCCAAGCCTTCTCGAACATTGAACGGCTCATACACGAATACCAAAATGTCCTACATACCATCGAACCACTAAATGAAGAGGATGTTCTCTTTCTTCTTCTCAGCCGATACTCGCAGTCCTCTGGAGCTTGCGTATATATGGAAATTAAAAGGCCAGGTGAAGTTCAGATCTTCGATTCAGCAATAGTTGAGCCTCCAGTAAGCATTTCTATAGGGTATGGTATGCGCACGCTGACTATGTACAGCACATGTCGTCTATACAAGAGCACATGGCGTGCGCACCTGGCATGATCACCGCGGAGTTGCACGAGCCCCTGCTTGAAGATAGCATGACGGACGTTCCATACAATCCAGTCCCCCAAACGCCATCTGCTGCTGAGTTTGATTTTGCTGTAAGCATTAACTTTCCGGAGATGCTCATGGTAACACCCACTGCAACCCCAGAATCCACCTCTACTACGGATGATCCTCCCACGTACACAGATACCCCGACGGCGGGTGGGGGCTTTTTGCCGGCTAAGCTGCAACCACCAGCGTTCTCTGTGCATCGATGTCATCACCGAGGCATGGACCGTCGTGGTGAAGAGGATGCTTTCGAGCTGCCATTTGGATTTCCAGAAGTCATTCAGCATTTGCATACTATTCCATCCCATGTAAGTTCTCGGCATGCAAACGATATAGTTAGTTCTCACAGACCTCAGTGTTATCACACGGGCTTCCATATTCAAGACAAAAGCTATGAATCCATGCCCTGCCACGAAGGAGGCGTTGAAGCTTTTGAGTGTCACATAACAGCTTCTGAAGCTTGGGTGTACATCACAGTGGAACGAGAAGGAGCAATCCTTGTATATGATTGCTACCGCGACCAAGAGGTAAACCTTTCCCAGCTCTCTTAGAGCTTAGCTTACCTCTAAGCAGGTATGGGCGCAAGCTCATCGAAACCACGAAGAATGTACTGGCTGTCCGAATCATTAGAATACATATAGCTTCGTTTGATTCATTTATGTAGTCGAGCGAATCCAATCAATTATGCAATACTGAATCTTCCTTAGCGACTCCCTGTTCGTGATCTCAGAGTGATACGTATGGACAATTACTCGTGATACTATGATGACATTGGAACACCCAATTGCTGAAGCTCGGATACCATACCATCAGGTCTCACAGTGTAAATATGATACCGTTTACTGTATCCGTGCTTTTGTGACTGCGACAGGACCCGGGAACCGGTTACGTACTCCTGCCTCAGACACTGTCGAATCCCGATTCCGGAGAGGTTGTCGCAGTGAGGAAGAAGGAACTATAAAATGACCTTCGTAACCACATGCATCAATGTCGTAATGAACATGTGCTGCATCATCTTCATTCGATATTCGCCGAAAAGGACTGCCCAACAGCAGGAAAACAACCTGCCACCATACTCGTAAGTACACCTTTCGGTATCTGCGTAAGTTAACTGACCCTTTGGAGTTTGTTAGACCCACACCAAGACTCGCAGCTGAGAAGTCTCAAGGCGATCTTCCGACGCATTTTGATATATGGTAAGTTAGATCACCCCAACCGGACTCTGGCGTACAACTAACGTAATCTCAGAAGTCAAGGTCCGAGACCAAAATGGTTCCATCAGCGATAGCCAAGACCACCCCAACACCTAATAGCGGTAAAAAGCCTATATTCAGCTCGCCTCTAGTCATCGGAGTGGTTGCAGCTATCTTTGTGGTATTCGTGGCATTAATTATCTGGTGCGTGTGGAGACAGCGTCAACATGTGAAAGCATCAAATAAAATTCGTCAGGAAGCTGTCGAGAGACTCGAGGCTGGTATTATGTTACCCAAATAGACTGCGATAGCAATGAAAATGAAAGACTAGAAGACAACTTAATAAAAGACCGTATACCATAGTTCTCGAAAACAATCGTAAAAAGGTTGCTGTGATGAAGGGGTGCCTGGTTTGCCACAGAAAGGACCTCACAAGGGGAATGTAACCCTCAGCCACTGCATCCTCTAGATCCATCCAGTTGGGTCTCCAATGCACTTCCAAGAGCTTGTTGTGCAGCTGGGCTAGAATGGCTTCTTTCCTATCTCTTCAATTGCTTGATTCTCTTCATCGCTTTCTTCATTCTCTTCATTGCAAGCAACCAACTCTCCGTGTACCGTAGTGCGCTCCCCGCTTTGAGTATGCTGAAGTGACGGTAACGCTAACAACTTTTGATACTCGTAGCGGCAGCCACAAATATGGCAAGGAATTTTGGCCGTACCATCGCCCTTCTCAAGGGTTACACAGTCTCGACAGATAGGGTGTCCTAAGAGAGTCTTAGTATGAGGTCAAGAGGTGTATATCGATAGCAGACGTACCGCAGGAGGTTTGGATCAACTTTTCTGGATCGGTAAGGTCACAGACACCGCACATCGTGCTATAGAGTCGTTGGAACTTTTGCTTACCAAGCCTCTTGTGATGACGGCATACGGTATGGGACTTTATAGCGCAGTTGAAGCACCACGGCTAGAAATACTTAGCATTTTGGTCGCCCATGACTAAAGTTCACTTACAGCTCCACATTTCTCCAATATCCAGGGTGAGCCTTTTTCGAACTCCATGCCACATTGGTTGCAGTGGCCAACTCCAACGTCCAGAATGGCACCTTGTAGGGCTGCCAACAGACCCTTGTTTTTTTGGTCTTTACTTTTCAGCAATCTCTCCATCTGTTGTTGACGAAGCTTCAGATGACTGTTCTCGTCCTGATACTCGCTGACGTTCGTGCTTATGGCAGAGAGCATGCAGGTTGCGGTAAGCACACTTCGATGTACCTCAAGCGCATTCGCCTCGGTGGGTGATTGTTTGTGCAGGATGGATTGGTGAAGCATGCCTTGAAGATGACGTTCCATTTCAAGCATTCGGAGTGACATGCACGGTGTCGCCTTCTTCTTGACGCGGTATTGGAGCTACATCTCGTCAGCAATGGTTGCTATCTCTTAATCGAACGATGCTTACCTTCAAGCCGCTGTGTCGCTTTTTGGAAGCCATCTGATCATCAGGATTGATACTGACTTGGAAGTAGAGGCTGTTTGCATGTCAGGATATTGGTCATAGTACCCACCACTAAAACTTACTCTGGGCTACTTTGCGCGAGATTGTGTTTGTCCGGAGTGAGAGTCATCTTTGCTGCATTTATCAAGGACGGTATCACCTCTTATATAGAGCTCCAGCATGGACTCAACTTTCCAATCATTGGACGGGATATTTCAGACTAACTCCCACCTCATCCTACACACCACTCAACATGCCACCCATACACATTTCTTCTGAGACAGATGGTCTCATGCAGCGAGAGAATTCTGCCTTGTCAACAATCTGCTCAGTGCAATGAGAGCCAATGGGTCTATGTGGCATGGATCTCAGAGATAGAGAAACAGCTATTTCGGGATGCATAACATACTAAAGAGCGCCATAGTGGCAAGAATCTTATGCGGTGCGCCATGTCTGCCTTGATAGCGCCATGTTCAGTGTCGTAGGAGCCAATATGTCTCGGTATCTTAACGCCAAAGATCTTGGAGAACAAGGACTTCAAACATACCAGTCACAGTCTGGTCCCAGGGCGGCAGAAAATTCATGCATCACTTCGTGTCTGCCTTGTGTCTGCTCTGTTTAGTCAACAACAGCCAATAAATTCAGCGGCATGAAGCTTGTGACATGGAAACAATGGTGCTCCTGGTCATGCTACTAACAGATCAGCGGCCAAGCGGCAAAGACTTCATGCACCACAGCATATCCGCCTTGCAGTAACTCTACTTGGGACTACGAGAGCCAACAGATTCGCCTACATAGGGTCCTTCATGCCTGGAGTATCCTCACTAGTTCAGCATCGTCACAAGATCGCCGCTGCTGCGGCGTGCGAACCCTCGGGATGCTCCCGATATTCATGCAATAGCCGCTGATGTTAATTTTAGATACTCGCTGTGGGCTTAGCAACAACCTTCCCCACGATGCCATAGTATAAGAAGTGACTGTCCGTACAGACTGCGATTCATCATCACCTCGGGAATATACGCTTACCATGGACACACTCGACTTCCTGGGAAACATGACTTCAGAAGAACTCCGTGGTTTCACTGATAGTATATGGCAATCCAAAGAGTGCTCTGACTTGGTCTATACAGAGGTACACGAACCGATGATCTGACCTGCCCTATCACTACTAATCTCCAAGAAGGCTACGAACTACTCATTCAATGGGATTTCAAATGATCTCTCGTCAGATCACACATGTCTCGGGATTCTGGAAAACTCGTTATACGAAATGTACACGCCACTGTCGATGACAGGCATCTCGACCAGAGTAGGATCAGACATGACGGCTCGACGCTCGAGTTCTGCGGATGGTACTCGGTCAGCAGACCAGAAAGATACGATTGTGTCTCCACCATCTCGAGCTCAATCATGTCCCTCGCTGGCTATGCCGAGCATACACTCTATTCAGTATAAGCCAGCGCCGTTGCTAGCAATTTCAAGTACTTCTGTTTGTTATGAGTACAAGCCAACGCCATTGTTAGAGATTTCAAGCATCTCGGTGTGTTATGAAGTTTCACAGCCTGATACTTCTACCACATCCCTGGCAGAGCGTAAAGATATTGTTACTGGTGTGCCAATAACACCGCTGGGCGTCAAGCTCGACCCGGTGGGAGTCTCACCAGCGCCACCCATATCTACGGATAATGTAGTCGTCAAGCCCACGCCACTTTTCGTGGACATCGACAACTCTATGGACCATGCCGTACGAGAAGAAAGCCCGATCCATAGCGAGCCAGCGATGAAGAGCAATTCCAGCAACTCTAGCGACCCTGATAGCAGTTCCGGAGATGAGCCCGTGAGCGTTATCCTCGCTGATCCGTACGATACTCCAGGCGGCTCCTCCTCGAGTGACTCCTCGAGCGACTCCTCGAAAGAATCTTCGAGCAAACCTAGTAATTCTAGCCATATCTACAGAAGCAAAACAAGCAAAAGGACTATCGACTTCGGAGAACTCAAGCAAATGGCCGCCGAAGCCAAGACCTCAAAACCTTCTAACAAAGTCTGCCCAGAAAACACAACGATTGCACCAGGAACATCTCCAAGGCTCTCGAAGAAGATATCAAGGTCAAAAAAAGTGCGTAGCCGTTTATCGGAACCTTCGATTGGTCACCGCATGAAGAAGAACAGGCCCTTACCCAGAGATCGGTCCTCACTCCAAGAAGACCCCGATGATGCAATCGTAATCGAAGACTCATCGAACGACGACCATGAGGAGATCGCCCAGCAAGACCCGGATGAAACTCAAGATCTGATGGAGTTCGCCTATTTGGATGGAGGACAGATTCCCTTAGAAAAGGGCGAACAGCCAACGCTCGAACATAACCAGAAACGCTCATCAAAACGTGTACGAGTACCGAGCTCGTATCCAGGCTTCGTTGAATGGAAGAGCCTTGTCGACACCAAGCTGGCAAATTGCGACAGTCTTTGGCTAAAAACGCAAACTGATTGGATTTCCTTGCGCGATAACACGAAAAAGTACACAGGATCTCTAATGAGCGGGTTTGACAAGAAAATATGCAGCGTTGCAAAAAGATTCTCATCAGGCAGGGTCTGCGCCTCCGAAGTGCTCGCGTTAGAAAAGTCTTGGCGCCTCACTTACACGGTGGCATTGATGCAGATCAAGGACGAACGACACAAAAAGCAGCTTGGGGCGTTCAATGCGAGATTAAAACAATTCGAATCGGTATCAAGAGGGATACAGCCAGAACATTTTGCCACAGAAGAAGACGATGGAGATGACATAGACTGGACCCCAGACACCAATCCCAAACGAAGGCGCGTCGAATAGGTGTTTGATTATTCGCTTTTCATTTTTGATGTTATCAAAACAGTATTTAAGGCACAACAATTTGAATCAACTCAACACCCCAGTTACTCAAAACTACTTCGGTATTCTTCGATGTCTCGAATGAACCCAAGGCGCCACGAATCCGCATCGTCCTTCTCTATTTTAGGCAGTTGACTATCCTGTGGTACCTTATCGGCAGCTTTTTTATCCTCCCCATGGTTCGAAGGTGGCGGCGAATCTCTGGGCATCGGCTGGACCTGTCGACATGTAAGCTAGCGCTTGACGTAGACCGCATACTAATACCTGTTCCCGGAGGTGGCGAAGCTCGTCCGTCAAAGCTTCGACATCAAGTTTGAGATTTGAATTCTCGGCCCTGTGTTCATCGAGTGCGCCGTACGCTATGCGATTGCTCTCTTGCCATTGCGCGAGCTCCTGATTGAGCCTGCATACCTGGGCTTCGAGTTCTGTGCGACGAGCTAGCTCTAAACACAACCCACCACGTGTTTGATTATGATTCCAGATCTCCCATTCCAGGATTTGCGATAGCTGCAGATAGAGGTCTGGTTGAAGTTGAGGAGAGGCGTGATTTTCTGGTGTTTGCAGTGGTGATGGCCAAGTTGGCATACGATGGTGTTCTGCAAGCCGATTGGTCGCATCATGATGTTGATGACGCAATGGATGCAAAGTGGGCCACGTAGCTTCGACTTCGTCCATGATCACTGATTCGATGGATTGAGGAACAAGTGAAACGGTGAGAATGATGGAAGATAGTGTGAACACAGTCTTCATCTGACCCTTTTATGGACACACGTATCTAGGTAGGAAGGTAGTTATCGGTGCCCAGCATCTGCGCTTGGGTGAATGCTGCCACCCGACCCCCGGTTCTGTCGCCTGTATTCGGTAACGTTTTCTTCGAGCCCTTATACAGCTTCCGGTATCGACAATGGTCCGTTACTTGTTCTGGCAAAACTATACAATAAAACCGATGTTCTGATTCTAGTGAATTGAATGATGCGACATGGTATCAAAGGCTATTGAAGAAGCGTTCAAACGCCACCCAAGACCCCAGGTGCCTATAAAACCAGGACCATCGCAACGACTTACAGTACCAACGAAAGTAGCACTGCTACAACGAGCAATAGAGGACGACAGGCAGCGCTCTCTGACCTATCGAGAACTACCCGAGAATCCCTGGGAAACCTTGATCCGACAGGGCGACTTAATACAGGGGAAGCACGTGCGGTCGATATGCGTCCATCAACGACAGCTGGTGATGGTAAGAGAAATGGCCAAAGACACTGGTCGTCGACAGCTTGAGGTGCTGAAGAAATTATCTGATCACCCACACATCTCTACTATTGAGCAATCCTTCGAAACTGAGAACGCGATATTTTTCCAATTGGAGTACTCTAGATATACCCTCGAAGAGGTTCTCAATGTTCACACATGCCTTGAAGACCTACACATCCGAGTGATAGCAAGTACAGTAAGTTGGCACTGTGATAATGTATGTGTCTGGGTAGCTAATGGTCTAGATCTTCTACGCAATACAGCACATAGCAAAAATTGGAATGATACACAACGCTATTTCCATCAGTACTATACGATTCTGTAGCAGCGGAAAGCCTGTATTAGCCGATTTCGACAATTTTTCATTCGCTACGACCGAGCATACCGCGAACCATGATCTCGAGTGCCTTGGCCTAGTAGTGCTCGAATGTATGAATGGGGCACCAAAGAAGAAGCTGCGAGATCTAGAAGAGGTACGACGTTTACGAGGATCTAACAAGACCTTTGGGCTTGACAACGGAGAACAGTGGAGTGGCTGTAAGTTATTGGTAGACTTTCTCGACAACTTGTTCAATTTCCATGTTCCAGCCATTGCTAAGCTCCAGAATCCCGTAAGTATCAAGCGCTACGCATTTGCACAACGCTGACTATGGCAGCATCGGTATGTCGAGCGCGAACCAGGTTATGGTATCCTGATTCCGTTTCTGGAGTTGGTGCCGCTCGAGTGCTTCGCCCTGTGGCGTGCAGCAGCGGCTAAGTAGAAGAGTGGCGTAGAGCTAGATTAGTATGTTTCAAGGCCGCGTGTAATCATAGATCGTTATCGCTTGTCACTGTTGGAAAATGTAAGCGCTGAACGACACTGCTAAGCCTTCAGTCTGAGGTCTATATGTAGGACAAAGTAACGCAGGTATCAGAGTAGTCCAAATTCAAACAAATCTACCAAGCCTATTCCTGAGTTGCACATCTGAACCTCATAATGTCATCGTCAAAATCTCCCCAGACAACTTCTCAAAGCGAGGATTGGGACAGTCTGTTCAGTTTCGACCCAACTACCAGTCCTTTCTTTCCGCAGCCAAACGCCGGACACGATCCCACGGCTCTTGGCACAAACCTGGACATCTTCGCCGCTCAACCTCTGTTTCTCCCTGAAGTCTATCTCCCACAGCCGATTTACTATCCAGAGCAACCCACATCTCGAGTACAAGTCGCACAAATGCAACCTCACGAGCACACACCTAGCAGTAATGCTGTAGGAGACATGGTTCATGGCTTTGATGCGATTCGCGGTGATCTTGACAAAGTCATCATGGCCGTCTGGCAACTCAAGAATGATTACCAGACAAGAATACAGAACCTCGACAAGTAAGTTTCCATCGCTGCACCACAAGCCTGGCTAACAGTAGAGCAGTGAGGTGGCACAGGCTTCTAAAGCAGCCGAAAGCCTACGAAAGGACGTAGACGCCATCGGAGGCTGGGTGGAGCAAGTGGTCGCGTTCCTCAACGCTAGTAATGATCCTTCAGAACTGCCATGCTCTGGAGAACCGAAACCTGAAATTGGAGACGACATGGGGGTGGCAGACCAAAACCAGACGCAGTAGTCGGGTACTGAAAGCTAATCTCTGCTTTATGTAACTTGTTGGGCGTGGTCAAGCTTTTATAGTAATCTATAAAGAATATATATACGTTTGGCAAAGCCATTGTCGAATACACAAGGATCAAACAATGCCGACATACTATTATCCGCATGTTCGCTGGGCAGAGCCTGTTGTCAAATCCATATCGAGAAAGCCTACAAGACTCGAATTCCTCCGCATGAACTTGCTCGAGAGTCATGCCGACCGATGCGCTACATGCGAACCACTTCTATACAATCGCAAGCCACCCTACTGCCGCCGTGGCTGTCTACTAGAGGATCTTGTCATCCGCGACTTGAAGGTACGAGAGGACGGACGAGTCTACAGCACGTGGAGGGAAGATGGGTGCCTTGTTCGCGTGGAGGTCCCCGGTCAGTATCTGGCTGTCAGGGCGCTTCTGGAGCAGGTGGACGGCCGAATCTATCGCCGTTAGCACCAACCGTTATCCCTGCTTGTTGGTGCTCTGGCAAATGATAGAAAGCAATATCACTTCTTTTGCTCCCGTTAGCTTGTATTCGACTATTGTTGCTTGAATCATGTGGTCTTGTTTCTAATCTCACCGCGCTAATCTTGTACAACGTAGGCGCTTAGTTGGGCGTGGTCATGGGTACCTACGTACCCTTGTTTCCCAACATTACCGCGCCACCTCAGCTAAACGCAGATCTGCATCGTGCAAACCGCCTGCAAACCACCCGCACTAAATTCACACTGCCAGCCACATTGCGCATCAAGACCCAGTCATATCTATCCTGAAATAAAACCACAATCGCTCTCAGCTTGGACTATTATTCAAGCGTTATCCATCTACTTTGTCATAATGAACCGGCGCCGTTCTTCCAGGCACAAGACACCCCGTCCCTATAGTAAGAATCCCAACGACTAAAAGATGTACACTGACGGATCGAGCAGCACCGTTCACTTGCAATATGTCGCACAGCGCATCTGAGCCAACCACAAAGGCATCGATTGTTGTAGACCTGGTAGAAGATGACGAATCGACTGATGGTGATACGCCGAGGGCCAGCATGGCCCCAAACTCTCCATTCCATGTCGCAACCACAGCAACGGAAGAACAGTCGGCTGTGACATCCTCTATGTCACAAGTAAGGCATGCTCCCTTGCCAACTGGTGATGTATCAAATGAACTGCTGCCAAGTTCCTCCGCGACACCAAGCTCTCTTGTATCCACGCCCACCGCTACCAGAAGGACGGCTAGCGTCGCTACGATGCAGTCCGAACTGCTACGATTGGGTCCACCACCACCCGCCCCGCATCGTCGATTTCTCCGCAAACGCCGAGAGGCTTTGTTTAGGCAAGTCTTGAAGGATAGCATCGTTTCAGCGAAGACTACAGAGAGTATCACGCTACGCACCACTGTCTCAGAAGAAGTTAAGACAGGCCTTCAGGGTCTCCTGACGATCGAAGAGAAGGATCCAAGACATACGCTCACAATCATCAGATCAAAGAGTAGGAGCTACTGGAGCAAAGTCCATCAAGAGGTGCATCATAATAGCCTTGAACTCAACCAGCTGTACACGTTGAGGGACATCGAAAGGACGCTATTCTTTTGGGCAAACCATCAACATGTCATGTCATACGGAGAAATAGCCTATGAGCTATGTCTACCGCTCGGGGTACTCTCCTCATGGATTTTACGGTATGTAGAGCGGATCTGATGGATTGTACAAATGTACCTAAGTATGCGAGCGTCCCCTAAAGGGCGCTCAAGAGCTTGCGAATGTTTCACTGTGTAAATCTGATTCTCTTCCAAAGCCTGCCACCCGACATGCCGTGCCACCACTCTAAGCCCACGTTACCCCATGCATTAAGGATTTTGGAAGACCATCACCATTTTCCTACCTCCACTGTTGACCTATAGACGACGAGCTCTTCCGCCCCATGCTGGATACCCTGCGAGACAGAAGGCCTGATAGGCGTGCCGAAGTTGCTAATATGTGACACCACAAACGGCTCCCCCTGACAGAGAGCCTGCTGAAGCGGCATAGCTAACTAACAACTAGCGGGTTGTATGTGGCGTCCCCTACGGGACAGAAAGCCTGATGGGCGTGTTGCGGCACAGTTAACTAATACTGTTTCCGCACCATCCCCCGCGGGATTGGAAACCTTACGGGTGCGTAAGCGTACCCTGCAAAGTTTGCAGATTACACACGGCGTCCCCTGCGGGACAAAAAGCCGGGCGTGTTGAGAATGCGGCACAGTTGACTAATACTGTTCTGTACCGTCCCCTGCGGGATTGAAAACCTTATGGGCGTGCAAACCGTGCGGGACACATGTGCGCAAGGCGGATCCAACAAGCCGGGACAAACAGCCTGGGCGGCTAATCAGCACCAAATTCAGCATACCTTACGGGATAAAGAACCCGACAAGGGCCTTGAGCGAGAAATCAGTATGCCGTACGGGATGTATGTGCGCAGGGCCTAATCTTGCTTCAGGACTACCAACAACAAGACCTAGCATACCTTGCGGGACAAAGAACCCGATAAGCGCCTTGAGCGCGAAATCAGTATGCCGTACGGTATTTATGTGCGCAGGGCCTAATCCTGCTTCAGGACTACCAACAACAAGACCGAGCATACCTTACGGGGCAGAGGGATAAGCGCCTTGAATTAGTATGCCTTACGGGATCGTATGCGCGATCCTGCTTCGGGTAACCTGCGGTGTTGTGTAGATTTTAGACGAGCGGGGCGCCATGCCCGTAAAAGTGCCGGCAGGAAATGCAGCTCTGATCAGCGTTTCGGTACGCGGCATGCAGGCACCGTAAGACGGCACAGCGCAGGACATGGGGGATATGGCGTAAACATCACGAGCCTCATCCAATGCCAAGATCCACATGTGTGCGTGAGGTTCTAGAAAGCACCTGTTCATCAAGAAAGACGTATTCGGTTCTCATGAGGGGTTGTTCAGATTGGTTCAGCTATTATACAATTGAATAAGCGCAGAAGCACACTGCATAGCATGCATCATCTTTTCCTTCTTCCTCACTGTGTCTGAAAGCTGTGCAATCGTCTTATCCTTGCCTTGAATATCAGCCAATAGGGTATCGATAGTGTTGCTGAGGTTGGCTGCATTCGCCTCTAGTTGAGCCGCTCTGCGTTCAAGTTTCGTATGAGCTAGCATTGTTTTTTTCCTCTCACGCCGCATGATCGCGCGATATATCTGGAAAGTGACGATGCTTCGCGTATGCTTGTCCTCCATAGTGGCTGCAGCCTTTCGTTGTTGTGTGATTTGGGTCGAGAGGGTGCGCAAACAAGCTGCGAGTGCGTTGCAGCTCTCGCACCAGCCGAGCTTGCAGTCACATCAGCACACATCATCAGAGATGGCAGAAAAGTACGTACTTGGTCAGACTTCTCCATGTTATCCAGAGTCAGTTGTCAAAGATTGATGTGCTGTCGACGGTGGAGTTCACGACCACGGCCAACCTTTATATGCCAGCTTAGCGCCGAGCATTCACGAATGGTCTATTATTAGACTTATCTAAGGTATGTATTGACATGTGAAGATCTTTCTCCCTTCAACACTTCCAAAATCCTGGCTAAGAATTGCTAGGCTGGAAGACGCTACCTCTGAAATCGATCTCATGTGAACTCGATCTGATGACCTTCCTTGCGCGCTGCTCAAACATGGGACTTCCACAGACTACAAAAGTTAGCTCCAAAGGTTGCCAGATCTCCTAGTTCTTACCTGATACAAGCATGTTACCTGCTTCAGCACCCCACTCCTTCTCCAGGAACCAAGGCATATCAAGCTTGTCTACTAGTGACATGATTCTAGGCCCTTGAGGTCCATCTGTAACCGCTTTGCGGGTGGATGGGCTCGCAGACCGATCGGGAAGATAGCAAAAAATAGTGAGAATCTTTCTCTCTCGGTCCATGTCATGTAGAGAGAATAGGTATTCTTCTATCACACGCATCTGATCTGAATTCTGCTTAGCTGAGATGTGTAACTCGTTCAGCATGAGAATATACCTTGGGAGCCAACGACCCATACTAATGTTAGCCGTCGAACACGTGCAGTCTTCTGGTCGTGAGAACGAAGTAAGTACTGAGCTGCATACAAATGAGCTGCTATGCCGATGCCATCAGACATAAGTAAAATCTTGTCGTGTTTGGTGAAAGATTCAGCATCCAACCCACCGTAAGGGCCATCAATCAGAGCAGAAATCTCTGTGTTAGCATTCTTAAGTCTGCCCGTAAATCCTCGATGACCTTGGACCAGTAGTATTATTGTTGACGCCTGACCTTTCTCTTGTTCAGGAACCCAAGCTATCATGAATGGATGAGACTCCCAAAATCCGAGCCCAAACCTGCGAAGCCGAGGTAAAGAGAGGTAGATGAACTGCCCAGGTACTACGCCCCAAGGACGCTTCGTATTGAGTTCGATCGTTGAGATCTCTCCGGGCGTTATAGTCGCTCGAGTGGTTGGACCAGACCCGAAATTGCGATAGATGAAATGCAAAAGCCAAGTCGTCTTTTGCAACACGAATATCGAGGCTGCGGTAGAGATGCACACAAGCATATAAGTGTTAAGAACGCGTACATGAAGCAAGAGCAGGACTATAATCCCGACTGCAAGAGTCGAATGTGTTTTAGCGAAGAGCTCGTGCATCCTGCGCCGAACAAATACTATAGAGGTAGCTGCGATAGTGCTCGACACAATGAAGAGCTGCGTGTAGTGTTAGCTCAAACTCCGAAAACCAGCTTAGAAGAAAAACGGACCGAGAGATCGATGGGTTTTATAGCCGATCGTAACTGCGAGATCTCGAATACACCATGAATCAGTCCTTCAATTACGGTGATACGTCCGATCCACCGATGCATCAATTGCTGTTCAGTATGGAACAGCCGAAAAACCTTATCCAGCAGGATGTTAGACCTCCCACCAAGGTACAGTATGGCTAAGTTAGTAACGCTCAGCTTTGCTAAACGCAGCGATAGCTCGGTCCGAGTTTGGATGAATACAGTGGATCCGACAATGTTTGCAACGACGAGTAACAAAATGACGAATCCAGCAACGATTGTAACGTCGGAGCTACCATCAAGCCTACGAGTAACGACACTATACACCGCCCATTTTGTGAAAGTCGAGAAGACGCGCTTCCGGGCTTGCGTGGTGAGATACTGCGATAGCCTCCAACCAAGTAGAAGTCCTACCGCCGAGCCGTACGCGATCAGGTACACGATAATGACTTGCATTGTTGTTTGGGTACCTTTCTTGGCCTGGTAGAGTAATGCCTTCTGTCTCAAGGCTGATAGCTTTATGTGATGTAAGAATGCGAAAGACAAGATTACGGATACTGGATAGAGACACCGGGTTTACCGAGCCTGGGAACAGCACCTGGTATAGCGACGTTCTCGACAGCAGGCGTTCCGTTCTACGTGCCCTTTTCCGGCTTCACCACAACGGTTTGGTGGGTATAAGCCACACATTAGCCGCTAACCCTTGGTACGTTGTTATCTCGATGATGACAAGTATAGCCGCTGGTTGTGCCACTAGCGCGTTTCAATCTGCTGTCTGCGCCTCTCTGCGAATAACCAAAACTGTGCCCCGTAAACGCGCTGTAGTCAGGTGATTCACGCCCCAACACCTTATCTACGCGATGGTCAAGACAGTAATCAGCACTCAGAAACCTCCACATATCGCTTGTCCAGAACCTCCAGTAATCCGAATCCAAAATCTGTCGACCACTAAAGCAAGATGCCACGCGCACCGCCCCAGAATCTCTCAAGATCATTCAATACTCGGTGTACAGGCATCTTCAAAAAGGCAGCAGAGCTCCACCAGATCGATGACAGAATCCGTATCTCCATTGTTGTGGAAAAACCTGGGATCACACCTCTTGTCTTTACCACCGAAGAAAGAGGACAAAACTGGCCACCGTTTGTCGAAGACTATGTATGTCCACAATTAGGGTTCGAAAAACCACACTAACTGTATCAGGTCAAGAGACAGCATCCATTCATCAAAAGGCCAGCCCACTATCAAAGTCTCGTAGATGGTCTCTCCCGCGGCCACGTACAGATCGTCAGCAACGCGACTTCCTCCTCACCTCCACCTTACATACACGATTATACTGCCGATAGTAGAGATGGAGTTACAGCAGGGCATGTGGGATCGATGGATACGCGGGACACGATGACGGGTCAGCCGCTGGGTGAAGTGTGGTCACTCCCCACGACCCCGCCTCGACCTATACCATGTCGAACATCCACATCTAGCCCGTTGCCCAGAAACATAATACTTCCGTCGAAGATGAACTTAGGGGTAGAACAGTAGTGCTGTGTGGAAAGTGCGCCAGAAAGCTCCATTCATGACATACATGCCCATCGCACAGCCAAATCTACTTTGTAAGTACGGCCGAAGCGCACACCCTGCGTGTGGAGGATGAGAGCACGAGATTCAACAATGTATGTTAATCAAATATTACAACACCTCTCTACTGATATGATGGACCTGCTGGTGATAAGACGCATGAACAACACTGTAACTGTACCGTACGGCCCGGAAGGAGGGTTTTGGTCACGTAGATGTCGCTATATCAAAGTCAAACAGCGCACAGACACTGCGTTAGCTTATTAGCACTGCACAGACACTTTGTTAACATAATTACAACAATATTTTGGTGCAATATAGCGACTTCTACGTGACCAAAACCCCCCTCCGCGCGCTATGGTATTGTATCGCCAGACACTTGACTTCACTATATGCAGCTGTATGCAAAACGACGCTCTATTGAAATAACTCACAAGAGTAATGCAGTGATCTTGGATTGGGCAACCACTGTCACGGTACGTCATGACGCCATGGCTAGGGTTTAGCTTTGTTCTTGCTCCGATGTTGATGGCGGAGCGGCAATAAGACGCTGTTGCGATTTTTTTGTCTTAGCTATTTTTCTCGCGTAGCCGTCAGTCGTCGTTGTCTCGTTGTTGAAGGCTGGCATCCGTTTCCTGGCCATCGTGGATGTCTTCTCTAGAGCTTGACTAGTAGCCTGCTGGATGGTAATAGTCGATGGGTACGACAGTGAAGATGGCGCAGCCTTGTTCAAAGTGGAATTCCAGTTCTCTATGCCCTTCTCAGTCCCAATAGCTAACGTCTGACAAGTCTCGATTGTTCCAAAAAGAAATTCAGGATCTGTGTTGACGATACGTTTCCCCAGAACTGTTGCTACGTGGTACTCTTTACCCTCGGCAATTGATGCAGCTTGGTGCAATGCATCACTTATTCGGGATACAGCTTCCCCACGGCTTGAGCTGATATCGAAGCTATACCCCTTCAAGACTTGTTCGGAAGTATGATCCACGACGAAAATCTCATAACCTTTGCCGGTTCTCTCTTTCCAATCGGATAGTGGTGGAACATCCAATACTTCTTCGTCACTATCTTCGAGCACTGGCATCGTCGTAGACTCTATTGCAAGAGGCTCTGGTAACTCGACTATACGTGGAATAATCTGTGTTGCAGAGTTCTTTGAAGCCTCGAGTTCTCGTCTAAGCTGAGCGCACTTCAAGCGAAGGTTACTGCTCTCAGCGCGCTCCGTTTCTAATTCGTGCATTGCTACCCATGTTCCTTGGTTGAAGCGGTCCAGTTCATCCTTGACTCGCCGATATTCTGACGAACATCGCTGTAATTGGCCTTTGAGATCTTCATTCTCGTTCCGTAGACGTTCTACTCGTGTATCGTACTGAGCGGAGATGTCATGATACTCACGTTCGAGTTTCGCGTAACGCGATTGCAATTCAGCATACTTATCTAGTTCTGGTAAGCTTACTGGGGGTTCAAGGTCCATAGGATCCTCATCAAACACTTGAGCATTTGTGGTTGATCCAAAGTCAGCTTGCTAGTAATACGTCAGCGAAAACCTTTGCCGTAGTTGGGATTCACTACCTGAAGGCTCATAGAGATAAACATGCAGGAAAACAAATCACGGCGCATTAGTCTCAAATCTGCGTTCTCGCATGGTGGACCGCTGTAGAGCTGCGGAAAGAACATGATTCGTTTCTCTTCCGCAAAGTCGTGCTCGAAAGGACGACCATTTCTCCGGTCGAGATTAAGACGCGTGCTTCCTCTGGTAGATTCGGGTATGTCATAACTTTCCTCTGATTCGACCGCTGTCACAACGCGCTGAATGTGGTCATCTGAGAAGTTAGAGCACATTGGCTTCGCCTTCCGAAGATAATCTATAGCAAGCTGTGCATGGTGGTATTTCTGCTTTGTCGTGATCTGTTGCGCATGGGATATCCGAAAGCCTCGAGACAAGGCGAACCTCGCCAGATGTTGCCAGACCACGGGATTAGGTCCCTTCACAAGAGGCTTTGACTCTCCAGTTTCCTTTCTGGGTGTAGACGCTGTTAAACCATCAAAGTGACGGCTGCAGAATGCCCACAGCTCCGTATATGCAACCATCATTGCGTCTTGTTGGCTGAGCGCAATCCGAATCTCGACATCCTCAGTCTCGTTTAATTGAACCATGTTCTTGTTCGGACCGAAGAAGAGACCGGTGAGACTGGAGCGTATGGTACTTTTCATCTGTTCGCCCAGTAATTGTCTGAGCGCTTCGCAAAGAGGCTCCAGGTACTTCAGCGTTTCGAAAAAGGTTCTTAATGAAGGAATGACGCCGGGAAAGGTACAGACATTTTCCAATAGAGCTTTGCGTATGCTGCGATCTTGTTGAGAGGAGAATATGTCCCCGCGTTCCATGAGATTAATTACTAAGTTCCTATCGATATCCGAATGTCTAGGAGCTAGAAGTTCAAGATTCTGAACAGTGACGGCATCGATGGTGGATGGAGGCAACATTGTGTTACCGCAGCGCAGAATCGTGTTCCAAGATCTTGCTATATGATTTAGATATAACGTCATTTCCTGTCTCTGTCAGCGAAATTCTTGACCATGCCTGGAACAGTGCATACTTCATCGCACTTCAGCCCTAAGAGTCTATGAAGCGCCCCCAATTGCAAACTAGACCACAGGCCTGGCATATCAATCAATGCATCAAAGCCAGCAGCAAGTGAACGGCGTTTGAGAAGTTGTCGCAGATCCTTGGGTTTAGACTTTTCCAGGTGTGACCACCACCGTTTTTCGGCCTCTTGATCGTTTTCCCGATGGTATAGCCTTATCTTACGGAAGATCTCCCCATCTGAAGGCCTTTTCTCGCTGGAGTATGACTCTATGATACGAACTAGTACCGGTTCGGGGGTTTCTGCCTTGGGGTTACCTAGGTATCACCAGCGAAGATTGAGTGGCGCGTGACTGACCATAGGAAAATAACCTTACAATCCACCACTTATCATTCTCGTTCAAATATCGTCGTGCTGCCTCAATACGGTGCATACCAGAAAGACACTGAACATGCTCCATCTCCAATGCAGGTGCATCTTGTGGCCATTGGAGATTGCGCATGTCATCCAAGGACATGCCTTGAGTGGATAACGCCGCTACCAGGTCACTATCTTTAACGATCGCATTGATCACATTCTCCTCTTGCAGTCGTTCGCAACCGACTTGTTCGTATCTATTTTCCAGGCGTTTGACATTCTCATGAGAGATTTCCCGATGCTTTTCCCGCACGATCTTGTGATCGTAGTTCAATGCTTGCAGCGGCAAGCGGGCAATTCCTCGGTAGCATAATAATTTTTTTGCAGCAAAGTCTTCATCAGGCAATTCCATCCTGACGCATGATCTAATGTTACTGGACTCCATCAAACTTAAGAAGACTCTGTATCTGCACATGCACCAGAAAGCAGCGTCGCGAATTCGTAGTGGGCATGACAGTCACCCGCCTCGGTTTGCGCGTTCGCAGGAGACACGACCCCGGTCCCTAAAAAACGGTTAATTGGCAACAGCCTGCCCGACAGCATAAAATCTACGCCAGATCAGACAGTTTCTCAACATCGCACGATATGACTTCTTTTCCCTGGATAACCTTCGAAACATCCCGTAGTGGAAATATCGTGACACACTATGAGCCTGAACTCAGACCGGCACTGTCCGAATCTCAAGCTGACAATGTCGAGAGAAACTACCGCCCATCCTTTGTGACCTTCGTAGGACGGAGATCTAAGGCGATCCTTCTCGATAGACTCCTGGGACGTGATCTCGCAGTGCCTGTGCACAAAGAAGTATACCTTTGGTCGCTACCTCGGCAAAACGGATCCCCGCCGTGTGTCATAATTGACTGTGGCATGCAGAATTCTCAATCACAACCTCCTAATCCGTCTGCTGCTAGAAGCGCGACACCTGCAACGTCTTGGTCCCTACCAGAGATCCGAAACGTGAGTGCGACACTATGCGCGCGGGTTTTCTCTCCCTTTTCCAGTGTGATCTGCTGTTTTGTCAGTGATCTAGGAGGCCCAAAGGCTGTCGCAAACTGGCTAGCTGACTTTGCGGACGCTGCGACGGCACGAGATCTGCCGACAGTGCCCCGCATCTTGTTGGTTGTAGAGACGACATCAGATACATTCGACGAAAGCATTGCGACCAGCAAGGCTATCGCGCATCTCCAGCAGGCTTCGCACACAAACGACTGTGTCCATGAGAACCAGCTTGATCATCTGAACATTGGCGAGATCGAGGTGCTTGGATTGCAGTCGTATAAGTCGACTGCAGCACGTGCACGGGCTTTAAAGAGGCGCTTACTAGCAATGTCTGAAAAGTCGATGAAAGAACGCGCTGGCAAACTTACACAATTCAATCACACTCATGTTCAAGCTCTCACAAAGCGAGCCTTGGGTCATATCAGCACTAAAATTGACGAGCCATTTCAACTCGCCAACGCTTCGCGATCAAAAGGTTTCACGACAAGTCTTCTAGAAGCCTGTCTCTCGGACTTTTTCTTACAGTTGCCTTCCCAGGCCTGGCTGTGGCACTTCGCTGCACCGCTTGTAGCTTCAGCCCTGCTGCTCGCCAGCTACCCACCGGGCGCCCATAGTAAGATCAGACTTGCTTAGTTTTACGTTAGTTAATAGAGCATAGACTTCGCGCCTGATTACCTTTTCGACGCGCTATACGCTACGCCATGCAAAGCAGCCATCGCTACGTATACAATGTTTGAGGATATTCAGCACAAGTTCATATCGGCGGTGCTTCAAGAGTTCAAGAATGTCTTCGAGATCTACATCAGCAACACATCGTCTGCGAGCGACATTCACCCTGAAACTCTTAGGACTAACCATACCCACATGGCAAGCCTCAAGAGTCACCGAACGTGCTTTTCATGCTTCTTGCGCATGCCTGAGAAGGTCCTCACATGTGGTCATGCCTTATGCGATCCATGCATTCGGATCTTTGGAATTCGTTGCCGCTCCGAAAGGAATACCTTTGAAATCATAGATTGCATCTTGTGTGGAGTCAACTTCATGAGTCACAAGTTCCGTTTTGTGCCTCCAACAGCGGGCATACGTATGCTGAGCATAGATGGAGGCGGCGTTCGGGGCGTCATTCCCCTTGTGTTTCTCCAGCAGCTCGACCGCACACTTGCGCCGCTAGGCTGCGCCATCAAAGATCACTTTGATTTCGTATGCGGTACCTCAGCTGGTAAGAATTCCAAGGGTACTTTGTCGATGTAACTGACTATCGCAGGCGGTCTTGTTGCTATAGGCATGTTCTTGTTACAATGGGACGCAACGGAGTCCATACAGCGATACGAGCAAGTAGCTGCAAAAACATTTGGCAGGCGAAAAGCGTTAATATCAAGGGCTCTTCAGCTCATCGTTGCATATGTTGAGGACGGTCAGTACAGTCTGGATGCTGTGCAAGAAGCATTTAGGAAAACGTTCAACTCTAATTTGCAGATGTTCAACCCGCTACGGAATGACACCAAGGTCGCCGTCACCACTACCGCAGTTGATGATTCACTTCCATGGCTGTTCACCAACTACAATGGGGGAAAACGACCTAAAAGTGTTGGTAAGTATATGGTCTCCTCCTAGCAAGTGGTTATTTATCAGCAGTAGGGTACGATGTCGTTCGCGCCGAGAAGGCAAAGAACGATATTACTGTGAGCGATGCGTGAGCTGGACCTCTCCTCATTACATACCAGGACCTAACAAATCTAGGGCATGTTGTACATCGGCCGCGCCTTGGTTCTTCAAACCACAAGCTGTAAGCAGCCTGGGCACCTACCAAGATGGGGGTTTGCAACATAACAACCCAGCCAGCATAGCTCAATGGGAAAGCCGTTTCCTTTGGCCGCATAAAGACAATCCGGACTTTGCTCTCTCACTTGGGACGGGGTTTGCGGCGGAGCCGGCGAGCCTAGGACTTGTCATCCCACGATTCTACACTCGCCTATTCAAAAGCTTCATGCGAAACTTGAACGGTGAAGACGCATGGATACGCTTTCGCAATTCTTTGGATCCGAAAACGCGTCCTCGGTACCACCGGCTGAACGTAAAATTCACCGGCCCCGAGCCTAGCTTAGATGACGCAAAGCAGATACCCAGTCTCAAAGCCGCAGTCATACGACAACTCGAGGAGGACAAGGCGACTCTAACTCCAGTGGTGGATTCAATGCTAGCTTCCATGTTCTACTTCGAATTGGATGCTTTGCCCATCCCCGACGGAAATGGTTATCTTTGCCTGGGATACATCCATTGTCGTCTCGATCTCCCAGTCGGAGGTCTCAGATATTTATACGATCAGCTACTCGAGACCTCGTCATGGTTTCTTGTCCAAGGTAGTCCTATTCAGTGCGTCCAGTTCATACCGAAAGGACCTCCACCCTTCAAAAGACGAATAAATTTTCGAGTGGAAAGTATGGACGAAGTGATTGCGTTTTCCCTAGGAGGAATCACTAGTACAACTACTCTTATAAGTGGCTTTCCGACAAGACTAGAGAAACTGATTGAGGACCAAAGTCTCGTCAGGCCTTTTGGTACCCTTGATCATGTAGTATCGGAAAAACCACTACCTGCCACTCCTGTGAAACGTCCCAGTGTCATTGAGACTTCTGAACGCGTTCATGACGCAAAAAGGCCCCGCGTCAAGACAGGATTCTTCTGATTAGCTATGTAGTATCTGAGATGAAGATTAGTGTCGTTCATGAATAGCTCAGCTCGTCACAGATATTCTCTATTGGTCGCAACATATAGGGGGCGCAATGAGATTATGTATTCATATAAGGTGCGTCCCCAAGTGCAGAGACACACTGTGTCGCGAGACAGATTTACACTACGGACGTCCGGAGATGCTCCTTCTCAATCCTGTCGAAATGTAAAGGGCACCTAATTATTCTCCAGCCACTATTGCTTAAGTTAACTCACCTCCGATACAGATTACTGTGGTATTAGCTAGGCAGTTGATCGTTAACGTCGGTCCCTGCGAGATGGGACACCCTGCGTGCTGGGACTGGCCAATCAACTTCCAGATATTGGACAGAAGTCTGTGATTCAAGTGAGCTGATTGGCTGGTCCCGGCACGCAGGGTGTCCCATCTCGCAGAGACAGACTTTACGTCAACGTCGTTAATTAGCTGTTTAACGACACCCCCCTGTCCATTAACAATTGTGTAGAGTAACTAACTACTCAGAGGGTTGTAAAGAAAGCACGAAGAAGGAAGACTAGGTCCTTTAGCTCGTGATCTCACTTCAGCGTAGGAGTGAGCATGCCGGGAGGCCCGTAGTGCGAACCAGGAGAACTGTGATTGATTGATTGATTGATTGATTGATTGATTAGATCCTACACGGTTGCAGCCGCGAAAAGCAGCTATGCCCGGCTGACAGGCTTGGCAGACAGCCGACGCGGTGCGGATGTTGATCCGCGCCGCCCCACTTCATTCCAAAGAACCATCTGTCCCCAGAGGCCTGCCTTCGCCAACCTATCCGGACGGAACAGCCTCAGGACAATCCTGAGCACGCCGCAGCTAGCCACCAAAGCCATCGAGTATATGGAGCAGACGCAGATCCTTGGGCATGTGGGGATCAGAGACACGTAGACGACGCCAAGCGTTGGGGGGAGACTGTAGGTACAGTGGACGCGACAGACGAGGCAAAACGCCTCCACGAGCCTAGAAACGCAGCATACAGTCAGTAGAACCAGTATCTAGATGGGCCGGACAAGCATATGTAGATAGTGGTTGAGGGAAAACGGCAGGTTCTTGGGGGCAGCTGGTCTCGCGAGGGATGAAGTGAGGCGGCGCGGATCAACGTCCGCACCGCGTCCGCTGTCTGCCACCCCTGCCACTCCGGGCATAGCTGCGCAGTACGCGGCTGCAACCGTGTAGGAATGAAACCAAACCAAACCAAACCAGAGGCCTGCCGTTTCCCTCTCATCACTATCTACACGTGGCTGCCAACCTCATCTAGATAATGACTCTACTAACTGAACACTGTACTTCTAGGCTCGTAGAGGCACGGTTGCCTCGTGTTCTGCGTCTGCAATACCTTCAGTCTCCCCCCAGCGCTCGGCTGTCGTCTGCGCGTCTACGATCCCCATTTTGCCCAAGGATCTGCGTCTGCTCCATATACTCGATGGCTTTGGTGGCTAGCTGTGGCGTGCCTAGGATGGTCCGGATGTTGTCTCGTCCGGACAGGTTGGCGAAGATACGGTCCCGGAGATGCCTGTGCTTGCTGCAGTGGAGAAGGATATGT